AAATTTTTTTTTTTAAAAAAAAAAAAAAAAAAAAAAAAAAAAAAAAAAAAAAAAAAAAAAAAAAAAACGCTATTACCTCACACACTTCATGTATATTTTTGCACGCAAAATACTCCAATTTTTTTTTTTTTTTTTTTTCTATTAAGATCCATATGTCTATTTTTAGCGAAACAGTTATTCTCACTCATTTTGAAAATTTCTGGTGAATTGCTTTTTATAAGTAAAATTTTTCCCAGGACGAAAAGATATCTGCACTTTTTTAAATTCTTATACTTTAATTTAGCACAGCAAGTTTTATGCCACTCTCTTTTTTTTTATCATTTTTTTTTTTTTTTTAGTAAAATTTTGGAAATCGTGCACAAGTAACAAAGAAAAAAAAAAAAAAAAAAATGTGACAAAAAAATAAGCGTGAGTATATTTTTTTTTTATTTCTTTTTTTTTTTTTTTTTAACCAAAACATATATATATATATATGCTTATTGAAGTGGCCCATTTGGATGTGTTTATGAAAAACGTGTAAGGCAGTAGCGTAGGAAGCACGCTACGTTTTAAATGTGTTTAATTCATGTTACTCGAAAGGGTTTTTTCACTAGGACATGCATTTTTGCACATTCTAACCATACAGAGCTAACTTTCATAATTTTTAGTTGTTACCACACATCCAATCTTCCATTCTGGAGTTACGAACCAAAAAAAAAATTACACTTGACACTGGGTTAAGAAGTATATACAGCGACTCAGTGTTGGAAAAAACTTTCCGAAAAAATTTACCACTCGTTGGCGTAGCTGTGTTTAAATTTGAATGAACTTGAATATATCTCTCCAATTTGACATTACTGATATTGGGTGTGACTTGTGCATATATGTATATAGGTACTTGTACATCTATATGTGTGCATACCAAGCCGAAGAGGACTGATCTGCATGCACACACCATATGCACTACCGGGTGTTCCCTCTCTGATAGCCACTTTTGTACTGCAAGGTTGAGCAAAATATGGGAGAAAGAAAAATGGAAATCAGAACATATGTGGATGATAACCACACGAAATATTTAGAAGCAGTAAAAAATTACAATTCGCATATAGATGAGTTAGTCATATTTTTTGATACGTTTGAAGATCCTTCATGTAATCATATAAACTGGGGAAAACTAAAATACAAAGGATATTTGCAAAAGATTTACAACCATGATACGGAATTATTACCTATACATTTAGATGACCTACGAGAGCATTTCTGTAAAGAGAATAAGGAGGCAGATTATTCTGTATATAATGGAATAATGACAAATACACATAGGTATATGGAACTGTTATACTCTGCAGCTGATAAATGTTTATCGGATGAATGTTTTAAAAGATTTGTTAAAGGTTATGGAGAAGAAGATGAAAATGAGAAAACGAAAAGGAAGAATTTGAGAAGAATAAATAATGAAGATCTTAGTGGATATTCTACTGATGAAAGTGAAAAAGAAGCTTTTAACAACTTATTTCGTGATATGATTAAGCCAATTGAAGAAATTAGACAAGAAAGGATGAAAGAATATAAATTGCCAGCATATTTAAGAGTAAACTTTGAAATTATTTTGATACCAAGTTCACGAGATTTAGTGAGAAAAATGAGAGTAGTAAATGCTGATTGTATAGGATCTTTGAGTACATTCGAATGTGAAGTAATTAGAGCTACCCAGTTGAAACCAAGAATCCAGGTAGCTACTTACGAATGTGATAGATGTCACGTATTTGCATATAAAGCTGTGGATGGTCCTTTTTTTATGCCACTTTTTGATTGTCCAGGTTGCACAAATGTACATGGTATTAGAGGATCATTAAAATTTCAAGCGAAATTAAGCAAATTTGTAAAATATCAAGAAATAAAAGTGCAAGAGTTACCTAGTCAATTACCAGAAGGAGATATTCCAAGAAGTATGAATTGTATAATACATGGAGAATGCACCACTTCGGTACAACCAGGTATGTCTGTTACATTAACAGGTGTTCTAATGCCTGTTACAAAAAGTGGATTTCAAGCATTAAAAGGAGGATTAATTGCAGAAAAAGTTTTCCATATTTATTATGTACAAAATAATAAAGAAAATTTTAATGAACATATTGATAATTATGAAAAAATTATGGAAGAAGTGCAAGCTTTGAAAAATAGCCCCAATTTGTATGAAAAGTTGGCATATAACATTGGTCCAGAAATATACGGACATGACGATGTGAAGAAAGCTTTATTATTACAATTAATTGGAGGATGTACCAAAAAAAAAAAAGATGGTGGTTTAATTAGGGGTGACATACATATATTACTAATGGGAGATCCAGGAGTTGCTAAAAGTCAGCTTATGAAAAAGGTATGTCTCATTGCATCTAGATCAATATATACAACAGGTAAGGGAAGTAGTTCTGTTGGTTTGACTGCGGCTGTTTTGAAAGATCCCAATACTGGAGAAACTACTCTAGAGGGAGGTGCATTGGTGCTAGCCGATAAAGGAATATGTTGCATTGACGAATTCGATAAGATGGATGAATTTGATCGTTCTGCTATTTATGAGGTCATGGAACAGCAAACTGTTTCTATTGCTAAAGCTGGACATTGCAGTAACATGCCTGCACGATCATCTGTTTTAGCAGCTGCAAACCCAATTAATGGTAGATACGACTGCAAAAAATCCGTTATGCTTAACATGAATTTACCCGCAGCACTGCTAACCAGATTTGATTTACAGTTTCTTCTTCTTGATATATCTGATCGAGACAAGGACAAAAAGCTAGCTGAGCATGTTCTGAATATTTTAAAATGTACAGATTCCACTGATGATAAAAAAAAAAAATCCGAATTACACAATGATGGTTATGAAGAAATTGACAAAACTGTATTGAGAGCTTTTATACAACTAGCCAAAAAGAAAGAACCCACCATTTCTCCTGATTTGATACCAAAAATTACCCAATGGTATGTATCCTCGAGACAATTAGAATCGCAACAAGAAAGATATAATGATACACGTGTCAATTACACAACTCCAAGAGCACTCCTAGCCATTCTCCGGATATCACAAGCACTAGCTAGATTAAGAGACAGTGATGTCATGGAAACAGCTGATTTTGAAGAAGCCATCAGATTAACTGAACAATCAAAAGCTAGTGTATCACAACAAACAGAAAAAAGAAGAAGAAAGGATTCATCCACAGAAATTATGAACATTATTAAAAACATTAAGGAAAAAATTATGGAAAAGAAAAAAAAATGGAATGGATGGATATCTATTGAAGAAATAGAAAGGCAATCAATAACAAAGGGATTTACCAAAGCACATGTTTTTAATACCATTGATAAGTATGTAGAATTGACAGTGTTTACTATTAATGAAAATAACACAGCTATTGCCTTTCCTAATGATGTATACAATGCGGATGATGATGTTGGTTATGGCGATGATGTAGATCATATGGCAAATGAGGAAGAGTACGCATATTGAAAGAAGTCCAAAAAAAAAAAAAAAAAAAAAAAAAAAAAAAAGAAAGAAAATGGTGGTGGAGATGCTCAAGGGGATATTTTCGTAGCACCTCTTCCAACATATGTGTTTCCTACACATACACGGGGGTGGAAGGTGTTGGGGTTTTCTACTTCTACCTCGTTCAGGATTAACCTTTTACATTTTTGCTTCCTCTCTTTTCACAACGGTGAATGAAATAAAATATGATATAATGCAGCTTAAACGAAGAGGCCCTAGTGGTGCATACGATAGGAGAATATAATATAAAGTAATGAATAAACAACACTTAAATATGTTCTCAATATGCATGTATAAACTTGCGAATAACCCATTTTTAATGGGGGAACACCATTTTGTAGTTATCACTTTATCAAGAAGGGAAAACAAATTTTCAATACACTAAAAATACATACATATGCTCAATTTTAAGCACAAAATTAAGTGAAACATTATTACATGAGCATTGACGCAGAGTTGAATTTTTTATTTTATTTTTTTTTTTTTTCATATTCTGTCCTGTTTTTATCTTATTTTGTTCTCTTCGTCCCTCGAAGGGAATTTGTACGTTTTTTTAAATAAACACCATTTTGTTTTTGCATGCCCACGAATTTTTTAATATTAAGAAGTTTTTTCCTTTTTGTAAAATATGGACTAAAAAAAATTTTACGTTAAAAAAAAAAAAAAAAAAAATGGAATTTAAATAGAGTTCCACCTTAGCATTGCTATACGTAAGAAAGCATAGAGAGCGTGAAGAAATGAGAAGAACGTGATCTCTTAATGCTCATTATGCATATGCGTTAATATCTGCATATAAGGATATATATATATATATATCCATGGTGGTATAGAAGGAAAACACTTTTACTATGTGCAACAGTTTTGTCATATTCTGGACCAACAATTTGTGTCATCGTAGAGTGGCGCTTGTACAAGCTGAATACTTCAGGATATTATGAACGAATAAAAAAGCATGTAATCATGTTGAAGAGGTGGAGAGAAAATCCCAAGTCTACGTTCCTACATCTCACAATTGCTCCGCTACCCTTTTGAGTTCCTCCTTATCTGCATTTATTTTTAGGAAGGTGTTCCCCTCCTTAAGCCTCGTTTCAGTGATAACATTGTGCGATACAAATTCGACTAGGAGAGAATTTATTCTAATGCTTGAAGCACCTACAGTAAATATTCTTTTATCTTGCAATAGGGATTCTTTTTCGACTCCGTAGATTCCTTTTTCTAGATTTTCCAATTGTATAGATGCGATAATTTTAAAAAGCCTCTTATGGTTTACACTTAAAGCATTTAAAATGGTTTCTATATTTTTTTTTACATCTACTTCTTCACATTTCTTATTGAATACCCATTCTGGTAGGAACTTGTTCCACTGTCTCAAAATTTCATGTCGATAATCTATCCATGTGTGACATTTGACGTAGTGAAAGTTAATTGAACTGATGTTCTTAAAATTCACATTTAACTCAAAAGAAACGTCATCAATGGAACAAACGAAATAAATGTTATCATACTGACTAATAAATGAGAAATATTCATAGTATGGATATAATTTCATATTATCAATATTGTGTATAATAAAATAGAGAGGTAAATTTGATTCGTGTACTTTTTGAATTAATTCATACAAGAGATCGAAAGACTTTAAATTTTTTGAAGTTTTATATTTATAGTGATACTCTAAAACACGAATTACAATTTCTTCAAAATTTATTTCATCTTCAAATCCAAGTATAATACATTTATTTCCATCATTTAAGCAAATATTACTAAAAAGATTTAGTAAATGATATTTTGATCCTATTCCATATAAGCATATATTTATATTATTCAATAAATATACTTTCCATTTTATGAACTGCTTAATGTTGTAATGATATAAGGACCTTTTTTCTTTTATATGTGTATGTGGCAAGTTTTTAATTAGATACTGTAATTTTTGCACATGATCTAGATTGTCTATATTTTCTTCAATAGGTATATATGGCGTTAGAAATTTTATTTTATAACTAGGTTTCACCACTTCTTTTATATTTAAGCTGGAATAGTAATCATAAGATATTAATTTTTGCGTTGATGAGTCTATGAGATCTTCTATTTTTTCTTTATCCTCCTCCTCCTCCTCCTCTTCTCCTCTTAGTCCATCCATGTTTTTTTTTTTTTTTTTTTGTATTTTTAAATTATTTCCTGTCCATTGATCTTTTACTAATTCTTCATCTTGTGAATTTTCCATATCACTTTTTTGCCCTTCTGAGTATTCACTACTACCTTCGATTCCATACATGGTGGGATCCTTGTAAATGTTTATATCCATTTCCTTGTCGAAATCGTCTATATACATGTCATCTTGTTTATCTTTAACAGCAACAAATTTCGTCCCTTGCTTTCCTTTACGTATTTCTCCCCTTGGGTGTGAGTCGCAAGTCTTGTGATCTCCATCTGTGTTAGCTTGATTATCATGGGCGTTTGCTTCTTTATCATCGGAGTTATCTTCATCACCATCTTCATTATCATCTTCTCCATCAGTATCATCTTCCTCACCCATTATTTTTTCTTTACTAACATGAGTAGTACCCATGTTAACTTCCTTTCCATTTTCAGTCTTCTCCTTTTTTAACTTTCCGATTCTCAACTTTGCTCCACTGTGAGGCAAATTTTCCCTTTTACGCGTCTTCGAATTGGAGCTCGGTTGAGATTTTTGATTTCCCATGCCCCCCTTTTTTCCTTGATTATTATTCTTCTTTAATTTTTCTAGCATCACCTTTCGCTTGGCCTCTAACATTTGTTTCATTTTTTCCCTTTTCTTCTTTTGTTCTACGTCAAACATGTGCGTCAAGAAATATGGGATGATATTTTTTTCGTTCAATTTGTCATAATCTATGTTAATTATGTCATTTATTTTCATTTCATCTGAAAAATGAAGTTTATTTCTTTGAAGAAAAAATTCCAGCTCGTTTTTTGTGTGCTCTCTTAAAAAGTTAATGCTTTCGTTGTACACATTCGCTTGGTATTTTTCCACGTAGTTTTTTTTGAAGGTTGCCATGAGAGATTCGTTCATTTCTTTGTCATCTTCATCATCTTCTTCATCCTCATCAGCTTTGGCATCCCCTTCAGTGTCACTGCTGTCTTCTTGATCTAGCTCATTCCTAGGGGTGGCATCCCCATCAGTTTCGTCAGACTGGAATGTACTATCCATCTTAACATCTTGTCCTTCACATGTATTTTCAATTGTGTTTTCATTCATCTGTTCATTATTGCTAACTTCTGATGCTTCCATCTTAAAGGATAGCAGTTTTTTGCATCCTTTCTTATTAGGCGATTTAATATTTTCGTTAAATTTTATTTTTACCTCTTCTTTGCTTAAAAATTTGTTCACGTTCTCTGGAATTCTCACAATAATACTAGGCATCTTTTTGTTGTTTTCTGTCAGGTTGGTTATTATGTATTCTTCTTTTTCATTTTCATCATCTTCGCCGCTATCTTCCATCCGAAACATTTTCTTCGGAGAGCTCACTTTGATGCTTTGCATCATTTTGTGGGGAGACAGAAGGGAAAAATCTATTGGTGTGGAATACCCGTGGGTGCCTCACGTGCTTGGGTCATCATCTAATTCCTGTCAAACGGTTGTCAAGCTGTTAGTAAATGGATGCCAAGTTATTAACAAATGACTGCAAAGTGCCTTCTAAATTACTGTTATTTTGCTCCCTTCAGGGTAACTAAAGGGATAACCGACAAAGGTGCAATTTTCCAAGCGATTATCAAAAATTAAGCAAGTACTTCGTTACACCTTTTCAAGAGTGAACAAATTTACTGCTATTAAAAGAGGATTTTGCATAATCCTTGAAAAAAAAAAAAAAAAAATATACACATTTGTACGTGTATGAACACAAAATGGTGCGAAAGGTTTGCTTTTTTTTTTTTTTTTTCCTATCACTGATTAGATTGAAAAGTCATCATGCGGCAATAGCGATATTAGCACTTTACAAAAATACACATGCACAATATATTTATCACATGTGTGTATATGCATCCAAGTTGGAAATTCAGAAACACATTACCTAGCTGTTTTGTGTTAGAGCGAAATTTATTTAAAGAATGCAAATTTGATGTGGATTATAACACACTCTTTAGGTATTACCTTCGTTATCGTTAAGTAGTTGCACAAAAATTGGTACCAATTTTTTTTTTTTTTTTTTTTTTTTTTTTTACAAATTCATTTTTGGAGTTTTATTCTCCCTTTATTTTTTTTTTTTTCTGCTTTTTTTTTGCTTTTTTGCATTTTCCTTTTTTAATTCCCATTTCATGTGTGAGAACATTTGCACTACCGTCAAGGCGGGCTGATTACTCCAACTGGTTTTATTTGCCTACCTTTTTAAGAAGTTTTTTTGTCAATAATTTCAGCCAAGCTTTTCTCCTGAATTATTTGTGTCTCGAGAAGAGGATAACAGAACGTGGTTAATTATAAAAAAGGAAATGGAATAACACACAAAATTAGCATGCTCTTCTCTTCCCTCTTATTCAGACTAAAATTTTATCACTTTGTGATGGACTGTTTTTAGGAGTATATTGTGTGCAATTCATCTTCCCTGAATTTGCCATTCTTTGGAAAGAACTAAAAAGGAATATTGTCTTACTATTTTTTGACAAGGTTTGCTCATGCTCATTTGTAACCCATATTTTTCCTATTATCACACCTTTTTTGTCCAAGTTATTACTTAAGCACTTTTTGTTATTATTCTCGAAAAGGAAAAGGATTTTTTTTTTTTTTTTTTTTCGTGCACATTAATTACTTCTACTTCTTTAAGCTAACCTTCGTCAATTTTTTTTTTTCCTTTTTATGCCGCCCTCCTTTGCGTCTACTTTTTTTATAAAAAAAATTTCAAATAAGTATTGAATTTATTAGAATTAAAAAAGTGGCAATGTTTCAAAAAAAGGAACAACAAAAAGTAAAATGAAATAAATAAATGAGAAATAAATAACGAATAAGAAATAAATAACAAATAAGAAATAAATAACAAATAAGAAATAAATAGCGAATAAGAAATAAATAACAAATAAGAAATAAATAGCGAATAAGAAATAAATAACGAATAAGAAATAAATAGCGAATAAGAAATAAATAGCGAATAAGAAATAAATAGCGAATAAGAAATAAATAGCGAATAAGAAATAAATAGCGAATAAGAAATAAATAACGAATAAGAAATAAATAACGAATAAGAAATAAATAACGAATAATATATTTATGTATTATGATATATGTAATACCAAAGAGTGCAATATCAGTTGCACAAGCAGATATTGTGCAGAAGGGATAAGCACAAAATGGACATAATTACATCGCGTCCATTTCTTTTTTTTTTTTTTTTTTTGTTAATGTGTGTATATTAAACACTCCAGGGGAAGCACATCCGGAATAACCTTTTAATCCTCCTTAACTTATGCATCGGTTTTCCTTTTCATCAGTATGACATGATAATTATAACTTTTTAAAAATGCACGCATAACGTTGAATAGCACTACATAGGTATCTACATTTTCACATGGGTTAAAGATCGCTTGAACGACTATAGAAAAGCGTTTTGTTTCTATTAGCATCGGTATAATATAGTTAAAAAAGGGAACATTTAATTGAATGTTGGCAATTTCGCTGCTGTTAATATCGTAAATTAAATGTCGATTCAGAATGATGTCATATTGATGGGACTCCCCTGAGCTGCAAATTTGTATGCCATTTTTTTTTAAATAACTGAAAAAAATATTCCCCTTCAACCCTTTTTCTTCACATAAATTATTAAAGAATCTTAATATTTTTATATACTCATTTATGTTTATTTTTTCCATGTCACTAGTTCCGCTCCTATTGAATCCTTTCAAAAGGCAATTCATCCTTATGGAGTTTCTTTTCTTCATGTTAAAAATTAAGGATAGCATTAATTTTCGATATACAAATGCGTACTTATAGTTGTAATATAAACTTTTAAATTTTTTTACGAATAAATGCTGCATTTTCATTGACTCGATCAAGTATTGGTCACTTGTAACAAAATTCAGGTCATGCTTAAAGATGAATGTTAAGTAGTTCATTAGTAAACGGAAATCTGTTTTGCTTAGGATGTGCTTGTTTTTGTCTACACCCCCCCGTTCGCTTTTGCCGATTACGACATGTTCTACTTCATTTATTGCAACATGTTCTGCTTCATTTATTGCGACATGTTCTTCTTCGTTTATTTCCCTGTTTTTGCTTTCTACTTCTTTTGCTGCATCTTGGGGGGCTAGACAACTATCTAGTTTCCTGCACGCGGATTCCTCTTTGTTCCTTTTAATATTTTCTTGACCCCCATGATTCGCACCATTAGATTTGCACATCCCATGGATATTCATGGCAACATTATAATCCATTAGATTCACAAATAGCATTTCGGAGAAGTCAGTCTTCAAGTGCAACACAATTCTGCTAAGATTATTCATGAAGATGCGATAGTGTTCTTCCAATCCATAGTAATATTTGAATTGGTCGTGAAACAAGCTCGAGTGGGTGATGATATATATGAAAGCAAATTTTAGAAGTAAAAATTCATACAAATCGTCTTCGTCTATTTTTTTAAAGGTAGTATTATTATAAACGTTATTATTGTTTTTGATCGCATCTATTTCTATACCAATACATGGGTTAACATCTTTTCTTACTACATCATTAGAATAATTTATTTTCCTATCTATTTTTTTCCACATTTGATTCTTCTCCCCTGGAACTCCTTGATTATTCTGATTTTCACTTTGGTGAAGATACCGTCTTATGATATGATAATTTACATCATCCTTTAACTTATCAAGTTGGCATGCATTTATATTTGCACCATCTTGTTCTACAAGATACTTTTTCTTAATATAGTGTATGACGAGAAATGTAACTGTGTTTATGTGATGCGTATATAAAGGGCTAACGGTCATCATTGCTCCCTTCAGAATATAATATTGCAGAAGTATAAGTATTCCATTGATATTCAATTTGTGAATATTTGTAAGTATTTGTTTTTCGAAAAATTCCAAGTCCACAACTGTGGAGAGATTCAATTCGGTTATTGATAGAAGTATGTTACTGATGGAATGAAATATGTATTTTTCTTCTTCAAAGGAATATTTTTTCTTGTTCATAAAATTTGTTTTAACCTTGTCTACTAAGCTTAATATATTCAGTGATATTTCCTCTTTTTTTAAATTTAGGATACTATATGTAAAAAGAATCTTATCTAAATCGAATATGTGCAAGTTAAAATTGAACACTCCTCGATGGAATAAGTTCATCAGATATTTATAAAAATTGTTATCATTAAAACTATTTTGCACAGATGGTAATATATCCATAATGTGTAAGTAGTAGCTTTTATTCTTTTTCGACGTCTTTTGTTTGTTTATGCACTGTACAGGTATTTTCATTCGAAATACGTTTTCAGTTTTGTCCTTTTCAGGATCTCTTAGTTTTTGTTTTTTCAGAAGGTAAGTTTCGGTATTGCTATTTATGGCTAGTTCATATGCGTGCGCCTTTGAAGCATCAGTGCCTACCAGGATGGGTTTGGTTATATGTGCTTCTTTATCATTGTCCATTACGAAAACATCTTTGTGAACCGAATAATTTCTGATTCTAGAATTTCCTGTCGAACATACAATTTCATTTGTACCCTTGAGAGCTCCTTCCGATAAGCACAGTTGATTGTACTTTTTTTCTTCAAAAGAATAAATTACCTTTAAACATTCATAAATGTATCGAGATAGCTGCTCCCAGTTTAAGGGCAGATACCTGTGCTGATTCCTCATTTCATGATCATACATGTAGAAACATCTTTTGTCTTCATAATATAAGGAGTTTCTGCTATAATAAAACTCATTTTTAATTTTATAAAACTGAATAAAATTTAGCAAAGCTATGTAATCATGAATGATCATTGTTTGGGCTGAATTCGTTATGAGGTAAAGAAGGAATAAATAAAACTCATTATTAAAATGCAAATTATTCCTTATTAGATATAATCCTAACGAAAAGGTTGTTAAAAAGGGGATATTCAATGATGTTTCTCTTTTTTCCTTATTTTCTAAAAAGATCTTCAAATTCTTCATTAGGTAAGAATACATATGGTATATTATTTCCACATACTTGTCGTAACTATCACAAGAATACTTTTTTGAGTACTCATATTGTAGCAACAGCAAGGATAGCAGGAATATATTTTGTTGCTTCTCAGAACTAATTTCGGAACTGTGGGCAAGGTACTTTATCAGATGATCCAAACTGGGGATGCTCCATACTGTTCCGTTTTTCAGTTGGTAGAAGAGTAGGTAATTTACATCAGCCATGGTTAAAACTAGCGATGGCGTGGGTGATGGTGCCTTTTTTCCTCTCAACAGAAAAAAAAAAAAAGGGTCATATTTATTCATTTCGAAATTATTCACATGGAATAATAAACAAATGTTCTTAGTAGACAAATTAAAGATGTTGCTTTTCAACACTGAAAACAGGTAATCATATAGTAGGTTAAAAAAATATCCCTTCAAATTTTTGTAATGTATAATCAGAATGTTTAGGAGAATATTCAGCTGCTCATCATTTTGTATTTCATATTTTTTACTTTTTTGATTTATATAATAAATTTCTTTTTTTAAAAACGCACAAATGTATGAAGTTATGAAATTGTCTTCCTCTACCATTTTGTAGTAGCGTAGACAGTACGACAATTTGTAGACATCTAATAAGTTTATCATGTTCCATTTTCCGCTTTTACCTTTTCTCAATGAATCCTTAAATGAGGATAGCAGCCTCAGCACGTAATCAACATTTATTTTTTTAATATTCCCATTCCTATGTATTGAATTGTAGTTTTTTATGTCTTCCACTCTTTCCTCTTCTCCCAGAGTGTAACAGTTGGTAGTGTTATTCTTTACGATAGCAACCTCACAATTTGTTGTATCCAAACGGGTAGTAACTCCTGAGGGGTATTTGAAATATGAACTTTTATTATGTGCATAATCTTTCCAATCAAGGATCCCTTCGTTAGGTGAACTTCTTTCATTTTTATCCCCCAGTTTCTTATCCTTTAAAAAATTTATGTTGCACTCATTCACCTCGTCTGAATACGTGCCAATATGATCTGAAATATCTTCTATCTGGTTCTTAGTCAAGTCATTTTCTCCAAAGATTGAAACATCCCATCTATTAACATCCTCATTGTCATAGTTCTGTGATATATCTCTTTGTTGTGCATAAAATTTTTTATTTTTCACAGCCAAGTACAATAAGTCAATCACTTCAACCTCAGCGAGACAATCTACATTTTTATAAAATATGAAAAAGAACTTATTCAAAGGGGTCTCTTCATAAGTTGACAATTTTTTCTGAATAAATTTAAACAATTTTCTTGTTTTTTTTAGTTTATTTTTATCTAAAACTTGTTCATATTTTTCTTTGTTTGTTTCTATTTGTGCCACAAAAGATTCAGTGTTTCGTTCTTTAAGCTTTTTTAAATTTTCTATATCATCGAAATTAAAAATGAAACATTCATTATTGAACAATTTGCTTGATGTCTTTATACCACTTCCTTGAATTAATTTCTTAGTTATGGATGCTTCTTTTATGATTCTCCTGTAGAACATTATCCACGTTTTTTTTTTTTCTTTTTTTTTTTTTTAATGTTAGTGTGTAAGAACCCCTCAAATGATAAACGCCAGTAGGTCGATCAAGTCCAGAAATTTCATCGTTGAAATGGCGAGAAGGGGTGAAACCTTACAGCAAATCAAATGTAAAATCATGCAGAGGAGTGAAGAGGATGATTATCCTGTGTGTTCACGTACATATTTCATCCCTATTATATATGCTAGTTAAGAAAATCTGTTCATCTCTCCTTATCCAGTCATCTATGCTAAAATGGTCCTCTAATTTGCTAGGTAATGACAACTGCAGATAAATACACATGGCAGAAAATTTAATTTACTAATTTACGACAAAAAAAAAAAAAATTAAAAAAATAAGAAATTCGATAAAAAAATTTATCTCTAATTACATGAAAATATAGAAGAAAGGAGTCAAACTCAGGATATGCAAAAAATGTATGCGTATATTTAACGAATAGAACATGTAATTTTAAAAAATTCGAATTTTACGGTACGTCAACGAAGTAGAAAATGCGAATACAGTTATTTGTTGTTGCAGAAAAGTTCTTTTACCTTTTGGCTTTTTTTTTTTTTTTTTTTTTTTTTTTTTTTTTTTTTTTTTTTTAGCCCGAAAATATTTTTTACCTTTTTTAAAAAAAAAATATACCAAAAAAGTTTTTTAAAAATTTTCAAAAATTTTAATTTTAAAAAAAAAAAAAATTTAAAAAGAGGGTTTTTTTATTGTTCCTTTTTTAAAAAAAAAAAAAAAAAAAAAAAAAAAAAAAAAAAAATAAAATTTTTTTTAATAAAAATAAAAAAATATTTTTTTTTAAAAAAATTGGGGAAAAAATCTTTTTTTTTTTTTAAAAATTAAAAAAATTTAATAAAATTTTTTTTTTTTTTTAAAAAATTTTTTTTTTTTTTTTTTTTTTTTTTTTTTTTTTTTTTTTTTTTTGTTGTTGTATTTTTAGCCCGAAAATATGTTCTACCTTTTTCAGAAAAAAACTATACCAAAACAGTTTTTTAGAAATTGTCACACATTGTATAGTTGAATAATAACAAATTATAGAGAAGGAGTTATGTATGGTGTCCTCATGTAAAAGAAGAAAAAAAAAAAAAAAAAAAAAACGCATGTAGGACCATGGCACAACTGCTATACCTGATGACGCAAAAGTAGGGAAGAACTGTTCGAAGGTATTCCCTTGGATAAGAACTAAGTATACGAAAAAAAAAATATATATATATATACATATATATGTGCAGTATTAACCCTGAGGAACACATCGCATGGTTCCTATTTTTCGTAAGTTTTTTAAAAAATTCGAATAATAATCATCGAACAGGTAACGACATACATTATCGTGTTATTAGGAGCTAGCCAAATGCTATTAATGTGATTTCTTGACAAAATCTTTAGGTATATATGCAGTGGGCATAAATACATGATTACGTATATGTATATGCACGTAGATGAATACACAAATTGTCTTCCTTGTTTTGCCAAATAGGGCGGAATAGAAAAGGAAAAAAACAAAAAAACAAATATTTTCTACTGGATTGATGTTCAAAAAAAAGGACGAAAAATTACAAAAAAAATATATCCAGAAGGGGAGAAAACAAATATACGCAAGTTGTGCTTAACGGTTGCGGGATAGTAGCGTCTGAGATAGTGTCGATGGTATCATCGATAGAAGGAAGCACGGTATGATGAGAACTAGTGTCCAGGGTGGACCCTCTCTATTTACCCTCCAACCCCACCCAGAGCCCACTAGCTGCTTATATATACCTTCTTGCCCCGGACAATTTCCTCTTCCACTTATCCTCGTAGTACCTTAAGGCTGTTGATATATGTCTGTTGATGTAACTATTTGATTGGATGTGTTTATAGGATTTGTCCAATGAGGAATTACTTTCTTTAGACATTTGTGAACAGGAGAGTTCATTATTGCTGAATTTCGATGGCGAATGTGTGTTCTCATAAAGGGTACATATTTTACCAGGGGAAAAATCATCTTGAGTGATAATCTTAGTTGATTCATTTTCATTCTTCTTCTTTGTAAGAATTCTTTCTTTTTTTTTTTTAATTGAATTTACAGAATTTTGCCTCGAAGATTTTAATGATTTAATTCGAGATATGTTTATATTTTGTCTATGTAATGTCGTATCCTGTTGTAAAAATTGAGACAATGCCTTTTTTATATTATTTATGATATCATCATACACGATAAAGATTTCTTTCTCCTGTTTCTTTACATTTTTATCTTTTAAAACGCATTCTATATAAAGAGAAGTGGTGTTTACGCAATTTTGTAAAATATTAAATATGTCGCTATTTATCTCACAATTATGTTCATTTTCTTTTCCATCATTTGTGAAATGTTCACAAGATATATTTTCGTTTTTTACATCCACCCCTTCGTTTGTGATATGATTTCTTTTCACTGCTGCATCATCAGCATAGCTATTTTTTAATTCCCCTAAAAAAAATTCTTTTTTTTTTATGATTTTTTTTTTTAAATGTGTGAGAATAAATTGGACCTCTTCTATAAAATGATCTACATCGTTATTTAAAATATTTTCCAACTTTTTGCATAAAAATAAATCAAAAGGATTTTTTAAAATGGGCTCATCCGTTTCTTCCTGCTGAATGTCATTATAAGTACCCTCTGAAACTTTCTCGTCCTGCCTTTCCCCAGTATTAGCGTTAAATATATTTATTTCACACTCTTGGCTGAGGTTATGTGTACGGTCTTGTGTCTCTTCATTGTTGTCTTGCTCCCTCATTTTTTTCCCACCCACTGGATTCTTGTGCATGTAATTTGTGGGGTCCTCTTCTTCTATTGTTTCGTCCAAATTGCCCATTGGAAAGAACTGGTTTTTGATTATATTTTCCACGCAATTGGTGGAATCGTAATCGTGTTGAGATGCTAATGGGGGATCACAATGAGAAGAAGATGAGACATCACAATGAGACAACAAACGGACACAATTTTCACTGTTCATATTGTCTGAGAAATATAAATCAGTTGTCTCTATCAGCTGATCGTTATTTCCACTCTTTTGATCTGGGTATTTTTGGGGATAAGTCTTTTCCATAATATCGATGCAGCTGTTCTTATTTCTGTTGCTGTGTAAGAGTAGTGGTACATTTCCGTCTAGAGTTTCTTTCTTGTGCAGTGCTTCATCACTGTGTTGATCATCCAGGACCTCTTGCTCACTTTGTGTACCACTGTCTCCAAGGGAGGCCTCCCTTGTGGGGGCCTCTTCCAAACATTTTAACGACTCGTATCCTCTGGGGGAATTTTCATTAATTAGCTCATTCTCATAAATTTCTTTGGTCATATGGTGTTCATTACATCTGCAGTTTTTCCTTTCTTTGTCACATGGTGCATTACTACTGCTTCCTCTATCAAGTCCACTTCCTGTATCACTGCCATTACTTCCTCTATCACTGCTATTTCCTCTATCACTGCCATTTCCTCTATCACTACCACTTCCTCTATCACTGCCACTTCCTCTATCACTGCTATTTCCTCTATCACTGCCATTTCCTCTATCACTGCCACTTCCTCTATCACTGCCACTTCCTCTATCACTGCCATTTCCTCTATCACTAGCTCTATCCCTCGTATGGATTGTCGTTTGCGAGTTTCTCCAATTGAACGTCCCAGGACAACTCTGAGTAACTCCGAAATGTTTAAGCAAGGCCCAATTTTGAAAAACTTGGCCTTGATTAACATGGTGGGTATGAAAGGATTGCAATAAAAAATTTTGAATTTGTTTACAAATATAAAAAATTTGATGATCATAATCATTTCTATCCCAAACAAAGTAAGACTTGCTTACATTTTCATGTGAAATTTTATTATCACATATAGTCCATTTTATTTGATTTGCCAAGAGCAATATGAAGTAACCAAAGACATACTTGTTATTATTTTTGTCGTAGCATAACATATAACTTTTTTTTTTATAAAACTTTTCCGTAAAATTATCGTAATTTAATTCTATAAACCCAAATGATAATATTTTATATTTATTGTCTTTAAAATATTTGATATATATTTTGATGATCTTTTTTTCATTTTTTATGAACGGTTCAGTAATGAGAAAGCATAAGTATAAATCATTTATTTCTGAATTGGTGACTTGGATATCTTTACTTGTGCATGTGGTTTCTTTGTATTTTAAATATATAATAATCTTTTTATTTTTCATTTTTTCAAACAATACTTTATTTAATTTTAATGTTTTGAAATACAAAACGTTCACATAGGAGTTGTGAAAATAATTCCCTTCACTGCTTGTATTTGCAGTAAGAGTGTTATCCTTATGATGTATACAATTCTTCATTTTTGTGTTGTAACACGTTTCACTTTTTTTCACATTCCTATCTTTTGTATACATTTCCATAATAGATCTGTCATGTCCATTATTCCATTTCTTTCTCAGCATGTATTTCGATACCTTCTTGGTCCCTCCCAAGTGTTCATCAGTCCTCATATGATCAGAGAAGTCACTGTGATACATTTTCTATTTTCGGCTTTGTTATTTTACTTTTGATTTTGAATTAGTTCGCACCATTTAAACAATTCAGATAAGTTTCCTTTCTGAAAAAAAGGGGAAACAGCATCTTCATGTGTACTCATGAGTAGTGAGGATAGAGAGACTAGTGAACATATGAGACATTACCTATGCGATACTACCACATAGTGGTGACGGAAAATACTATACGTTATTGTTTACACACATTTGTTTTACTATACCACGATGACAAATACAAGTAACTACTTGCATAGCTGTACATGGAGTTGAGCATATGTGCATATGACAGTTTACACACAGAGAGGCGCGATTTTACATCACTTTCTTGGTTTTTTACACAAACGAAAGGAGAAAAAATTCGTGTATATGTGTGTATGTATGTGTTTGTATATGTGTGCGTATGTATATGTATGTGTTTGTGTATGTTTGCGTGTACGATGGTGCTGATGCTGATCGTGGTGATGGACAGATTAATGTAGTAACATTTAATTTTCCTTTCTTACAGTATTAATATAGAATTAGTGCGAATTATTTGCTAATATGTCTTAAAAAAATACAAAAGCGTAGTGCACAAAATTTGAGGAAAAGAACTATCCTCATGTTGTACTCTTTGTCTTTGAAAAATGGAAATTTACCTTTTCGAATTTCTTATCGTAAAAAGGGGTAACAGGCTGAAAAGGGGAACACATTATTATGTATACATATAAATGAATAAATAAAAAAAAAAAAAAAAAAAAAAAACGCTCCAAAAGTGACATAAATGGAATAATTTTTTTTTTTTTTTTTTTTTTTTTTTTTTTTGCAGAATGTTGTATTACAATATTTACAACTAATTTTAAAATACCGTTCTTCAATTTGTACTTAAAAAAAAAAAAAAAAAATGATAGCAATAAAATTGCCTCCAATTAAGGTTATACCCATTTACAACCGTCTTGTCAAATTTTTTTTGCTGACGTTTTAAAATTGTTTGCCTAATATTAAATTGTTTTTCTATAAGTGTGTTGCATTTTCTTTGTTTCTTTAAACATTTCATTATTTATCTCTCTTTTTATTTTATTTTTTTTTTTTTACTTTTGTTTTTTACAATTTGGAATTACTTACATAATTCTACTGTGGTGTATGCACCTGATTAGAGCGAATTATTCTGCATAATATACTAATGTATATATGCATGTGCGTATGAAGGTATGTATACAGATATATGGGCATGTTGGAATAGTCATACAAGTCACACTATTCCTATTTTAGTGTAAGAAAAAGATTCTCTCCTAATTTCCCATGAAAGATAAATGATAATTTATTTACACTCTATTGCACCTTATGAAATGTTTCATTTATTTTATTTTATTTTATTTATTTATTTTTTTTTTTTTGTTTCCTTGTTTTTGTGTTATGAAAGATGGAAAGATATATTTCAACACTGCAAAGATGTTTATGCATGGGTGCACATATGTTAGCACCTAAATGCGTTATGTACACCTTTTTCTTACGTTTCTACATATGACAAGACACTTTTTGCTGAATGTCTCACGAATTCCTTTTGTATGTGTTCGACCGTTAAAAATGATGTAGGCGATATTAACGCGAAAAGGGTGAATTGTTATACTGTCATTTTGTCCGTAACTCGCCTTCAAACGTGTGTACATATATATATATATATATATGTAGTGCATGACACACGTGTGTCAATGTTCCTAAACGCTAGTTCATAATTTGCGTTTTTCTATCAATAAAATGCTATATTGTAACATCCTGTGGCTGCGTGTCCTTAATTAGAAATAGAATGAGGATGTTGATTTTATGTACATGCATTTTACCGATACCGATATGCTTTTCTGCGTAATTTTTTTTTTTTTTTTTTTTTTTTGCCCCTATTTTTTACAATAGAAAGATGTCTCACTTAAAGGATGCGTTGATTCACTGCCACACACTAGTGCTATTACGACCATTGTATTCATTATTTTATTCATTTATTTTATACTATTACTTTTTATTAGTATTTATTTATTTTTATTTTTTTTTTTTTTTTGTTTCATACACTTTTCCCCCTTGTCCATCATATATAATAACAAGGATCTATGATTTGCCCAAAGGGGTTAAATCAGGGACGCGGAGGGGGAATAGGCAACGCGCGTGACAAAAATTACATGACACGCTTTTGCCTTAGCTACAGTGTTACCGAAACGGAGAGAAAAATAAAAAAAATAAAATAAAAAAATATAAAAGGAACTAAATAAATGCATGAGCATGTAATTCTAATTTTTTAGAGAAAAAGTTATTTAAAAGCATAATTCCCCCAGTGCGAATCGTTCTCGGGCTAGGTCGTAGGAGGAACCAAAAAAAACTTCACGGACTGATACGTACGTATTGATGCCATATTATATACATTTACATTATATGTATATGGAGAACACATTTTTGAAGAGATAGGGACAAATGTATAATCTAAACTGACATGAGAAAGAAAATATGAACAGTGAAAATCCCAGAGAAAAAGAAAAAAAAAAAATTCTGACAAGAACAAAAATGGAGATACATTACACAAGTACAGGAAACAACAAAAGTGACTTAAGCGACGTGGATGTGATGAAGTTAGATGAAAATGAAATGAAGAAACCAAGTCATGCGCAAGATGATGCAGTGGAAGGCAAAATGGATATAGCTATAAAAGAAGAGGAAAAAAAATCGATAAAAAGGGTTGCTGAAGAAAAGGGAGAAGTTTCTTATAGTCCCTCATCTGCACCTCCTGTGAAGAGGAAAAAGAAGGAAAATCAGAGGGGGGTACAAAATAATGTTCTTGGTGAAAGGGAAAATATGAAACCGAATGAAGGAGAACCAAAAAGCTATTGTAAGGATAAGGGCGATGATAAAAAAATAATGATCGATAAAAATAACCTTTTTCAGGAAATAAATTCATTGATAAGAAGAAAATTAAAAATTAATGATGTTATAAAAATTGATTTATTTTATAAAGACAATTGCACACAAATAAAACCATATACTATATTTGATGATTATAAAGATGTAAATATAGAAAATAAAATTAACATTGAAATTGTAAATTTTTTAAAAAGTAATTTAAATAATAGCAGGAATTTCCTCTCCATATATAGTAGCGTGGTAGAACTACGAGGTTGTTTCAATGATGAGTTAATTAATTTACCAATTATCAATCAAATTATTTTACAAAAAATAAGCAGTAATAATTATAAATACAAATTCAACATTGACAATGAGGTGCTTAACTACATATATGTGGATCTATTTAAAATACCTAAAAGCAAGTATAAATTCAAAATTTTGGAAAAAATGTATGAAATAGAGGAATGGTATTACTACGACACGAAGGAAGAAAGACAGAGAGGCAAGGTTAGTGGGGACAAAAACATCCAAGTGTCAACAGAATATAGTGAACGATTAGGCAACCCAGAAAACACGAAATCTGTAGTTCATGAACTAGAGGAAGATAAAAATAATAAGCAGCCATCAAATGAAAACATAAATGAAGATGGTGACATGGAGGAAAAGAGCACATCTAGCGAATGTAATGAAAGTGATGCACTTATTAATTTGTATAATGAAAAAAAAAAGAATGAGGAAAGGAATTTACCCAATCGAAAAAAGAAGAAAAAGAAGAAAAAAAAAAAAAATGTTGATAAGGACAAGTTATACATTGATGAATTAAAGAAATTAGTGGAAGAGGACAGCGAAAATGAAGCTAACAATTCATCAAATGATCAAAATTCTACAGACACAAATGATACATCTAATAATAAAAATCAAATTTTATATAGAAGGAAAATAATATACTCTAATGATAATAACAATACTATCATAAGAGCGTTTAAGGAGATTGAAAATAACAACCTTTGTGTTTATTATCCTAATAGTTCATATAATCAATGTTTGAATATGAGTTCATATGAACCTCTCCTGAGGGAAGAAGTTTCTACGGGTATTATTTTTGATGATTCTGCATGTGCAGATAGTTCTAATCGTTCCAGTGCAAACTATCGAAACTGCGACATTTATCATCACAAAAATAAGGAAAGAGGTGTAACCAAAGGTACACCAATGGGGAAAATAAATGAGGAATCAAAGGACATAAAAGACACACAAAATTTGAACGCTCTAAACGATGAAAACATTAAGATAAAAAAAAGATACGTGAAAGACATTTCGATATATAATTTCTGTTGTGATGATAAATACAAAGGATGTAATTTATTTCTGCATGTAGCAAAAAATAAAAAATTGAAAAACTTGAAGATAGACTACAATATTGATTATTCAGATTTTGCCAATAATTTGGATATCATAAAAATGTATGAAATTAAGACTGAGACAATTTCGAAAATCCCGTGTGACGAAAATAAGAAAAAAATTGTCGGGAAATTATTTGACCTTGAAAAGGACTGGAAGGTGAATGTGAGCATTCATATTGACATTGAGAAAGTTATGCGAGAATTCAGAAAAAGGGTTAATTCGGAAAATTGCATAGAAAATGGCACCCAAAATTGCATCCAAAATGGGAGCCAAAATGATCACCCATCAGAGCACAAACAACTATATCGTGAAAAACGAACGAACAAGCTGGATTATATCATTTACAACTTTTACAAAAATTTCGAGTGCTTAATAAATTTTATAAATAAACGAAAAAATAGTTCAACCAAGTTTGAGTACTTCTACCCGAAAATGATAGGAGATGTGAATGAAGAGATACGAAAACATTATGACAAGAAAAAAGTGATTTTATTAAAAAAATCAAATATAAAATATATCCGTATTTTTAACAATGAAGTAAAGAGAATAATGATATTATTTTTTGTGCCTTATAACTCCAAAGTGTTAGACCTTGCATGTGGACATGGGCAAGACATGCTGAAATACAATACGGTGAAAAATAAGGTGTATGTTGGATTGGACATTTCAAATAAAGAAATCGAATTAGCAAAGGAGCGGTTAAATCAAAACGACATGAAAGGTTTATGCAATAGCGATAATTTTATATTTTTGCAAGGAGACATTTTAAATAATAAATTTTTTAGAAAATGGAAAAACAAAAATATTACATTTGACACAATTTCTATCAATTTAGCTATGCATTATGTGGTGTATAATGAAAAATCATCTAAAAAATTTTTTAAAATTCTCGGAAATTTTTTGGAGAATGAGGGATTATTGCTAGCAACCACCATTTCGACTGTCACATTGACAGATTTTTTGATGAAACGAGCGATCACGCAGATGGCTAACGGTTAGTATATCATGTAGTGGGAGAGTAGATGAAATCGTCGAGTTTTTTTTTTTTTTTTTGCATCTGCATCGTCTCTGGTTCAATATATGTGTTACATACCTGTTCAAGTGACTTTCAAATACATAGATTTGATATTACACACTAACATACTAATAAATGCAGACGTATATTAATACACATGTGTACTTTCGTTCTCCACCTTGCAGATTCTATTTCGCTGACACTGGAAAACGATCTTTTCACAATTCGATTCGACCAAGAAAACTTGCTGAAAATTTTCAAAAATAAAATGTGCCTAGAGGAATTCCTAGAATTTGTTAACAGCAGTGATTCAATGCCTCCAAAGAAGTACAACTACTTTTACAATTTAATAAAGAACGCTCTAGAAAATACGTTAGGTATAAAATATTATTTCTATCTATATGACACAATTGACGCTAACGAATTTGTTATTCCACAAAAATATTTAAGAGAAAAATTGAAAGAATTAAATATGATTGAACTCTTTAACAACACTGCCATAGGATTTCTTCACTACATAACGAACAATTTGGAAACATATGAAAAATATGAAAATATAAAATATTTTAATTTAATTAATAAGACAATAAATAATCAAATTTTTGAGGACATTAAATTCAGGATTAATAAAATTCAAGGCATTAACCGAAATTCACAAATTTATTATGATATTTGTTCCTTGTATCACGTGTATGTGTATAAAAAGAATTTTGATGCATCCATATTGGGTATATAAATTAGCGAATGTACATCAGGTGTTTCACCTTTGTTTTCACGTAGTTTTTCCACATAGTGAAACTTTTATACGTCAATTATATTTCAACTCTATTTCCTTTTTGTGGAAAAAGAGGACCCTCTTTTCCGCGAAGCGGTACCATTTTCAAAGACCCTTTTTACTTACCCCATTTTGCTTTATTTATTTATTTACGTATTTATGTTTATTTACTGATTTGCATTTATTTAGTTATTTTTATTTAGTTATTTTTATTTAATTATTTTTATTATTTAATTTTATTTATTATTATTTTTTTGTTGTTGTGACAGAAATGGGAATCCATGGGGTTTACCTGTTTGTCTTAATTATTGGATGGAACGTTACACAATGTCGTTCATTCAACAGACATTCGTTCAGTTACCCCGAATTCATGTACTTAATCATCTGAATCCTATTTTGAAAATCCATCCATCCTTCTCATCATTTTTTTACAATTTTCTGTGTATCCCTTATTCCTCGCCTGAGTTTTTTTTTTTTTTTTTTTTTTTTCCTTTTGAAAAAGCATTTTAGCTAGAAAAAGTGCTTTAAATATATGATATTTAAAATGGAATGAAGATTGGAGGGCAAAAAAATAAACCTTTATTTTCCTTTGTTACTAGTTTTTAAGCTGCTCTATGTATAATAAAATATATAAAACACTGTTTATTATTTTATATAACGGTGTACATTTAAAGTGTATAAAATGTAACATACATAATTGTAAATGGAGGAACTGTAAGGAATGTAAATAAATCTGACAACACATATAAAACAGTTGCGTTGAAGGATTTCACCCTCTCCCCTTTTTTCCATTCTAGAATGCATCATATGTGGCACTTAAAAATGTTGCTTTATTATAACGACATAATGAACTATTCAAATTTGGAAATTCTTTTTTTTTAATGCCTGCCCCCCCCCCCCCCTTAAATAGGAAATAATAAAGCACAAGAATAAACGAATATAATGGCAAAATATAGTAATAAATAAAAACAATAAGGTAGAAAAGTATAATTCCTTTTTTGTACACCACAGGGTAGGGGGCGGTGGCTCAGTTAATATTCCTTCACCTATGCCCATTTAGCATACACTTGGTTAAATTATTTTAAAAAACAGATTTAAAAGAGGTCCAATATTCCGTCCAAAAAAAAAAGTACGCAGTTTATACTGCACGTGGGTAGAAGAACAACTAAAAGGGAAAAATAAATATAAATACATATAAAAGTCAAGTGATATGAAGGAGGTAGATTCAAGACCTAGGCTAATTTGAAACTTCATATATATGCAGTATTGCAACGCATGAAGCTTTTGAAGGAAATAAAAAAAAAAAAAAAAAAAAAGCATAAACAAAATTTTAAGAAAAATGATTTCCCCTTTTTTTTTTTTTTTTTTTTTTTTTTTTTTTTTTCTTTTCCTTATCTATATATAGCCAACTTTGAAACATAAAATTGAGATGAAAAAAAATTTAGAAGCATTATTTGATAGGGGACATTAAAGTAAAACTCCTCTTTTCCCCCATGGCCATTAAAACAGATGCACATTTCTGCAAACATCACCCATATGTGTAAAATTGCTTTCATACGTCATATAGATAAGCATACACTTTACATATAATCATCCCCTTGTTGCTGAATTTAAACATGACGAAGTATATGCAAGTTTACGAAGAGAGAATAAAAAAAAAAAAAAAGAGGCATGGGAGAGAATTATGAAATTAGCGAATAATCTAGCACATAATTTGATATATTTTCTCTCCTTTATAGCCATGCTTATGTCTATTAAATGTAAAAACATTACAATTGTAGGGAAATATTTTTTTTTATGCAAGTACACAAAAAGAATTAATAAGAATTATTTAAGTTCATATATAAGAAAAGATGTTGAAAACTATTCGAAATATTTTAAAAATTCCTGTTCTCTGATTTTATCTTCTGGAACTGGAGGAACAGAAGCTTGTGACTTTTGCAACATGTTGTATAATATGTATATGAAATATTTATCAAAAATGAAAAATAAGAAAAACATAAAATATGAAGTGATCGATTTAAGTAAGAATGAAGTGGGGATAAAAAAAGTGGAAATAAAAATTGATGGAGAATACAGTTTCTACAATTTTGTATCAGAAAAGGGGATTCACAGGATGGTTCGAAATTCTCCATTTAATGCGCAAAATAAAAAAATGACGTCATTTGTAAAGGTTGATGTAATACCTACTTTAAGTTATAACGACACGAATGTAATTAATTTTTTAAATATAGCTGAAAATACTTCTACACCGGTAAAAAAGGTTCTGAACAGTCGTAATATGAACATTAATGAAATTCCAATAAATAAAAGCGATTTGATTATTCAAACCATGCGTTCGGGTGGGAAAGGAGGACAAAATGTTAATAAGGTTGAAACAGCTGTTCGAATTTTACACAAACCAACAAATATTTCTGTAAAAGTATCTAGTGAGAGATCTCAAATTCTTAATAAAAGAATTGCATTAAAAACGATATATGAAAAATTGCTGTATTTACAATTAGAAGCTCTAAAAGATAAAAAATACGAACTAGCTAATAAAAGCTTAACACATTTCGGAGAACAAATTAGAAATTATATTTTGTATGGAAATAAAATGATAAAGGACATAAGAACCAATGCCACTTCGACTGATGTTGATCGAGTCTTGTCTCAGGGAGAAATTGATTTGTTTGTGGATGCATACAAAAAATATCTATAAAAAAAAGAAAAGTTTAAATAAAAAACAATGAGAAGTAGACGCATTGTGTAAATGCATGAGCTTGCGTGAGAATATGTATTTTTAATTACGGATACATTGTACAAACTGAAATTTCCCGTAGTATCATTTTGATTACCCTTATTTAGTTTTTTTTTTTTTTTTTTTTTTTTTTTTTTTTGACGTCTTTTTGAGAGAAACCTTCTGAAGAAAGACAAACAAAAGGTAGAGTCGTTCTTTTTGTGCAACAGTAATGGATGACCAATGTTTTAACATATATGTTAGATTAGGACATATGCTGTTGCTGAGGTAATGTATGAACTGCATTTTTTTTTTCTTTTTTGGTTCACATGGTTGGTTAGTTATAGTTTTTTATGTGGAAGGCAGATCAACGGCAACTTTGATAAATGAAGACAACTGTAAATTTAATGTTGAAGACGAGTTATCCAAATGTAACATTTATAATTGCGTTAATTTTTTTTTTTTTTTTTTTTTTTTTTGCCGTTTCTGCATGACGAGTGGAAAGAACTCAACGTTGTCACATAGTGTACTTTGAAAATGTAAAATAAAAAACGGATGAAAAAAAGGGAGAAAAGGTTGTGTAATATAAATATACAGGAATGAAGTATGTTTATAATCTACGAATGGAAGTACATTTTTTTCCCATTTTTCCCCCTGCCATTCCTCCATCACTATAATACACACAAAATTACCATCTATATTTTTTACGTTATGTTTTGAAGAGGAAAGTACTGGAAAAATGGTTAATAAATAAAATAAAAGAAAAATGCTTATTTACCAACAAGATTTACTTATCATGTTTAATTCCCCCAAGTTTGAAGTAATTTTCTACGCTTAACAATTTAAATGCATCGGCAGTGCTACAAAAATTGTAATCTCATTATTTTATTATATTTTTCTTTTTCTTTTCTTTTCTTTTTTTTTTTTTTTTATTTTCACTATTTTGAAAAAAAATTAACTTTTCCTAATTTTATTTGTAAAATGTAAAAGAATCAAGAATTACACATTTTTACACATGCTTTATAGATATTTTTCACTCTTCTGAAGCACTGTAAGCGCGCAGTTTGCTGAAAAGGCAGTGCATCATTCAAGGTATTTGAAAAAAAAATTCGCATAGAGGGAAGAACAACAAAAACGAGTGCTAATATGCATGTTTATTTGTGCTCATATTTTTGGGTGTTCATATTTATGCGTGTACCTGTTTAAGTGTATATCTGTTAAAATGCACACCAACGCAAGCGTGGAAAACAAAAGAATTTATGAACGTATGTGTGTGTGCCCATGAGCACCCATTTGAAGTCTGCTTCACACCCGTAGAGGCACTCCTTAGTAACCAATATTACATGAAGAGAAAAGTTATGCCGAAAATTAATTATACCATTCTTACAACACATGTTCGACTCATTCATATGGTGTAGAAACACTATGTATATTTGATGATTACACATTGGATGATCAAACATTGGGTGATCACATATTTAATTCCTTTTTGCTTAATTTTCCTTTGACGATATTTAATTCCATACGATTAAAATGAAATAATCAAAATGAAGCAGCTTTTGAAAAAATGCTTAAGTGATAGTAGCGTGGATCATGTAATAAGTGTGGAAGAAGGACTTTTCCAAACCTGCAAAATGATAGTAGGTCTGGGAGATGATGTAGATGAGTTAAATTGTATGCAAAATGGAAATATAGAGAATGACTTTTTATGCATGCCTGATAACTATGCGAAGAAGAATTGTGTAGAAGGGTTACGGATGAGCGGGTCAAATGGAGGAAAATTTGAATGCATGGTTAATTTGAATGAATATTGTGAAAATAATTTTAATAAAATGTTTAATATAGAATACATAGATTTACCCTTATTATTTTATGAGACCATTTTTTTAAATTTTTTTAGTTCATTTATGGATCGGAGGAAAGATAAAGAAAAAGAAGAAATATGTTGGGAAGACAACATATATATAATGCATAAATTATACCAAAAATTGGAGAGTCAGAAATACATATTATTGCATAAAGCTAAATCAATTCCTAATCAAAAAAAGAAAAAGAAAAATTTGAATTATAAAAATGGAGATGCATACTTATGTAGTGATAATATTATAGCCATAGCAGATGGTGTCTCTTCCATAAAATATAGTGGGATAAATGTGAGTAACTTCTCAAATGAGCTTTTAAAAAAATGCCTAAATCTGTACATACACAGAAGTGTTAATAATAAACTATTTGAGGAACAAAATCGGGTCATTTTTAATCAGCACAGCGTAAAATACAAAACGGAGGAAATGTTAAAACCTATTGTGTGTAGAAGTGCATGTTCTTCTAATTTTTTAGGTGCATCTACACTTTTAATATCTTCAATGGAGAAAGAAAAGTTACATGTATGCACAATTGGAGATTGTCAAATGTTGATTTTACGATTTAAGTCAAATTTTCTAATAGATAAATGTATTCGAGAAGTGCATTTAAAAATTGAGTCTAATGAAGATATGTCACATTCTACTAAACGAGAGAGTGATGTAATGGATACATTGGACGATGAAAAATATGGATATACACAAAATGAAATTCCATATGAACAAACAGATGATTACACGTTAAATCCTGATCAGCAGATATCAGACAAGCTTATTTCTTCCCAACATAGTTCTAATTCAATGAAATGTAACTCGAAAAAAAACGATCCTTTTATTACACCCCTAGTGAGTAATAGTAAAAAAGGCATAGCTCATGACAACATGAAGGATGATAAATTCAAGTTAAAAAAATTGTATTCACAGAGAAAGAAAATGCATAACAACAATGCGTTTAAAAATATAAGCGCAGATATGGTTAAGACATCCAACTGTGATTATATTACATTATACATGGAAGAGGAGTTAAGTGAAGATATATACGAAGATTTTGAAGAGTACTTGGGAGAAAACAATTATAAGATAGGAAATCTACTATTTGTGATAAAGGATGAGGATGTTCCACCAGTTTCAGATATAACATCTGAGACGATTACAGAGCATAATTTAAATTTGAAGTTTGACCCTAATTTTAGTCAGAATTGTTCTCATACCACTGAGAACAACATTTCTGAAAATTTCAATCAGCCCATTTCAACACAGACAACAATGGATGAAAGTGGATATAGGAATTTACTAAATTTTTTTGACATGGATCGTACAGATATTTCTGCTATTGAACGGGAAAGGAAAAACGAAAAGAATGTTTTTAAAAAATACAATGAAGGGAATCTCGAAATAATGACAGAGAATGTAGAAACCTGTTTGGATGAAGAAAATAGTCAGAAATGCACAAACATTAACCAATTTAATAATTATCGATTCAGATATTTTGATCATGAAAGAAATTATTTTGATATAATTTATAAATCAAAAATTCAGCAGCATTATTTCAATTGTCCTTATCAAATAACCTTCATGCCCACTAACTTAAAGAGCAATGTACAAAATAACAAGAATACTCAAAATAGCACAAAGAGTAAGGTTAAAATGAACACATATAATGACATAATTTCAAAATGCTTAAGATATTGTGAATATTCTATTATTGATATAAAAACTAATGATGTCATCATAAGTGGAAGTGATGGATTGTTTGACAATTTGTATGATGATGATATAATGGAAATCTTATTTAACAATTTCTACATTGTTAAATGCAACAAATTTATAAGTTTAAAAAAAGTTATTAACTTTTATGACGAATTTAGAAAAACCTTAAATCGCATTAACCGTATGATTTCAAACAATTGGAAAAAAGGGAATGTTTCTAAATGTGTTTTTAAAGGAAATACAAGTCAGTCTGATAATATAAATGTCAAAATTGATCAATGTGGGGGAGAAATTATATCAGAAGAGACTTCTACTACAAATCGTGGAGTGACGTCTAGCAATCGCAATTCTGAAGTAAACCTGGAGATTTTGAAAAAAAGGGAAAAGACTGATAAATTTAATGACGACAAGGAGTGCGAACACAAGTCTGAGGTTAACTATAGTGAGGGAAAAAATGTAGAAAGTGACACATTGAATGATGCTTCTAATGATGGTGATGGAAAAATTGCAGACCTCCTTTCCAGGAAAGTTAATACGTATGATTATTTAGACAGGCATGGACTCGATGGAAGTGTATATGAGAATATCTTTGATGATAAAAAGAATAAAGAAAATGGAGACAATACTTTTTCTAGTAAAAAACACAAAAATAATATAGACACTGCTATGCTTAAGTTAAAATTTCAGTCTAAAATGAAGAGCATGTTTTCGATGAGAACTAACAATAAACATGAAATCACGGCGAAAAATAGAGAGAAGAGCGATAAGAAACTGGAGAGAAGCCTGAAAAAAAGTGAGAAAAACCAGAAGAAAGGTGAGAAAAGCCAGAAGAAAGGTGAGAAAAGCCAGAAGAAAGGTGAGAAAAATGGAAATGTTGAAGAGAACGATGATAATGAGCATAAAATAATTAGCTACATTGTCAAAAACGATTCATCTAAAAGTTTTGTGAAGAATAAAACGATTGATTATGATGAACATAGCAGCAATCAGTCTGAACAAACTGAACAATCTGAACATTCTGCACAATTCATATATGAAAATGGCGAGGGTTCCAATGTTAGAGAGAATTTAAAAAATAAACAAAGTTGGGAGAAATTTACGGAATGTGACGAAGCATATTCTGAAGATTTGAACTTGTATAATTCAGATAAGTCTATGAAAATATGCAGTTCGAATGAGTGGAAAGGGCTGGGAAATATTACACACAATAAAGGCGATAAAAATTTGAAGACAAATGAAACTGTCTTTTGTGCTGTGAATGCACACTCAAATGATCCACATGTAATGGAACGAAAAAGAACAACGGAAATAATCAAAAAGGATCTCATTAGTGGAGTGAGAAGGGAAAATTTTCACACCGAAGATATATACATAACAGAACAGAACATCTTAACCGAAATTCCTGACCTAAATAGCTATTTCAAGGATGGTGTAGGAGGTGAAAAAAATGAAAAAAAAAAAATAAAAAAAAAACTATTTATCCAGGGAAAAATAGATTGCGGCATACTTTTATATGAACCAAACGATTTTGTACTATTTGACGAAAGCAACAACATTTATTTAAACACTAAAAAAGCGTGCAATGAGCTTGCAGAATTAGCCAGCATTTTAGCCAACCAGGAAATGAATAAAACTTTGCTAAGGAAAAGAAGAAAGAAATACAATGCAGAAAACATAAATACGAATATGAAGGAAGAAAAGAGGAATCCAGAAAGTACACTCACATGTGAAGTAAAAGGAGAATATGAAAATGATAAGCCATCTTCTAAATATTCCCTTTCAAGTACGCATGAAAAGGAAACACAATTATTTGATAAAGTTAATTACGACGATATGAAATCAAACAAATCAAATGATAAAATAATTTTAACACCGATATCTCAGTTTATTTTTGATAAATACAATAAATATTTTAATATGGGAAAGCCTGATGATATAACTGTCATACTTTCTGTTGTTAAAGAAAACAAATACAATTTGTAAAATAGGAAAAATAAAAAAAAAATTTTTTTTTTTTTTTTTTTTTTTTTTTTTTTTCTCCTCTTCGTAAACTTTTCTTTGTCTAATATATTGATTACTTATTGTTTTGTCTTATATATTGCATTTTTTTTAAGCTTTTGTTTATTTTTTTTTTATTTATTTCTGTTTTGCGACATAATGGTATCCATTTTTACCCCAACGTGTTAAAAGGAACACATATTATATTTGTCCATTTTGTGGGAGTTTTTTTTTCTCTTTTTTGTTTAAGAGTCATATATGATGCATACAAAAGAACGAACTTTTTAAAAAAAGCATATATTTCCAGAAAAAGCATGACGATGGTAAAATGAATTCTTGTGTATCTATACATAGCCTGTGAACAAAATTGGAACCATTTTGTGTTCATAATTTAGTTTGCAAAAATGCAAAATGTGTGTCATTTTTAAGATGTACAGTTTAAAATTTTTTTTTTCCCTTGCACATAATGCAGTGTGGGGAAGGGTAAATGTGTGAAATAAAACAAGGGGGAAATACGTAAAAAAAATATAAGGCAAAAAGACAAAAAAGTAAAAGTAAAAAAATGCGAAGGTGTGAGAAAAATGACAACACTTAAATGTGATATTCATCAAACTCTGGAACATGATTAATATTAGAAAAGATTTACTTTTCAATAATTAAAAAAAAAAAAAAGGCCTAACAAAATAGAATGAAAAATTCGTCACCATACGTGCAAAACTACTGATCATTGCGATATGTCAAACATTGTCCAGATACAAATAATTGAGTGATGAGAAGTATGGATAATAATAATTTTCATGTGTTAAAATGCTTTGAATAATCAGGCTGTAAAATGTTAATACGTTCAAATGTTTCTCCGTTGTTGCGTCTTTAGAGCCCTTTCCATCTCTCGCATTTTTAGGAGCCTTTTCAGCTTTCGCTCCTTTTGAGTGTCTCGAGCTCCCCATATGGATGCGAAAGGGCGTATCTGCAAACGTGGTCTCTCCATTTTTAACATTGTATTTTCGTTCAAAATCAATGTTATAATTATTTAGTGGAGACAAATTCATTATAAGATATCTGTGAATTATGGAATATTTTTTCTGGTATTGAAGATAAGGATCAAAAGGATCATTACTTTTTTTGGGTTTTAATTCCCACCTCCTTTGAATGAAACTATTTATAATCATTTCAATATGTTTTTCAAAATTGACCAAAAATACATACAAAAAATCATCTACTTTGGTATTCCCACAGGGTGTACTTTTTTTCGATTCACTATTCATCAAATTGTTTGCGCAGTAAAAAGAGAAAAAAGAAATAAAGTAATTGTCTAGGAATTTATAAATCAATATTTTTCTGAAAAAAAAAATTTCATCATTATTGTTAATATTTATTTGCATTAACGATGCATATCTTTCACTATGGTTACTATTCGAGCATGCTGTTGTTCCTTTAATATATTTCTCAATGTCATTTACACTTGTTTTGCCTTTCCAAATGGGGATATTTTCTTTACTCCTAATATTTATGTCATACATATTGTTTAATATTTTTCTTTCATTTTTTCCAACCGTTACATGCCAAAAGTGATTTTCAGAAAATTTCCCTTTTCTATCACGTCTATGTTGTGACAGATCAGCATCGTTATATTCGTTTGGATAATTATGCACATCAGTTTTGTTGAAAATTCCAAAAGTTTTATCACTGTCTGGATTAATTGTATTCTGCACACTAGGTACATCATTAGTATATATTTTATAGCTGCAAGGGATAACCTTTTCCTCTTCTTCCTTATCAAGAAAAGGTGCTATTCTCATCTTCTTCCCCTGAGGAATATTAAAATAACGAAAAATGGGATACCTCATTTTGAACCTTGTTAATGCGTGATTGTAGAGGGTGTAAGCTGTTACTATGGAACCTTTTCTATGTAATCCTTTATCCTTAGAATAATTGGAAAAGTATAAAGAGTAATTAATTTTTCTTAATAAAGAATCATCATGGTCCTTACTTAGACTTTGATTTTTGTCTTCCCCGTATATGTTATATCTTTTATGTAATTTTTTTGGAACCTTACATGTATCACAATTTTTGGAATTGCTTATGAAGCTGCTGCTGAGAGTGTATATAAGGGCATTATGAACTACCTCTTTTTGGTTAATCATTTTATGCGATTGTTTTTGTTGCTCTTTTGGAATATCATCAGAATGAACTAATTGTATTGATTTATTTCTTGCGCTTCTTGGTAGAATTTCCAAATGGTATAATTTGCACATTATGGATAGAGATAAAAGTAACAGAGTCCAAATGAGAACCTGGTTGAGTATTTCCTCGAGGAAATGTTCCTCCACATTGTTCATGTAAATTCGCAAAATGTTGTCATCGTATGCATGAAACATACTTATTTTTTGTTCTAAATGCTTATGATTGATTGAGAAATTTTCATTTATAAGTTGTTCCTTTCTTTTTATTATTAACAAAATCATGTTGTTGTAAAAAAAGAAAGAAAGTGATAAAGAAATATTCATAAAAAGTTGAATTTTATTTTGCTTGAGTTTTTCTTCTTTATCAGCAAAATGATTAACAAAAAAGGATAGCAAAACAAACAAATGTCTGAAAAAATCATTAACAATAAAATTATCTTCCTTCTTCCCACTTCTATTATGGAGCTTTTCTTTTTTCTTTTTTTTTTTTTTCCTTTTATTCTTTTCATTTTTACAAAAATGATGTTTCACATTATTTATATAAAGCTTTTTAAAAGGGGTTCTTCCATTTTTATGTAAAAAAATGTCTGAATACATTTGTATGAGGAAATGATCAATATGGAAAAATAAACATGCATCAATGAAGTATCTTAAAATTTTTGAAAATTTCTTTTTTTTTAAAAAATAATTTTCTTTTCTCACTAATGTAGAACTTATTTTCTCCCCATCCCCTAAATCAATTGTGTCAAAAATGTTCAAGTTGGTTCTTGACTTTTCCATATTCTTTTTTATCTCATTTGTTATTTCATCTTTCATTTTTAACTCTTTGAATTCCTCATTCAGTTTTTTACCCCTTATCATTTTATTAGAATGTACGTTTTCATCCTCTCTTAGCATTTCTCTTTTTTTCACTACGTTATAACCGTTTGCCTCAGACTCCTTAGACATTGTCAAGCAATACAAATCGTTAATATCAACTGCGAAGGAAAATGGGTCATGTATTCTCTTCAATACGACAATTTTGTTATTATTATTCTTAAATTTCTTTCCATTCCTATTGGATACATGAAAAAGTAAGTATTTCAAAATTTTCCTTTTCATTTTATTTCTACAGAAAAGTTCATTTTGATCATTTATTTTTCCCTTACACAATGTCATACCTATTTTAGTACCCCCAAGGGAGAGGTACTTTTTTAGGTCTTTGCTGTTCTTAGTGAAATTTTCACTGGAATTTTTCTTAAAGTGAGCAGAAGAATAGCACATATATTTTTGATACTTTCTTTTGTGATACTCTATCTGTAATTCATTTTTTTGGTTAATTATAATATTAAATAAAATTTTATGTGAATTTTTGATTTTTATAAATGGCATAACATGGGTAAAGTTATGAAAAAAGAAATGTATGTGATATACATTTTTTATTAAAAATAATATGTCCGATATGTGGTAAATTCTTAATTTCAAATCGTCAATTTCGTGTGCATATTTTTTGTTATATATATTTTTATTATTGTATAACCCTATATAATAAAACTTCTTCGTTAAGAGGACCGAGTAAAATAGTAATAGTATATGGCCAAAATGTATTTTATCGAATGTGCCTGCGAACAGGCCTATATCACTTGTGTGTAATCTTTTTCCTATTACCCTTTTTATTTTATATTTTTGTATTTTTATATTTTTTCGCCTCCTTACATTTTTTCCATTCCTCTTTCTTCGGTGATGTTTATTCTCACTAGTCACGTTTATTTCGATTATTCCTTCCTCTTTTTTCACATTTCCATAATGTTGCTTAATCGGGGGTTCCTCGTTTGTAGTTTTTTCTAAACCTGATACTTTTTCTCCACTTTGAAAAATTTCACCCTTTTTGTGTGTATATTTTGCCAATCTGCTCTTTCTACATTTCCCTATTCTTATCATTTTTATAACATCCTGGCCATATACCTTCTCATACGGCAGGGTAAAATTCTTGTTTGGGCTGTTCAGTAGGATAACGGGGCAGTAATATCGCTTGAATCGAGAGACGTCTTTCTTTGATAACAATTTCTCATAGTAATTAATAAATGAAAAATTCTCGAAATATATATACGTATATAACTTGTGTAAATCTGATATGGGTAAGACTACACGGATTGATGTTTCTAATTTGTGTTCATAAATTTTTTCTACAATATACTTTAAATAATAAAAAGTAGACATTTTTAATATACATTTTGTACTAATAAAACTTACAAATAAGTAAATATTTTTAACGTTCTTTTTTATTCTGATAATAAATTTAATTAGCCATTTTATATTTTGTTCTACTTTTTCAAACAGTTTATTTTCTGTGCTTAATTTTAAGCTTACGCTATTTTTTGCATGGCTGAAATTATAGTTTTGAAAGCGTTTATAAAAGCACGTACCAACGTTGAAATTGCTTAAGTACTTGTTTTTTGCATGCCAACAAATTCTTCTTCCACGCCACTTGCTGTAGATAACAAAGTTGTAGTCTTCAAATATTAGGAACCCATTTTCATACGATGACTGTTTTCTCATTTTGCCGCTATAGATGTGTCTTCATAATTATATGAATATGCACTCATACATGAAGTTAATCTAATAGGGCTGCATGCAGTTTTATTTTACGCGATGTCTACATGGGCATATGTATATGGGTATTTGCATAAGCATCTATGTAGATATACAGGTAAACATCAATACGGACATATACAGAAACATCTATGCGGATACACATGTATATATTTTCTACCTGAATGCTCATGTAAAAACACTGTAATGCATCTATAGGTGTTCCCGTCGAGGGGGCGACGACTGTCCCATTTTCACATTTTTTTAAAAATAATATATATATATATATATATATATATATATATATATATATATATATATTTATAACAATCTTATAACTTTATTTTCCACGATTTTTCATCATTTTTTTATGTCTACATTTTTAAATTTTAAATCAATTTTAATCGCAGCTTAGTCACTAGTTACTATATGATAACAATTTTAATTCTTCTTTTCTTTTTTTTTTGTGGGATCCATATTGGATATGACAAGATGAACAAATGAGAAAAAAAATGGGAGGGGAAAAATGGGATATAAAATTTTGTATGATAAATGTCTGTTCTTCAGCAGTGGTATCATAAATTATTCTCATATAAGCTAATATACGTGCTCCTTTTCGAGAATGGAATACACGAATATTTTTAAGTGACGTGTTACATATATGAACATGATGTAGTCCTATGTATATATAATAAGCCCTTTGAAATATGATACGTGCGGGGGGAGAGAAAAAGCATGAATATTCAAATTATGCCTTAATGTGTACATGTTTTACATACATTTTATTAACTACTTATCATTTAGACTAAAAGCTTTTTGCTAAAATCATATCTTGTGCTTAATTCTACACTTCATATAGTTGAAGAAGCATTTTTTATTAAGCATGAGAATAAATTTACACACAAAATCAAATAATGCAAAGGGGTAGGAAAAGAGAAAAGGGTATCTCGTTAATTAACTGATGGGGAAAAACACATATAATTATCAAAAATTTATTTTTTTAAGTGTTCACGATTACGTGACGAATGACAAATTTAATTCTCCTCGAATTTAATGTATATATAGATTGATAAAAAATTATTAAACCCCCGTCTGAAATAGAGCAGAGTTCTTAGAAGAAAAATAATCATAAAACAGGTGTAAAATATATGGAAAAACACATAGGAGAAGATGTATATAAAAAAAGCTGTAATTTGCTCACCCTTGAAATGGTCATAATGGGGTGGGAGTTATTTTTCTGCGAAACCGTTTAAAAAAAGTTTTTCAAAAAGAAAAAAAAAAAATTATATACTGAATTGGTGCAACTATGAATAAATACTCAATTCGCATAAGTGGAAAGGTTGAAAAAAAAAAAAAAAAAATAATAAAATAAAATAAAACAATAAAATATCAGATAATATGGAATGGCATATTGCGCATATATTACAAAGAACATAAAATCATTTTCAAACGTTTCTTCATAATGTCCATTCGGTAGTAGAAGATTATTCGAGTAAAATGCGTTAGGAGGAACTCGAAATTTTATTTGCAATGAATGAAATTAAACTGTTATAAGAAGAAGAAATGTACATGTGTTAAGTTTTTTTGGTTCATACACAAGGAACTAATTTCATTATGGTGACTATTTGTGTATTTTTGTTTATTTTTTGTTTTTTTTGTTTTTTTTTTTTTGCAGCTCCTATACAGTTTTAGTCGAAATTGCAATATTTTGCTTGTGAAAATATTAACACACATTCCATTCGCCTGTGAACAAAGACTTATATGTATACATATACAACTTCTTTTGTGTAAAGGAAAATCTTTGTATTGTTATTTCATAAAACATTTTTATGTTTTACGTGTTTTTAAATGAAGAAGTTATTATATAGAAGAAATCACTCTTTATTCTAATAGCAGAAATGTACAGGTTAAAAGAAAACGTGAGGGGTAGCGGGGAAAAGGAAAAATAATATATAATATGCGAATTTTTTTTTTTTACTGCTACAAGGAAAAAAAAAAAAAAAGCAACTGAAAGAATGGAAAAAGCTACACTCATTATTCTGGCACATGTTAAACTTGGAAGCTTGACTGAGGAAAGCAACAATTATAATTTACAATACATTTAAGTAAATGACTCATTCGTTGAATTATTCCTTAGTCCATTTTTAACATTTTATCATTTTTCTTTTAAAAAAAAAAAAAAGGTGAAAAATTTAGTGCCTTTTTATTACAACACGGAATACATATGTGCAAAGTGTACCTTATACATATGTTATCATCTCTTTTTTCACAAACCCAGTATATGACAATCTTACATTTTGTATGCTCTTTGCAAAAGGGTGTTTTACTTAGTGAACATGTGAATTTGAGGTGTGCGTGTGAAGCAAGCATTAAGTAGCCATGTTTTAAAATAAGAAGCAATTAAATGCAACTTTTCGTTTTACACATAAGCGAATGTAAAAACTGATTATTCGGATTACTCAATTATTGTTATGCACAAGTCTAGCCATAAGCCATAACAATTTTGCTAAATTTTCAAAATTTAAGCATTCCGTACGTTATGAAATATGGATGCTCAGGAAATTACAATGATAACGTTGCGCTGAAATGTTTGTTTTCGTTTTTTTTTAATCGCCTTTCTGTTTGTTTGCAATCCTTGTATTCTTTACATTTTTCATATGATATATCTATATGCGGTTATACAGTTATCCTTATGTTAAATTCTTCTATGCCATTCACAGTCATAGTATTCATGTGCAATTACCTCATTTTGTGGGAGCTCTTATTTGACTAAACAAATAATAACATTTTTTACATTTTCTTGTTTTACGAATTTTTTCACATGACTATTTACACAGATATAAATGTGCAAAAAGATCAGTTGTGTATTCAGTATGAAGAAAAGAAAAAAAAAAAAAGTTAATAATTTTGTTCATTTTTTATGGGCGTGAAGGCAGGGTTATTTTTTATGTCTATATTGGGTGTGGACCAAAGCTAAGGTTGCGTAAGAAGGTGGAAAAAAAATTAAGGGAAAATCATTTCTCCCTATATACACATCTAACGAAACTGTCATGAACTTTTTGTCATAATTTACCTAAAACATATCAATTGGGGGAATCTGAAAAGTGGAATAAACCTTAAGTTTATAATACTTCCATTCAAATTGTTAATATTTATTTACTGATATATGTATATATATATACTATATTGCCTTAATTTGGTTGAGACGCAAACTCTTCCCTATTGAGTTGGAATGTACATATACATCAACATGTAAAATATATACATCAAGCATACCATTATATATTTAAAATGCAATCTAGCAAATGCTGTGACGTGGGGAATAAGAACTTATAAGCACGCTACAGTTCTTGTAAAAAAATTATAAACGGTTTTTTCCCTTTGCATGATATGCGATATAGGGGTGGGGATATTTATATCTTATAGAATGGAAGGAGTTATCATAAGCTTTCAAATTGACATATTTATGTTAACACATTTTTATGTTAAAACATTCTTACATTAACATATTTTTGTATTGACATGTGTTTCTGTGGAATATGTGAATGTCCTCACGGAGTACGTTAAAAGGCATATGGTACCATTTACACTCCTTTGTGTGGCCTAATAATAAATGCTCTGTGTATATTTTCACGTCCGTATGAATACTAATGCAATTGTGTACATGTGCTGACGTATGAACATTTAATGTATTATGTGTTACACGTGTACTCTTTTTTTTTTTTTTTTTTTTTCTTTTCGTTCCTTTTCATTTAATTTCTTTTCTTTTTTTTTTTTTTTCTTTCTGCTTTTGCAATTTTAAGTCATATCCTTCAACACCCTTTTTCTCTTCGTTTTTTCATACGAATTATGTCCCTCACATATGTGTATATGTTTGGGGAAAATTGACATGTGTTAGAATGTATAACACACGAATGAAATTTTCGAAATGTACAAAAAAGTGAAAGTTGGCCATACATACATGCTAATTTTTACGTGTCATAATTATTTATATATGGTTTTTTTTTTTTTTTTTTTTTTTTTTTTTTTTTTTGCGTATTGTTTGTCATATGCCTAAGTACTTGTATATATACAAATGTATGTGTAATGTTTAACTTAACGTACTTTAACTACTTTTTAAAAGTTAATGAAAGATAACTTTCTCAGTTCTTGTACTAAGAAAAATTTAAAGGATTGATGACCAGAAAATAAAAAAAAAGATAACGATAAGGAAAACAAAGAAGATAGCGAAAAGGAAAAAAAAAAAAAAAAAAAAAAAAAAAAAATGTAGCGAAAAGGAAAACAAAAAAAATAGAAAAAAAGAAAACAAAGAAGTTACAGAAAATCCTCAATTTATTATAAACTATGTGTATGTAAATTCCTTTTTTTTTCTTTAAACGGGAAAAATAACACTTAAATGCGAAATAAGTACTTAAGCTTTACTCTTTTTATTTAAATAAAAAGATGCACTGCAAACTGTGTATTTTAATGAAGGGTGAAACTTTTATATGTAGTATATATATATATATATATACCCATCACACTTGTTCTTTTTTTTTTTTTTTTTATTGAATGTTCACATTTTTTTCCCTCTTAACATTTTTATGCTCTTCCTTATTTTCCATGAATCACCTTGCTGTATCCGGCTTTGGGGTTCATCTATTTCCAGTTCTTTTACATTTTAACACTTACCTTGCCATTCTCACAACCCCTTAACTGAGTGCACCCGGCTACACGCACCTTACCCACTTTCATAACAACTAAGCAAGAAATATTTCATATTAAGCTTAACCAACTCTACCATGCGACGTGCAAACATGTTTTCCCCATGAAAGAATGAAATATATTTTATTTCATTTCTTTTAAAGGTATCTCCCATACATTTTTTTTTTTTTTTATATATAAACCCAAGTTACCTACTCTTTTTAGCACACGGAAGTGCGCATACCATAAAGAATGTATACACGTTAACGTCTCGCAATAACATCCACGCATTCGTACACTTACTACATGTACTAATTGTATTACATTTTATTTAACTTTTAAAAGTATATATAATATATAAATATATTTTTTCCTAAATATAAATAAAAAAATATTCTAGCATTATACGCAAGGCCTTAGAATTACATGGCTATATGTTTCGCGTTTTTCTTTACTTAAGAGTATATATATTTATATATGTATATGACGTTTTATATCTGCTGAGAGATTTTCACGTGAGTAAATCTTAACCTTAGTAATTCTTAAGCTGAAAAACTTTAATCCTGAGGATCAACCACTTAGTACCTATTCGCATCACATTTGCCCACTGTGTATCAAACGAGGAAAACACGCTTTTGACGTTAAGGGAAAAGGGTAAATACACAAGTATGCAATCCTGAGATGCAAACAAATCATAATGAAAAAATACTTCGTTTTTGAAAATACGCAGCATTCGTATATCATAAATAGTATAAAAAATGGAGATGAATCAGAAAAGGTAAAATTTACACGATGTTTCCTTATATTTTGTGTTTCTTTTTCCGCATTCGTTTTCTTTTATTTGAAAACACATAGAGTTTTATTTTATTTATTTTTTTTCCCTTTTTTTTGTGTGTGTATTTTATTTAACAGTGTTTCTACATTTAGGTGTATTTGCATTTTATGTGGATCTCTCTACACAAATATATTGGGTCATGTTATTCATCATTATTAACATTTTTTTTTTTTTAACATCTTTATAGTTAGCAGCCCTGAACGATTTTTATGAGCACTTGAACTTGTCAGTAGATGGTGGAATAAGCAATTCCCATTTGGAGGAATATATCAACGTACTAATTCATGTGATTAATAATCCACACCTGAGTTACAGCAGTACATGTGGAAGAAAGGATAATGGTAACACTGCTGTTAGCAGAAAAAATGTAAATAAAAAGACGTCAAAGGGTTTGGATAATAGCAAGAAAATTGGTTCGGAGAAAATTAAGAACAGTGTAGACAGTGGCCTGAACAACTTTTTCAAGATAATACAGGAACGTATAGGGGTATATACGTCAGATTTTGATGAAGAGGGTGATGAATTCGATGATGAGTATTATGACGAGATGGACGAAGATGAAGTTGATGATGAGGTAGACGATGACGAAGAAGATGAGGTGGAGGACAATACCAAGGATGATGAGATGGAGGACAATGCCGAGGATGATGAAGTGGAGGACAATGTCAAGGATGATGAGATGGAGGAAAATGCCGAGGATGATGATGTGGAGGACGTCAGGGATGATAAGGTGGAGGATAATGCCAAGGATGAGGTAGATCATGATGAGGAGAATGACAGTGAATTTGTTCCAAACGATGGTAAAGAAAAAAGAAAAAATAAGAAGAAAAAGAAAAATATGGGAAAAGGAGGTGGCACCAAAAATATAAATAAGCGGTGTAACAAAAATGGAAATGAACATGCAAAAGAGGGTTCGAAGAAATATTCTAATAATTCCAATAACTCCAATAAACGTGACAATCAGGAGAAAGAAAAAATCGCGAAGAAGGCAACTCATGTTGGTAAGGCAAAAGGGAGAGAAACAAAAAAGAAATTTTCAATGGATGGAATAAAAAAAGAAATTATAATAAACTCCGAAGATGAAAGTATCAACCTCTTTTCCTACTCATATAATTCGAGTGATCCATCCAGTATAACAAGTGAATCAAGTGTCGAAGAAGATAATGAAAAAATATTTTTTAACGATGCATGTGCAATAGATGTAAAATTCATAAACATAATTTACACGGCAACGTGTTGTATATACACAATTTTGGATATTTATCCACATTCCATAAAATATGTGATTAATAATAAAGATGGAGTAAATATATTAAATAAAAAATTAAATGACATCGAATACATAGATGTGGCAGAAGTAATATTAAAAATTTTTGAAAAATTAGTGGAAAAAGATCCTATGCTTATATTAAAAAAAAAAAGCATTAAGTACATGTTAATGCATATAGATTTTTACAATATTAATATTCAAAAAAAAATTTTCTTTTGCATTATCCAAATGATTAATAATATAAAGAAATATAAGCACTTAACCAAATATATAACTCCTTATTGTAATATATTTACCAACTTTTTCCATTTTCATTATATTAATATATTAAATATTATATGTACATTATGGAGATCTCTACTTGACAAAATGATTAGCATCCGATTGGAAGAAGAAAATAAGTTGAAAAGAAATGTTAGACGTTCAATAAATGATGCATATGTAGGAGGAAAAGAAGTGGCATATATGACAATGTACAAAAAGAATTTGAAAGAACCATCTTACTTAAGTAAGTTGATGGAAAAAAAGGACATAAGGAAGAAAAAGAAAAATGAAAAAAGTGGCAGTGCTGTAGATAGTAAAAAACAAGAAGAAGGCTTGAAAGGAAAGGAACCTATTTTCATCGCATTTGTAAAAAACGGAAGATTGAAGAAAGGTTCTGATGCAAAAGATGAAGCAGACGATGGCCTAAGTAAAGAGGACGTAATCGAAATATCGAATGAAGAATTATCGAGGAGTTGTAACAAGAAGAAAAGTAATGATATTGGGAATGATGCAAATTTTGATCATGGAGTAGATGGAATGTTAAATAAAAAATTGAAGAAAAAGAGGGAAAATTTGAATAATAAAAAGAGTAAGAAGAAATCGAAAAGTTGCACCAAAGAAGAACTGTTGGAAGTTGTGGAAATTCCTGATGTAGAGGAAGTTCATGTGATGAAAGAAGAAGGAGAGAAGAAAAAGGAAATTCAAAAAGGTGATAGAGAAAATATAAACAATTCAAACGAAGATGCGTACATTACATGCTGTAGCAACGACAAAATTGGAAGAGGAATTAATAAAACAGGTATTGAATCAAAGGATAGTAATATTTGTAATAGTGAAAAAACAACACATGTCATAAAAAGGGATCAACTAAAGGATGAAGATGTGTATGTTTTAAACGAAAACTTATCCAACAAGAGCAATTGCAAAAATAGCAAATCGAATGAAAATATGAATTTTCTTAGCTCCTTTTTAAGGGATTCTCTTTATAGCATGAATAGTAGCGATTCAAAAAAAAACACTGAAACAGTTAATGTGCACGGTACCAAGGATGAATTCCAATCAGAACGCACGTCCGAAATGAAACCGAATTATACATATCATCCAAATAAGCTTTTGCAAAATATGATTCAACTGAACAGTAATGAAAGCACATATTTTAAGTTGTGTGCAGAAATAGAAAGTATATACAACATTAACATTCGTAATAATATAATAAAATTATTAATCGAATGCCAAGTTGAGGATAATTTGTATGCATTTATGGAAACATTTTATATCGTATCCATTTTGGTGCATTACAGCAATAATACACTTGAAAACTTTTGCAATAGTGATTTTTTAATTAAATTAAATGAGTTCATTCAGAATAAAAAATATCAGAATAATAACTTTTTAATATTATATATTTTGTTCACTCTTTATGCCTTTTTACCCATGTGCACATTTGATGGAATCCTAATACACGATTATGATGTAGGGAAGAATATAAATGATAAAATTTTCATCGAACAGGTGAAGTCACAAAAGGGGGATGATTGTGCCCAAGTGGAAGGAGATACAGAAAGATATTTAACATCTGACTTGTGTATGAACGATTATGTAATGTATAAATTTCCAGTAGATGTTAAGAAGCACAAGTTGGAATTTTACAAAAATAATTTTCAATATTTGACAATATTAATAAAAATAATAATACCTAGTGTGTACACTATATATAATGAAACCGTATATTACGATATTAAATATTTATGTATAGTCATTACTTTATCTATTTTTATTTCGTTGTATAAAATATTTTGGACGCTTTATAAAAATACAGAATATATCAGTTGTGTTGAGTATATTTTTTCGTATTACAAAGAAACATGCTCTTTTATTAGAAGCATCATTTTGAGTAATGTATCAGACTCATCAGTTATTAGCGGAATTATCATATGCAAAATAGTTGATCATTTTACGAGGTTTATGTGGAGTCATCATAATATTCACACTTTTGTGAAGAATGAGGAAGGAACAAGGGAAAATGCATTTGGATTGAATAAAAATAGTTACTTGGTTCAGGATGGTGTTAAGTCCAATTTTTCTGTTTCTCTTTCAGGGTGTATGGATAATAATGTTTTGAACATGTCAAATCAGAATTTAGTATCCCGTCTACATGTCTTAATTAACATTATTAATAAAATTTTATTAAAGAAAAAGAAAGAAATAGACACTAACTCGAGGAGTAACTACGCATGTCCCAGTAAAGGAATATATAATATTATGTTTAATTATTTTTATGACATGTACAGTAATAGCACAGATAGAAATAATGCTGTTGAAATGAGTGCATGCGGAAAGAAAAATTTACTATTTTTTAATTGGGAAAGAGAAATGAAAAATATTTCCCTAGAATTTGAAATGTTATTTTTAAATTATGAAAATTTAAAAATTTATAAAGAGAAGAATAAGAAGAATAGTGGTGATAGAGGAGGAGAACCCATAATTATAAGCAATCTAATTATTGAAGAACGGGCTTGTTACAATAACATTGTTTTAAGTTATTATTATTTAATTAATTTATTTTTTCATATATCCATTATGGGAGAAGATGCTTCGATATATTTCTATCAATATAATATAGCGAAACGATTGTATTTTTTTTTATTTCAGAAATTATTTTATTATGATGAAAAGAAAAAAATAGAGAAGAAAAAGAAAAGAATGGATGATATTGGAACCAATGATGCATTACCATTTTTTGAAAAAAATAGGAAAAAGTTTTTAAATTTGTTAAAGACTATCGATAGGAATATTAGGCTGTATATTTTTTTATATGCCTTACTCTTTGCTAAGCAGGAGAAAAAAGAATTGGTATATGGGATATTTTTTAATAGTGTAAGAACATTGTACAATATGTTTTACGAAATAGGAGGAGGAAACACAGACATTGTTAAGATTGACGAGAATCAGTTGGAGAAAATGAAATTAGTAGTAACAGATATATTCGATTCTTTTCATCACTATTTAATTATGAATAACCTGTCCTTTTCAAACTGTTCTTTACTTATTAAATTAACAAAGGAATGTTTAAATATGTATGATAATTTACCAATTTATTTTTTCAAAGAAAATAATAATACTATGAAAAAATGTGAAACAGAGATGCTAAACCTTAAGGAACCCGATTTTTTTGATGACAAAGGAAGTATTAACATCGATACATGGACAAAACATTATGAAGATTTCCCCTCGTTAAAAAGTGATAACATGAATTCCCTTTTTACGCCCAAGTATAGGAGAAGTAATAATGAAACTCTTATAAAATGCATAAAAGAAAGAAGAAAAAAGGGAAAAGAAGACGATTTCGTTAGTAATAACAAAAAGTGTACTATAGAATTTGCTGACCAGAAGAAGAAAAAAAAAAAAGACCCTTCAACATGCATGGAAGAAGGAGCAGAAGTTGATCCAGTTCTTGTAGAAGGGATTATAGCAGCTGATATGAGTGGTGAAATGGAAAAGGATGATAAAAAGAATAATGGAGAAAAAAACATTGAGGATGAAGATGCCAACTTTGATCTGAGTTCAGGAAAAATGAAGATAATAAAGAACATCCAAAGGGAGTTGCATGTGAAGGAAAAGGTTGAAACGAAAGAAGGTGATTCGGAAAAAGCTGACGCAGAAGCAGAAGAGGAGAAGAAAACATGCCCAATCACTAAAGTCATAAAAGAACTTAGCAAAGATGTAGAAATAATAAAGGAAAAGGGCATAGAAAAAAAGAAGGAAAAGGATATGGGGGTGAAGGATGATGAAGCAGATGATAATAACGGAGCGGGGATAGTTGAAAAGTGCACATTAAATTATAAAGTTAATAAAGAAAAAAAGAAAAAAAACAATAAATTAAACGATAACAAAAAGGGTTATAATAGTATATTTGATTATTTCTCTGGAAATAATTACAATAGCTTCGATTACATACCAAAGGATTCATTTTATGATAATTTATTTAATAATAATAACTCCACATTTGGTAAGAGGAAAAGCAGAAATATGTATAACAATTACAACTGTCACTTCCCTCTGCATTTAAGGAGAAACGGACTCTATGTGGATAATGTATCAATTTTCAGTTCTCTGAACAAGGGTATCCCCATTTCAATGTACATGCAGAAGGTTAAAGTTGAAGAAGCTGAGTGTAAGAACTCGAATGAATCAAATGGTTTATACGAATTAAATTCGATTGAGGGAAAAACAAAAACATATCATGGTACTATCAAAGATGAGAAATTGCATTCTAAGAGAGATAGCAGAACAGAGGAGTTCACAAGTGATATAGCTAAAGGAGTCATGACAAACGTTGGAGGAAATAACAAGTTGCAGAAAATTCCGAAAGGTTTGTTATCTAACAGAAACTTGTGCACAAAGGATATAACACATAGATTATTGTATTTGGGAAGAGGGTATCATGAGAAACCAAAAAATTTACATGGTACATTTAACATATTCGAATCGTTTAATAAAATAGAACATTACATAAGAAAAAATTTAAACAGAAGTAATAAAAATTTGTATTCTAAATATTATTCGAAGGACGATGATTTGGTTATTCTATCAGTTAATGGTGTTGATGTACATAGCGATTCGTGCATTTCAGAATATCTAATAAAATTAAATGATCTGTATTATATGAATAAAAATATAGCTTGTGTCAATGAAGAAAGTATATTTTGTAATTCGGAAAACTTTTATGTGTATAATGATGTCGTCGAATTGTTACCAATGAATTATGGCAACATGAAAAGTCAGATAAATTACCTTTGGAATAATCATCTAAGTGGCACTTCTTCTACAACTGGTAGTTATGATATTGAAAGTGGTATCAGCAGCATTGGCAATTATGGCAGTATTGGAAATTATGGAAATATAGGCAATCGTGGAGGTATTAGCAATAGATCCCATAACCTAAATTTTAGAGTCATTAAAAAGAGAAAACAAAGTGATGGACATATAAATTTAGAACCCGATGATTTAAGCAGTAAAAACAGTATACAGATTGTGTCGAAGAAAAAAAAAACAAATAATAGTTTAACAGAACTTAGTGAGGAAACAAAAAGAAAATTATGGGAAAGGAGAGAAAATGAATGTGATATGTACAGTTATGTAGATTCTGTTACGTATAGAAAAATTAAATCTAGTATTGAAACTCCATTCTATTGCAAAATTATTAGTGATAAATTTAATTTTTATAACATATCATTCGACTTAGTTAAAAATCTGTACAATTCGGAGTACCTGCTAAATGATAGTAGAAATATGAAGAACAAGTCAGAAGAGGATGAAAAAAAAAACAATTTTCTCATGATGAAAGGCAATTCAAATGACGATTTGGAGAGAAAAGAAAAAGTGAGTTACGAAATGAAGGAGGAGAAAATTTTCCAAGAGAAGAGGAAGCAAAATACGGACGGAAATAATGATCTAAAGTATGTGGATCTTACAGATGGGAAATATTTTGAAGATGTCTACGATACAAACTTGATGAAGTCTTACGAGAAGTACTATTTAGAAGGAGAAGAGAGACCTTCTTTCTTGTTAGATTATATAAATGATAATTATAAAAAGAAAGAATTGAATTTTTTCCTGTCCCAAAAAAATTGTGTACAGAGTGATTCAATGTATTTGTCATCCTTTTTGAAAACCGAAATGCAGAAGGTAGCAGAATTGTTTTTTCTGGAAGATCATTACATTAATAAGGACATTATGTTGAGTACTCATTTGCACAACATTAACTTTCTGGTGCATAAAAGCAATTCTGAATGTAAGGATACCTGCGGAAACGGAAGTAATATTAGTAATGGTTATAGCAGCCCAGTAGACAAAATTCGAATGAACAGAGAGAGGGAAAGATTCTTATATTTGAAATATCGAAAAGGTTATGCCACTGGTCTATCGTCACACTATGATGCAACGAAGGTTGATGAGTTTGAGGGGCATAACTTTAATAAAAATGTCAATCTCGAAAATGAGGAGGAAGAACATTTGTTATTTAATTACATGCCAATGTATTGTGATATTATAAAAAGAGCAGATACTGTATCGCTTTCGAGAGAGCATGCAGTGAAGGAGAAAGGAGAAGAAGAAAAGTTCCCAACGCATGAAGCTGCAACGCAGGAAGAAACAGCTCATGAAACCGGAACACATGAAACTGCAACACATGAAATTGCAGCACATGATCGATTTTCCCACAAAATGAGAAAATTCCCGGACGAAGGTACAAATGGAGGGGCCCAACAAATACAAAATGAAGATAAAGATATATTCATAGAGAATATATACAATTTTATGTTCTTCAAATTTTTATATCTGCTATATAAGCATTTTAAAACATGTGATATTCCGTCATTACTAATGTTTTATATGAATAACAAGGTAGGAGAAAATTTAATGTACATGAAATTGGATGAAGATGCTGGGGGTAACAGCATGTTAAATGAAGAAACAAAAATAGAAATGGAAAGGGTAATGAAAAACGGGGAGAAAATGAAGTTATTGAAGAACGAAAAGGATGAATCATTTGAAGATGATAATGCGAGTATCAAGTTTGGAACTCAGGATATGGCAGGAATAGAAGATATAAATAAAAATTGTTTTATACTGAATAGTATTAACAATAAGGTGATGTACTACTTGAATAATCCCTTATTTATATTTAGCGAAAAGATACCATCATGGGTATATAAAATTTTTTATCTATTTAATTTCGTTGTGGATATTGACATAAGGCTATTATTTTTTGAAATTACATACTTTGGGAACTATAGAGGTTTATATAATTATAAACAGAAAATAAAAGAAATTGTAGAAAAGTTTAATGAAAAGATAAACGTTGGCAATAAATCGCTAACGGAAGAACATTTATTATCCGTTTGTGCAAATTACACATACAATTGTGACAAGAAAAAATTATTTAATTTTTTGTCAGATAATGCTACTTTGAACTTACCAAGGACAAAGATTAAATTACATCGAAATAAAATGATTGACTCATCCTTTCGTATTTTTAACCATTTGCATTTTATCAACTCATATTATATTACACCATCCTATTTAGATATAGAATTTTTTAATGAGGAAGGTACAGGTTTGGGTCCATCTTTGGAATTTTACAATGAAGTTATAGAAGAGTTAAAGAAAGAAAAGTTGAAATTGTTCAAATTAGAAGATAATTTTCTTTTCCCACTTTCTTACAAAATTGACCTCAACAACTTCGATTTCAACTTGTTAAAGAAACCCAAGGGTTCAGAACTCATGGGTATGGGTAGTGGTGCCAACAGTAATATCAATATGACCGGCAGCAACAACATTAGCAGTAATATTAATGGAAACAATGGATTAAGCTATAACACTAATTATTATTCATATGGGAACCAGCGTAACAACAACAGCAATGTGATAAGCAATGTGATAAGCAATGTGATCGGTAATATGAGCGGCAATATAAGCGGCAATATGAGCGGCAATATGAGTAGCAATATGAGTAGCAATATGAACAATAGAAGGTCATACAACATGCTTAACGTGAATCCAAACCAGTCGACATCATTATCCATAAACAAAAGAGTAAACTTAATTAGCGAAGGTACGAACACAAGTAATTACAACTCTGTTAACAATTTAATTAATCACTTTCTTTATTCAATGAATTCAAATGTTTTTGTAAATGAAAATAATAGTCTAGGGAAGTATGAAGATTTATCTGAAATTGAATTTTTAGATAACAAACAAAAAAACAAAAAGGGAAAAAAATATTCAGAGCATGTTAAAAAAGGTAATAAGAAAAATGAGAGTAAGAAAAAGAATGCATCAGCAGAGGTAGAGGTGCTAAACCAAGGAAGCAGTAGTAACATAAAAAATAGGAAGAATAAAAAAAAAGAGGAACAAGAAAAAGTTAGAGAAGAAAATAATAAAAAAGGGGACAATAAACTATTCTCCGATAATGATACATCCAGAAGAAAGACAAAGGAAAAGAAGAAAAACATCAATAGTGATTATGGTTCTTATAATGATGGTGATACTCTTGGAGATAATACATTTGGTGATGAGAGCTATTATAATTGTAAAGCAGCGAACTCAAGAGTAAAGAAAGTTTCTTCAGTACCTGTCACACAATCTGTATACAAAAAAAATACCACGTTTGATGTAAAAATGGAAAGTATAAAGTTGGGTGAAGAAGAGTACATTAACTCTGATAAAAATAAAAAGAAAAGAATTAGATGTTATGTAGGTACGAGTGAAAAGTTTGAGGAAGAGAATAAGAAAAAGAACTTATCAAGTGAGAGGAAAGTAATATCAATGGGAGAAGAAACCTCGCAAGAAGAGAATTCATATAAGTTGCAGAACGTACGTGATGATGTTGAAGTTGATGAGGTTGAGCATATTGTGGATGAAGAAGCGACTTGTACTACGGAAAAAGCTACCACTCATGAGTACCAATATAAAATCGATAAAGATGAACAACTTTCTTATGTTATCCCAGAGGGAGGAGGAACCCATGAAGACAAAGACGAAGGAATACAGTCTGATTCAGGAGAAGAAACAGAAAGTGAAAGAAAGAATAATTTAAAAAATAGGAAAAGTGATCAGAAGGCTGAAAACAAGAACAGCACATCTAAAACTAGAGAAATAAAAGATTCCCAAATCGGATTTGTAGAAAATATATCAACCAATGTTACATGTATAGCTAGCAATTTAAGAAACACGAACAATGTATCTGTGAAGGATGAGAAAGAAGAAAATGTAAAAAAGGAAGATTTGACTAAGAATAACAACACAAGCAATGAGGAAGACACAACAGTCATGCGAAATGACGACTGCAAAGAATACACTGTTTCACATGAAATGGAAGGTGTAACAGACAATAACGAGAAGAAGGAAACAGTTGAAATGGAAAATAAAAATATACACGTAAAAAGATATAAATTATTTACAAAAGATTTTGAAGAACATTTTTTGAAAGAAGAAAATGGTATGGAAGTAAAGAAACAACATGAGATACGAAAAAAAATGAACATAAATGATGAAATGAATTTACCGAAATCAGTAACGCAGAACATTATTAATTCTTTTATAAATGAAATAGAGAACATAGCATCAACATCGGGTATTAATAATAAGACATTAACAGAAATCTTTGAAAAGGCTCACGTTGAGGATGGTCAGAATAAAATTCAAAACGATAGTTCTAGCATTATAACCACCGAGAGGGTTGGCAAAATGGGTATCGAGAACCTAAATAATCCCAAAGAAAATACCCGTAAAAACTTACCAGATAAAAATAGACGAAAAATCGTAAATATTGAGCAGGATACTCTAGAAAATAGACTATTTAAGTACTTCAAATTGTTGGGTCAGTTGTGTGCAAAAATATTGACAGACAACAGAAATGTAAATATTAATTTGCATCCCCTATTTTGGTACTTGGCAATGAATAACCCTAATTATGTCAACATGTCCAAGTTTCACCACTATCAAGCGGTAAGACCATACTAGCACTAAAAAAAAAAAAAAAAAAAAAAAAAAAAAAAACAGCTACCATATTTGAATGAAGAGTCGTATCTACATAAGAGCATGATTTTTTGGGTGTTTTTTTTTTTAGCAACCATTCTTAAAATATTCGCGTTCATATATATGATAGCAACTGCTTGTTGTGTAATAGGTGCGTATATTACACAGTTCGAGTACCCATTTTCCTTTGCTAACTTGGTGTATCCAATTTTTTTTTCCCACTCGCATTTTGCAGATCGACAGAGTCAATATGAACAGCATTAATAAATTGTTGGAGTACAGAAAAGATAACAAAAATGTTGAAGATTTACTACTTGATTTTACCCTATTAGGTAATCTTCTTTTGCACATGAACATTTTAACGAGATTTTTTTGGGTGGAAGGCTTTAACGATTGAGAATGTACAGTACACACGGACCCCAGCCGTACCAGAAAATATGCATGCATATGTACTCCGAAATATAGCTTGCCTTTTGTTTATTGTTTCGCGGGAATGTTATATATGCATATATATGCGTACATATATATATGTATATATATTTATTTATTTAGTTATTATTATGTACATATATGTAAATATAATTTTTCCCCATTTTTTTTTAAATTAATAGGAAGCGATCCTCCCGTTGAGCTAATCCCGAATGGATCAAACATTGCAGTGAATAATGAAAATTTGAATTTATTCATAAATAAAACCATCGAATATTCCTTGTACGAAGGAATAAAGTTTCAGGTATGAGTTCAGTGCATTACATGGGTATCATTTATATTCATATGTAATTTCCGCATGAGCCTTTATTCTTTGTGTGTACATGTGCATGATGAAAGTTTGTGATAAATCACGCGAAGTCTAGTGCACACGTGTGTACATGCATATGTCCATCATCTTTTTAATGTTTAACACACATGCATTTTTTTCCCTATCACAGATATGGGCCTTTCGCTTCGGCTTCAGCACTATCGCTCCCTTGTTATGCACAAATATTTTTGATGAAGATGAAATTTGCGAATACTTGTTTGGTAGTAATATTGAGAATGATGAGCACTGGACGAAGTTGCACTTGTCGACATATATTAAGCCGGATCATGGGTAAAAAAAAAAAGAAAAAAAGGCAAAACCTGAAAAAAAAGAAAAATTATGAACTTTGTACTAAAAAAATTAGTAGCGCTTGAATTATAGGATATGCACATATGTTTTTGCACATATATATCCCCATATTCCCATGAGCCTGCTAACACAAATTTGTATTTTTGTCCCATTAATTAGGTACACGAACGATTCTGTTACATTTATCACTTTAATCGAAATATTATCGGAGTTTAATAAAGAGGAGAGAAAACTATTTGTTAAATTTTGCACCGGAACATCAGCCTTACCAAATAAAGGATTTGCAGCTTTGAAGTAACTTTTTTTTTTTTTTTTTTTTTTTCTATTTAAATGATGATATATGACCCTTTTGATAACTTGGCACATCTCTAATTTGCTAACTTTTAAACATTTGTGCAGACCACTAATGAATGTTGTGAAGAAAGAAGATAACAACGACTTACCAAGTGTTATGACTTGTACGAACTATTTAAAAATTCCTGATTATAAAAATAAGGAAAAATTAAGGAACAGATTATTATATGCCATAAATGAAGGTACATATACATTTAAATCACTTTTTAATGGTGCTTTATTGTTGTCATTATATGTGTGCTTTGTATAAAAAAAACCATGCTAATAGTATAGTGTGCAATGTGTACGTAACATTATATGTGTATATGCGTGCGTGTACTTGCTGAAATGTTTTAGTAGCATATCCGAAAAATACGTATATACTTAAGCGCTCAGTATTGTATTGCACACATGGGTGTGTATTACATACATATAATATATGAGTATATATACATATTTTCCATGCGCTTCTGCTAAATCATCGTGTGTGTAAATTATTCTTATTTTTTTTATTTTTTTTTATTTTTTTTTTTTGCACGTCCCTCCTTTTTCACAATAGGTCAGAAGATTTTTTCCTTGTCGTAGTTACACACAATGAGGATGAAATTTACAATATATAGAATATTTAGCAATTTGGATTTTTTATACGATATGTTGCTTTAAATTCACAGCTCTCAATAACATTTTTTTTTATAACTATTTTATCACGAAGTTTTTATTAATGATGATTATAATAGAATAGTAAGTATTTCAGAAAATTGCAATTTTTTTTGAGGAGCATATTATTTACACAACTTTTCTTTTTTTTGTGTGTATGCGATAGGTATACTGTGTATCCAGTGTGTATTTTTTTTTTTTTTTATCATTATTGCATGCATTGTGCTTACATATAGCATTTGTAAAATATGTGTATACCCATTATTTAGAATGACTATTCATTAAAGTGTATTATATATATATATATTATAATAATAACAAAATAAAAAAATGCGTAAATGTTTACCAATCCAATAGAACTTAAATTTGTTTAAATATGTCATTATGCAAAAGAACCATCCGAAAGGACACTAAAAGTCAGCAACATGGAAATGTGTAAAAGTTGTAAAGTGTGTAAAAGGCGCAAAGCCCGTAAAGAATGTGCAAAATGCGTGATATGTGTACAATACGTAAAATACACGAAACCATATGTAATGTTTTTTTTTATTCTCACAAAATTTCCACACATAACCTAGGTGCATAATTCTAATTTCAGTTTTAGGTGGAGAGTATGATGGCGATATATTTGTTAGTTAATGAAAAAAGTATAAAATAATCAAAAAGTTCTAAAAAATAAAATAATAAAAATAAATAAGCACACAAAAAAGTTGCAAGCGCGTATTTCGCTTAATATTTGATATGTATATACATACACATTTTTTTTATAAATTTATTTTAATACAATATACTTTAAGTAATTTTTTTTTAATATTATGTATATATTATATATGTATATTTTTATTTTATTTTTTTTTTTATGGTTTAAAATACCTTAGACAAGCTCATTTATTCCCTTAATTTTTTACGAGAAATAGGAAATTTACACTTTCGCAACTTGATGAAAAAAAAAAAAAAAAAAAAAATCCAATTTTAAATAAAAATTAGAAAAATTCAATAAAATTTAAAAAGTTGTAAAAAAAAAAAAAAGAGTGCAATATCGTGTAAAAATAAAATAATAAAATAAATAAAATAGTTATATAAATGAAAAGAATAAAAGCAAAAAAATAAAAAATTTGGAAAACACAAATTTTTCTTTATTTTTGATAATTGTTCTTTATCCTAAAAAAAATAAAAAATGTAAAAATACATAAACAAGAAAATATTAGTAGTAATTTAATAAGTAGAGACATAGCAAACTGGAAAATAACGTACATAACATCCATAAGACATGTGACATGCAAGAAGCACTTGTCACGTTATCCATTTTGCATGCTTTTTCCTTGAACAAAATGTTAATTTATGCTAACGTTCTAAGAATTCAAACTTTCGATTTCGAATGTGTAATTTTGCAATTTTGTTAATTTAGTGATAATGTCCAAATTTATGTCATGTTTAGTAAAATTTCCAATTTCACAAGACATAAAAACAGACAAGTACATGCATACATAAGTATGCGTAAGCACGTGTACGGTTCAGCACACGTACATGTTTGCATATTTACACACAATGCATCACTCACAAGTAACAGTGAGCTTACAATGTACATATCATTTGTGAATCAAGATGTTTCAGTCAGCTACAATTCTCCAGAAAAAAAATTGTAATTTTTTTTAATTGGTTTCATATTATCATTACTGTTTTTGATTTCGTTTGTTATGTTTTCGTTTATAATTTTTTTTTTTTTTTTCTGTCTATACCTATATTGCAAATATAGGTTAGCACTATAAAGTCTCTGAAACACCTTAGGATTTTGAAGATAATGGTTCTTACCATTTTTCACATGAAGTGTTCACAACTTGATAAAAAAAAAATAAATAAAATTGTTACCTTAAAACATGAAGATTCATAAATGTTTTATGTGTAATTATTTGCTCAAAATAATTAAGAGAAAGAGGAAGAAAAAAAAAACAAAATTGAGTCTTACCAACTGTTTGCAGAATGGGGATGATAAAAAAGTCTTACATAAGAAGAGCAATTCAAATGTCATAAATAGTGACGAGAAATTTTTTATTGACACAGCTCTTACAGAAAATGTCAAACAATGTTTGGGAAAAGTGCAGTTTTCGAAGGATTTCGGAGCAAGTGACGATACTATGGCTATTGAGAATAATGAGGATGCATATCATGAAACTAGTTGTCATTCCAATTGTGATATCAGTATTGATTTCAATTGTAACACTATTTGTTATCAAAATAAAGAATGTAACAGTTCAGGGATTATTAGACCCCAAGTAGAGGAGGATGTGAATCATTGCATCTATAGAAACCCTAACTTGGGGAATTATCTTATCGATAATGAGAATAAGTGTAAGGAGGTAGAAGCAGAATATTCATGTATGTTATTGCGATTACATGAGCAGAATACAAAATCAGCATCTTCTTACAGGACTTTGATAAGACGAAAAAACATAAATTCGAACTATTCTTTGGACCGATATTATTTAACATTTATAGCACATTACAGAATTGAACGGATAAAAAAAGATTTTGTAAGGGTGATATGTTTTGTTCATTCTTACATGTCAGTGAAAAAATATAAAAGAGCTATCAATTTGATATGTCACATTCGTAACTTGAATGCAGGAGGAATTGAAAAAGGCGTTATGAGGTATAATCATGGTAGTGGTTGTCTTTTCTCGCCAGATGGCGCGAAGGAGGAATACAAAAATGATTATTTCCTTCTCGAAAAAACAAGCAGGTTAACATTGATGTGGAGAGAATTATACATCCTCTTTTGGAAAGAAATAAATAAAAGAAATCGAGGGACGTGTGTTTATAATAACCCTATTTTAGAAATTCGAAAAAAAAGATCTAGATATTTATATAATAAACTGGTTAAACATAGTGTGAGAATTATGCACATGCTGGAAGTTAAGAAAATAAAAAAAAATCGATTTAATAATCATTCCAACATGATATGTATGGATCACAGTGAAATAACCAAAATTATGAAAAGAAAAATTTTGAGAAATAAATATTTTAAAAATATAATTTGGATATGTAAAAAGTACATAAAACTTGTACAAAACATCCATTTTTATAATATGAACAAACTGAGAAAACCAGTTATGCGAATTATTAAGGCAAAGAAGAGTTACCACAGCAGGACTCAGATCACTAGTTCTGGTAGAATCACTGAGAGAATGTCACACAAAAGTGCAACCATAACCATTGATCATATCAATAACACTGTTGTGAACCTCAAGAAAGGAACAACATTTTTAAAAAATCGTTTCACGAGGCACCCAGATCAATATAAGACTGATCAGCATTCTTTGAAAAAAAAATGTGAAGGATCTCATTTATATGAAAAATTGAAGGTACACCCTTCCTCTAATAGTAGTATAAAAGGTGAACGGGGGAGAAATTATATGATACTGTCTAATGAAAAAATGAAGGAAGGTCCATTGTTGAGCTCAATAAATTCAAAAAGAATGAACAGTAGTAGAAACCAAGATGGGAATAATATGCAGCAATTTTTTCTGAACGCTCCTAATGGATCAAATTTAAGGGAGCAAACAGAAAGACAAAAAAAAGAAAAAATACATTGTATCACTGGGATGGATAATTACCTATACAAGAAAAGATTGAGTAGTGGAAAAAGAGGTATTAAGTACATGAATGAGATAGTTATATGTAATGGAAGAATTTTGTTGAAGAAATTAAACATCAGAAAAAATGACTTGTTCTGGAGAGTAAAAAAGAAAAGAAACCAAAAAGAATGTAAAGGGAAAATTATAAAAAAATTCAATATTAGAAGAAATAAGGAACATTGTGAAAGAATAAGAAAAAAAATACAAGAATATATCGAATCGAATGTTAAAAAGAATCAAGTTGAACATTTTGATGGAATGCAAAATGTGAAGAGGAATATAGAACCGGATATTATTGTTAATGCTCAAAATACCAATGTGGAATGTACTAATAATGATAAAACATTAGAAACGAACTTTATGCACCTTGAGGGGAGGAAAAACAAAAAGGGTAACCATAAAATGCATGACTCTGTGGAGAATAGTCTATATTTGAAATGTGACGATAGTGGCTTAAATGAGGGGAATTACGAATTTCTGGATGACAGTAAAAATAAAAAAATGGATAACTATTTTGATAAAGAAAAGTATGCAGATGAAACATTTGATAAAACTGGATTAAACAAGTATGATGTGAACCTATGTAAACACAATAGAGAACATAAATTTGTTGAATGTCTGCAAAGCTGTGATTACATTAAGAATAATTTCAAAATGGTGAAATTGTTAAAAGACAACTGTTCAAATTTTGTGTATAAATGTTTTGATATATATAACCGTAGAGATGTGGCAATAAAATGTGTAAACAAAGAAAAACAACTATCCATTATGAGTTATAATACGTATGTAAATATATACAAAATTGTGCAAAAAATTAATAATGACAATGTAGTGAAGATATATAATGTACTAGAGAGCATGTCTCATTTTTTTATTGTAATGGAGTTATGTGAAGGAACTGATCTAGTAGAATATGTATCCAAGGAAGAAATCTCATTTGAGAAAGCCAAAGATATTATTTCCCAATTGTTAAGAGGGATTAATGCTTTGCATGCAAATTCGATTATTCATAGAGATATTAAACTGGACAATTTGATGTTTAAGGATAAAAAATTTGAGAAACTTGTCATAATTGATTTTGACATGAGTGTTTACATGAATGGTGATCATTGCGCACCTTATTTGGAGGATAACTGTCTCTATGCGCGTGACATAAGGTTAACTGTTGATGAAAATGATTTTGATATCAATGAGGCGAAGGTGAACATCGCCAAGGTGGATATGACGAAAGTGGATATGGAGAAAGTTGATATGGCAAAGATGGATGTCGCTCAAGTGGACATGACCAAATCGGATGTTGGTAAAGGTGATTTGGTGAATCCATGTTTTGATCAAAACAATGTTCACGTGCACTACATGCAGGTGAATAAATCCATCTTGAATCAATCATACAATTGCGAATATGACATAAATGATTACGATGTGAAAAAGAGTGCATTTGTGTTGTACAGGAGCCAATTTCCAACGAATAATTTTGACTCGAATAACACACATGTGAATAAAATCAAAGGAAATAATGAAGAAAGAAAACATTGTGTAATACACACTCCTTACTCAGATAGTTACATAAATATACATAAAAACAACAAGAAAACAACTTCTCTTAATTTTAGTTATATAAATAAAATTGAAAACGGGTTTCTGTATGCATGTACAGGAAACACAGAGAAGACATTTATTAATGAAGGTGAAAAAGTGATTTATAACGATTTGATTATAGGGACGAAAGAGTATATATCACCCTATTGTTTAAAGGGAATATACAGTATAAAAACGGATATATACAGCATTGGTGTTACTATTTTTTTAATTCTTTTTAAGAATTTCCCTTACTTATTTGAAGAGAAGGGTATAAATAAATGGCAAAATGAAGTAATTAACAAAAATAAGGAAATAGTCATACCTTTTTCTTTCCTATTCCATAATATAACTTGTTCCTATTTTATCAGATTAATGGATGTACACCTTATGAATAATAATATTTACTTTTGTAAAAATAGTAGCCTGCTGGATAATAATTTAAAAGAAATTGAGAAAATAAAAAACATCAAAATTGATTTTAACCAAGTAAAAATAAATGCCAAAAATATTTACCTAATAGACATATTGAAGAGATCTTTATCTCTAGATCTAGAAGATCAGTATAGCAGTGTTTCCGAAATTCTGGAAAACAAAATTTTCACATAACCATTCTCCACAGATGCGAACTTTCTTGTCAGGTGTTATATATATTCATAGCAAGTATGTAACCCTCGAGAGCTTGCAAAAAGGGTGTAAAAATCATGTATATTGCTATCCAATCCTCCGCATAAGGCCTTCCTGTGCGTTCACACACAGTGAACGTAAAGAAACGAGGGGCATATTTTTTTTCCCAATATTTACCAAAATTTATTAAAAAAAAGTTTTAAATATTTCCTACATTTTTTTAATTCGAAATTTTTATCTTTTAGTGTTCCTTTGTTATTTCTATTTGCATTTCTACTTGGGTTCCTATCCCTGTCTCCCTTTTTTTTTTTTTCTTTTTTTTCTATATAACCTTTGGTGTTTATGCCACACGATTTTCAAATCAGTGATATGAGCACTTCCGATTTTTTTATTTTTTTTTTTTTGATGAACACTTATTAATCCCAGTACCTTTTTTTTTTTTTTTTTTTTTTTTTTTTTATCTTTTTGTTTTTGTAATTTTTTTCTTATAAATATTTATTTCACAAAAATTTTGTAAAAACGTATTAAATTTAAAATTATTTTATGTTTACAAAATGGTTCCTCATTGAGGGTTTTTAAAATGAGAAGAAAAAAAAAAAAAAAAAAAAAAAGCAACCTCTTTTGTTGTTTTCTTTTCTGAGAAGGCGTACATGTGCATTTTCGTACGAACTTATGGTTAAATGTTCTGGTGCATGGTACTTGATGTGTTCTCCTGTGGTTTACACTATTTTCATTTCTTTAAATTTGTTAATCACGTAAGTTGTGATGAACACGTTGAGGTACAAAAGTAAATGTTTGTTTCCTCACTTGATGAATAACACATATTTTTTTACACACAAAAAAAAAAAAATAAAATAAAATAATAAAATAAATAATAATAAATAAAGCAACAGCTAATTAATGAAATTGTTATAAAAATGGAATAACAGTGGAAAACATTTAGAATAACTTGTTTACGCGGAAAAATGTTAAAATGCAATAAGGGATGAAAAACTAAACTTGAACAAAAAAAAAAAAAAAAAGAAAAAAAAAGAGAGGATTTACCTAAAGGCTGAAATCAAATCCTCGTCTTCGTCACTAACATATATGATATTCTTCTCCAACTTGCTGGAATTATCATCTTGATTATGATTATTATTCGTAGTACTACTAGTGTTCGCATTCATATTAATCGAGTTAATTTTGTTCAGGTCGAAATTGTGTAGCGATTCATGAGGGAGTGCGATGTTAGAGATCGTTCCATGAGCACCCATTGTGTATGGATCTGTCTCATGAGACAAATCCCTGTGAACATCACTTAGATAATCACTATCAGTTTGTTGAATATGGTTTGAAATGTTTTTTTGGTAATACGGTTGATAACCTGATCTTACATGTTCAGATGAAACATTATCATAATTTGTATTTTCGGTTGGTGCATGCTGATGCGAATAATTCTGATAGGAATCATATCCATAATATGGAGGGGTTTCAAAAAAATTATTTCCTTTGTTAAAATTTATATCCATGTTATGATCGTAACTAGTGCTTTTCTTTTTATCTTCTTCGTTTGTAAGTACGCAAATATCTAGGTTGCTCGTATCGGAAGTAAGTTCATTTGGTGCATTATTCGCACATTTATCATAAAAAATGTTACTTCTGGAGGAGTTAACACTGTTAACATTTGTTGATTCATTATAATTAATTAAATTCTTTTTATAGTTAGATGTATCATACACTTGATAATCATATTTTTTATTCGTTTCTCCCAGTAAATTGTCAATAGACATTGATTCACTTTGTGTATTGCTTCTGATATCCTGTTCTTCACTATTGTCACTTTCGTTAAAATTAAAGTTGAAACTGTTCTGATAATTCGTGTGATGCTGTGCGGATTCACCATACACTCTGTATGCACTATTTTTTTGAGCATCAACATTTCCTCTCTCATCAATCCTCTGTGTTCTACTCCAATTAACTTCATTAGTTTTATAACTCTTTCTTGTCGGTTTCCATATTTTAAAATTATCTATATCACTTTTCCATATTTTTAAATTTCCTCCATCGCCTCCTGATATCAAAAAATCTGAACTGTTCATAAATTTTAAAAAATGCACACCATTTGTATGACCATGAATGGCTGAAATGATTAACCCGCTCGTTATCGACCAAATAATAATAGCATCTTCGTATCCTGCATAAAGAATTTTTTTCTCCTTGTTAACACTTAGAGAGAGTACAGAATTGTCATACAGTAACGGTGGAATATACTGAGCCGACATGTTATTGTCAATAATTAATTTAGTGATGGGTTGTTCGTTTTTTTCCATATTTTCGTTCATTGAAACATTCATCATTCGAGATACATTTCGATTCGTCGTGTTGATAGACGGATCTGCATCATTTCCAATGTACATGTTGTGTCCATCAACATGAGCACCTTGGATAAAAGTTTCATGAGATGGGTTACAGGAATGGGCAAAGGGTTCATTTAAGACTAAACCGTTTTTTCCATTTTTGATGTCATTGCTGTAGTGGTAATTGTAACAAGCAATGACATTATCATATCCAATAAATAAATATTTGTCAGTATTTGTGAAGCAAGCAATTTTCTCACCATTTTTGAGTTTCTTTGTGTCCAGATAAATGGGAGGATTGGTGCTCATATTATAAGTAAAAAACAAAGAACAATTCGTGCCAATAACAATATTGTTATGGTTCAATAAGTGACATGTAGTTATTTTATCTTTATCCAATCGTTTATTACATCTTCCTCCACTCAATATTTTGTAATCTTGTAATCGTAATAATCTGAAAGCATTATCATATCCACATGTACAAAATATATTGTCATTTATTGCCATCATTTTTAATATAGTATCATTATGACAAGAAATATTTTTTATATAAGTTAAAGTTAATAACTGTGTATCTATTTTGTAAATGTGGATTTTTCCATCATCTCCTGATATGATAGCTTCACTTTGAGATTCTGAACACACAATGTTTCTAGCTTTATATATGGTCTGTTCTTTGTATGTTTCACATAATGTAGATGTAAGATCATTGTTATATGAGAAAACTTTAATTTCTCCAATTATATCTGGTTCAATAATAGACCATAATTTTCCTAATTTACTTAAATTACTTTTATCTTCATATACACAAATTATAAAATTATATTTTTCATTAATATATAAATCACTAAGTGCAAACTTTTGAGAACCTATACTATTTAACAACTTCGTTCTTACTATTTCTACTGATAAATTAATTTTATCATAAAATAAAAGAAAATTTAAAAACAAGGCACAGCATCTTATGTCTGGTCTCATGAATAAATTCTGTATGTACGAATTCAGTACTTTCTTTCTATAATTAATGTATTCATTATTTTTATAGGACATAAATTTTTTCTTTGGCAAATTAGGTAAAGCTGAAAAACCCATGTGTAGCAATTCGCAGTGCAGTTCTTCGAATTCACTATACCTCTTGCTGATTTCATATTTCAGGTCTTTGTAATGAACAAGAATGATGTAGTAAATCTTTTCATTTCTCTGTTCCACCCGGTTTATGCTAATGTCCAAATGTTCCAATTCCATCATAGCAAGGGGTTGGGGGTGGCATTGGTTAGGCAAATAGTGTAGCGGTTGAGAACCTTATACGGTTCTACTAGCACAGATGATTTTCCCCTCCTCTGTGCTCTCCCTTTTTCAACCTATCACGACAGGGATATGAATTCACATATGTTACAATGTTTAAGCGTAACAGTTTTGCCTTTACACGGTATTATGTACGCGTGGTAATATGTCGTTGTTGGTACCGCACAGCGGTTTGTCAAATGTTTAGTGCTTTTAAAACAAAATGGAACGAAGGTAAACGGGGAGAAGATTAAGAAGATTTATCAAAAAAAAAAAAAAAAAAAAAGAAATAATAAAAAAACATACTTAAATGCATCCACTTAAAAAAAAAAAAAAAAAAAAAAATTATTCTCTTCCTAAACAAGTAAATAATTGTTACAAAAAAGAGGGGACAAAGAAGCAATAAGCATAAACAACTATTACACTTCTCATACGAAATGATAATCAAAGATCGGCATATATATATACAAGAATCTGCTAAAATTATATAACAATTGTTTATGCAACTATGAAATGGATACAAAAAAAAGGGAAATGTTATAATAAAAAACGGAGGAAGAAAAAGAAAAAAAAAGTTACGCACATTAATATTTTTAGCATACACTGCGTGGAAATTCTTTTATGCCCTAGTTCATTTCGCAGAACATATATCTCAATTGAAAACATACACATATTAAATTGCATGTAATTTAAAAAAAAAAAAAAAAAAAAAAAAACACATACACATACACACACGCATATAGCATTATACTTCGTATAAATGATGCATCCTTTTTACATGCACGAAACTACAGGAAGTAAGGAAAATTAAAATTTAGCATATCACGACTTGTTGCTCAAATGTCCACTCGGAATTCGATTGAATGGAGGATGAAATTCTCAAAGGGTTGCAAAAGCGCATAAAAAAAAAATAATAAAATAAAATAAAAACAACGAATAAATAAAACAGGTGGAAGAATTTTCTTCACACGAACATAAAAAAAAAAAAAAAAAAAAAAAAAAAAAGTTCCATATTTGCACGTTAGTGTTATTGCGCAAGAAGTTTAACTCTACACGATTTTCTCCTTTTTTTTTTTTTTTTTCGACAGCTGTGTCCCACTTGTGCACTTTTTACCATTACGTATGACTTTGTTATCAAGGAATGTTTATACTAATTTGTATAAAAGGAACCAACAAGTTATATTTCATCTTTTATGTCTTTTTTTGTTTTTTCTTTTTTTTTTTAAAAACATTTTTAAGCATGACTCTCAGAAAGCATGTTGAAATTTTCTTATCATACGTAGACTACTTTAAACTTACAACTATATGAATACATTATGATAAAAAGTTCCTATTCATGCTAATGTGATATTATGCTTCCACTCGCCTCATGCCTTTTTATGTGTATATGTAAGTATGTTCACACTTTGCTTTCTAGTAAATACACGAATTTTTTAATTGGGATTTAAGATGAATTGTATACCCACTTCTCCCCTTTTTTTTTTTTTTTTTGACACTATAGATAGTGCATATTTTATGTTTATTGAAAGAGACAGTGTATATATATATTTACGTGAAAGAAACTTTCCATGATGGTAGAGGGGTCGGGTAGATGAAAATCCTAGTTATATCTTTCAAAGGGGTTAAAAATTTACATAACATTTATTTAATTTTTGATTTTATGACATATATTGTTCAAACAAGAACATTCATTTATGTTTGGTTTATTCACGAAAAACAATTGACAAATGAAAAAAAAAAAAAAAATTCTTTTGAATGTATTAATATACATATTCTAGGTGTAATTTTGTGAAAATGACCAAAAATTCATCTACAAAAATAGTTATGAAGAATAAAATAAATTTCCATAATTTAAAAAATAAAATAAACTAGAATAAAACAAAACAAAATGAAAGTGTGTTTTTAAATCACTTCCATTGGTGTGGCACTTACACAAGAGCCATGTTTTTCTATGGTATAGAATCAACCGGGTAAGAAGTTCCAAAAGGTAGGAAAAAAAAAAAAAATGACTAAGAAAATATAAGCTGTGTAATTAATGGTTTATTTTTTAAGCATTATACACATACATGGTTTTATTTTAATCTATCCATACTGCTATTATTACTACAGAATTTGTTTTATTTGGATGTCCAGTATAAGTGTAACAAACTTCTATTTACTTCTCTTTTGACTCTCATTATATATTAATATTTTCAAAAAATTCCAGAATCATTCTTTTCATTTCTACAATGGTTTCATCCACATGATTCATCTTTTTTTGTTTTTTTTATTATTTTTTTTTTTATTTCTATAATTCTTAGACTTTTCATTACTAAATTTGGTTACAATTGGTTTTTTGTTCGCTTCCACTTTTTCCGTTTCGGAGGTACCCATATGATCCTGCTTGGAGATTTCTTCGCCACTATATTCTTCATTTAAAGGGATATCTTCCTTTTGTTCGCATACACTGGTACTTATTTCCACACTGGGAATTTCAATTAAATTTGATAAATTGTCTAGTGATTTTTCTGTAGGCGATGAATTGGTGTCTTCTATTTTCTCTTCCATGACATTTCTTTTATCTTCTAAACAAATGAATTGATCATCCAGTGAGTTGTTACTTTTACCTGTTAATTTGTTTTCATTTTCGTGTTGGGTAGTTTGTTGCATTTCGATACTTTCACAATTGTCTTTTTTTACAAGTTCCTCCTGTATTTTTGCATTAGTAATTAATTCTTCATTCAAATTATTTTCATTTTTGACAGAAATATCAAGAAAAACAGAGTCCCCCTTCATGTCATGCTGATCATATTGCTGTTCATATTCATCGTCATTCGTATACATTTCATTTTTTAAATTTTCCTTCATGTCTATCACAATATTAGATGAGATATTGTCTCTTTTTGAATTATCACTTAGAAAATATGTTTCATCTACATCATTGGCATTCGTAAACATATTGGACGGTAATTTATAGTTATGATTTATATTACCAGTACAACTGTCTTTTTCTATTTTCAAATGTTCATTTTTTATACTTGGATCATCTGACAAATGAAAATTTTCCCTTCCAGCAACTTCATCACTTACACCATTTGATTTAGATCCCTCTTCTGTCTCAGTCTCATCATTTGCGTTCTGCGTTTTTCCATCCTCACTTTTATATCCATGTTGAGGGTGTATCTCTAAGAATTCTGGAATCAGTTCCATGCCTTCTGTTCCCATCTCTGCTTGTTCACGAGAAACTTCTACTACTTCTTCTATCTTTGCCACTGCTACGGATTTTGCGCCTTCCTCAACATTTACTACATCTACTTTTGTCACTCCTACAGCCACTTCTACTTCTGCTACTGGTACTTCTTTTATCATTTCTACTTCTTCTACCACTTCTACTTCTTCTGTTACTTCTACTTCTTCTACCACTTCTATTTCTTTTGCTACTTCATCTACCACTTCTATTTCTTTTGCTACTTCATCTACCACTTCTACTTCTTCTGTTACTTCTACCATTGTTCCTTCAGCCTTACTCTCAACATTAGCCCCATCTATGTCGTCCTTATGCATGGCATTGCTTTCGCATGAATTAATTTCAAAAAAATTATCTTTAATTTCGTCTAACTGAACAGAATCCGTTAAATACTCTTTATTATCAGGGATTAATAAATCTCTGGAGTTGGGGAATTCTGTAATGTTAATCTGCTTAGAAGGAATATCTTCACTTAACATATTATTGTTTGCACCATTTGAGTTCACATAGGTAAATGTATTAAGATGTGAATTTATAATCTCATCCGAGATTGTGTTATCTGTAGGACTGTTATTTGAGGAAATAGTTTTCTTCTTTAATTCTGTGAATTTTTTTTTCATGTACATGGAATTCGGTTCTTCACTGTTTTCAAAAATGGACATGTTATTAACTTCGCTAAGAAGAGATAATTTGTTATTACTGGTAATGTTTTTTAGATCGTGAGTTATTTTTTCTGGATTTACAAAATTTACGAAATTTTCTTTATTTAGGCATATATTTGAATTTAAAACATTTTTTTCATTGTCATTTATTCGTATATCCACACTGGAATTAATAGTACAGTTGTTTACAGTAATTGTTGTGTTCGAAGCCAAGACATCTAATTGTTTTTTTTTTTCATAATTGATGAGTTCATTAGGTGCTGATGTGCTTTCACCTAATTTTATACTCATTACATCACTTTGATCGTATATAACAAAATGCTGTGTGTTTTTTTTTTTATTTTCTTGGTTGATGTTTTCTTCGATATATATTTTTTTCTCCATTTCTATTTTGTTATTCTTAACATGGTCATGTACACTTTCACTTGGCAATTCGTCCGACAATATAGATTCCTCATTTGATCCTATTCCCAGCACAGCTTTGTCTTGCTTTTCTTTATCTTTGTTTTTCATTTTGTCATTAATGATATAATAATTATCATTTAGATTTTTTGTTTTTTTTAATTTTGAAAATTTCGACAAAAGATGTTCTGAGTTTATTTTAATATCATCATTGTTTAGATTAGAATTACTTGCATTTTTATCAACTAATGAAACATTTCCTTTTTTGTATTCATTAACAGATGAATTAGAGTTCCACATTTCTATCTCACTTTTATCGCTTATCTTTCTCAGGACATTCTTCTCATTACTGTTCAATGTTTTCAATGGGTAAATATTTAACGATTTGTCTTTCTTTAAATTTTCAAAGAAATATTTTCGCTGTTTAAATATTGAATTTTCCTTTGGTTCGCTCTTGTTACTGTTTCCTATGCTATCAACGATGTTGTGATTGTTTATAATATCGACGTTGTGGTTATTTATGCCATCGATGTTGTGTTTATTTATGCTATCGATGTTGTTACTGTTATGTATAGTATTTATGTCGTACATATTGTCCTTGTGCGAAATTTTTTCAGTATCCTTATTTTTCCTACTTACGCTATTAGTGGATATACTCCTATGTGGAACATCATTGTGGTTCTTATTTGACCCATTCAGAAGTGTGAAGCAATTTGATGAGCCTTCCGATCCTTTTATGAAATCTTCATCTTTGACGCTTACAAAGGCGCTACTTAGTTCACTTTGGTTGCCATTATCACAATTGCTGTGTCTAATATTGTGACTGTCGACAGGGATAGCGAAGATATTAATTGGGACCTCATCATCAGCTTCACCTAGATCCATTTCATTGTTAACTCCACCTTTTTCTATTTTCCCCTCATTATCAGTTATGCTTGTTCCGCCCTTCTTCTTCTCCTCCTCCTCATGTATGCCATTGTTCAGAAACTGTTGTGCAATATTCGAATTGTCTTCCATGAGATCCTCATAATTGCTATAGTTTCCATGTTCTATTGTATACAAGTTTGAGTTGAAGATATTATTGCTGTTATTTAGTTGTACAAATACATGTGAATCCTTATAATTGATCATTTTTTCTTTTTCATCATCCCATTTGTATGTTAAATCCGCCGCAGGTTTGAAGACATTCGATGGATCTTTCTCACTCGTTTGGCTAGTCTCTTTTGCAGGCAAAAATTCAATTTCTGAATTCATTTTTTTACTTCCTAAATTGGTGATTTCACTTTCCTGATGATTCATCCATTCTACATCCTTTTCATCTTCATTAATATTCTCTCGTATGGTATTTTCTTCATCAAAAAATGTAGAATACTCATCTTTCTTTATTTCAAAGTTTGTAAATATTATTTTGTTTAATATATCACTAGTGCTAAGTATATCATCCTGTTGTTCAGTCCAATTGATATTTTCCTTTTGATTTCCTTCCATGTTCAAAAAAACAGGTATATTACTCGAATGAATTGAATATGAAAACAAATTTGCACCACGTTCTTTTTTATTTTTTGTATAAAAATCATCAATTGGAATATGCTCAATACTGTTTACATTAACAGACTGCTTCAATTTTTCTATGTCTTCTTTTTCTAATTTTATCCATTCCTTTGTATTCACAATGCAATTTGCGCTTGTTAGTTTTGTTGTATCCTCTAAATCATTAAAAATGGCACTTCTTGCAAAATTTTGAGTTAGTTCTAATATTTTGGATTCCAGTTTGATGTCACTGTAGCTACCCTGATGGTCTTCATTACTATCGCACTTTGTTTTTTCTTCTTTTTGTAAACTAGGAGGGAAGGAATTTAAAAAATTGAATGGAGCTTCGACTAGCAAATCGGATGGGGTTTCAGCTGGAAAATAGGATGGAAGGTCAACTGGCAAATCGGATGGGGGTTCAACTGGAAATTCCGATGGGGATTCAACTGGCAAATCGGAAGGAAGTTCAACTGGAAAATTGGATGAAAGTTCAACTGGCAAATCGGATGAAAGTTCAACTGGCAAATCGGATGGAAGTTCAACAGGCAAATTAGAGGGAATTTCAAGGGGTAAGCAGGATGGAAATTCAGATGGGTCCTCTGTTTGAAGCTCACTCCTTTCCCTTTCCTTCTTCTCCCCAGCCTCAGCTTTATTCTCTTCTTCTGCTTGTAGCTGCATGTTTATGTGCATTTCTTCATCCTTCGATACTAATACTTTTTCCGTTTCTTTGTCCCCTTGATTTATGGCATCAATTATGGATGTATCTTCATTAAGAAAATTTTCGTCTCTGAATTTTTGTGAATTTTTAAAATTGTCATAGTTTTCACTCATGAGCGTTTTAGACTGATCGATCAAACCTTCCTGTTTCTTTTCCTCTTCTATGTTAACCATATTTTGGATTAGGATATGGTCTGCGCTGTTACATATTTCATTTTTTCCAATTTGGTAATGATCTGCTTGATTGTTTTGTTCCGTCTCTTTGTTATTCTCTTTGAACATAATTCCATCCCTTTGCTTACTTTGTTCTTCTTCATTGTTTTCAAAATCTTCTTTATGATGATCTTCTATGTTTCCATTTTTTTGAGCGTCCTTTTCTTCAGTTTCACATTCTGCATAAATTTCATTTTGATTTTCATCCTTTGGGATTGTTATAATTTTAATAAATTCTTCCTCTAACTGGGATGTAGTACCATTTGATAAATAGGCTGCACATTCTTTATCCTTTTGTATATCCTCTTCTTCTGTTTTATCAATTGGATTTTCTAAACATGAGGAATCGAATGAATTCAGTTGTTCATCTTCCCGTGATGAATCATCGTTTGTATTTTTGCATTCGTTATCTGCATATATTTTGTCTTTATTATGTGTGACATCTTTTGTTTCATTTGGCTGTTCATCTTCTTTAGTGGTTTCATGTATGAGATCTTCATTTGGATAAGATTCTTCCTTGCTCTTTTCAATAAAATTTTCAATTATGTGACTTGCTTCCTCGTAATTTTCTAATGATATTGAATATTTTATATATTCTAATGAATCACTTTTTGAGCTTTCCTTTGCATCTTCTACGACATCTGTTAGTGTTTTCTTCGAACTATCAGACATGGATTTACTACTAACACGTTCCACTTGGTTTGTTAATAAATGCGTATTAGATGGGAGCTGATGTGTGCTTGCAGTGATACCTCTTTCGTTATCGTCTTTCTTTTTATTTTCGGAATTCATAGAACTCCTGTTATCAATATCATCTTTTTCATTCTTCCATTTGTGTGATTTATCATTTGTGTTTGAATTTTCACTCTCTGTTTGGCTAACATTGGTGATATTCCCTCCTGCTTTATTAGTTTTTCCTGAATTTTTTTCTTTCACATTGCTTTTTTCATTCTGTTTCGAGTATTTTTTAATTCCAGAATGAATAAACCTCAAATCTTCACTAACATTGTTATAGGATAAGGAATTACTTTGAGGGGATCTCCTTCTTGAATTTTTCTCCATTAGAACGGCTTTACCATCCTTCCTACTTTGAGCATCTTTTAAGGTTGCATAATTTGAAGAAAATGCATTATAATCCGTATATTCATTATATGTTCGATTTTTGCTTCGTTTTTCATTGGACACTTCTTCTTCACTAGAATAATCTGTTTTTTTCTCAATGCATATGTATTTCTTATTTTTGTAATGTGTTAAGTAGTATTTATATGTCTTATTATAAGTGTTTAGCTCATTTTTTTCTAAATCTATTTCTAGGGATAGTAATTTTTCCTCTTTTTCTTTGTTTCTTTCTCCGTCAATTATTACTTTGAATTCCTTTAAGCGTCTTTCAATATATCCTTTCTTTCTTCTTTTCAAACATATGTAAATGATAGCCACAAGTAATTCTAGTATAAATAAGGGGAGAACTGAGTATAACACTGAGGAAAGAAAAACCTCTTTAAAAACGTTAGATATATACTCTACTTCTATAATATTAAATAATGACAAAAATATCGATATTAATATAGAGGTTATAATAACTATATACAAGATTAACGCTTTGAATGTGTTTACTACTAGTGCGTATAGAGATATCACTGTGGACATGAAGAAAATAAAAAACAGTAATACATGATTGTAAAAAAATAGTAGGATGCAAAATACTGTTTTAATCCCAAGTACAAATACCAGAAAGGTAAAATTTATTCTACTCCAATCGGTCCTCTTCAAAAACAGAAAACGGTTATTTTCTGTTTCCCCTACGTAGTTGCTCATTTTCGTCAAAAAATTTATTCATTCAATTTTGTCAAAAGAGCAGAAAGGGCACTTTTCTCAAGATAGAGAAAAACAAAAGCAGAAAGACAAACATAGAAACTGTGTTTTGTGAATATATATACGTACCACTATATGCCCTGCTGCAACAACAAAATTGAGTTGTATTGAGAAAAAAAAAAAAAAAATTGTATAAGTAAATGAATAAGACACACTAACACAACGTCAGAGCGTGAAGATATCACGTGAATACAAACGTTTAGGGAAAAACCCACAAGATAGATAAACTATCTCTTTTCTAGAATGTGCTATAATTTACACAAGTGTGCATGTGTGTAAAGGTTGGATTGGAGTGGGGGTGCAACATGTACTCGAACGTGCAATATACGAACATGCTACCAACACGTTCATTCAGTGTGCACACCCATAGTTGTGGTAAATACTGGATAAGTGAATCCGCATACGAAAAAAAAAAATATATATATATATAAAATTGTCAAATTTTCATTCAAATGACGAAAAAAATAAAAAATATATAAAATTATCAAATTTTCATTAAAATGACAAAAAAAAAAAAAAAAATATATTATCTCGTGATTAACATAAGCATAAGTGTAACTAGTAGTACACTGTCGCTTAAAAAAGTTGACAAGTTTTCATTCAATTGATTTAAAAAAAAAAAAAAAAAATTGTATCCTGTACGCTCTCATAAACGTCCCAGGAATTTTTCACTGTCAGAATTTTTTTTAGATTTGCTCGAATTAGGTTGTTGCCTATTCATGTTTACATTTTCCCTCCTAAATGCAAGGAGAGTGGCATTTAATGTGCGTCGTAAAAATATGCAAATGTTTTTACAGATATGTATTTTATATATATTTTTTTTTTTGTTGTTTTTTTGTACATAATATAAACTGCATGAAGTTTTGTTTTTTTTTTTTTTTTTTTTTTTTTTTTTCCTTATATTTAAGTATGCACTCCACATTCACACTTGTGATTTGTTTGTGAAGATTGAACAAATTGTAACCCTTGCTAATGTTTTTCATTGCGGCACTTTAACATGCAGGGGATATTAAAATATTACACAACCAGGAAAAATGTACAATTTGGATAAAAATGGGAATAACAAAAATACACAATATTTATATACCAAGTGTAAACCAAGTGCGTGCACGTGAAAAAAAAAAAAAAAAAAAAAAAAAAATGAACGGGTTTTAAGGGTAAAACATGCATAATAAAGTGACAGACTTTAGGAATACAGAACTTTTTCATTCAAAAAATGATAATTAAAGACTCACAGGATATAGTTACGGGATGTTCTAATGCGACATAAGTTTTTCTAATACCATTTATCACCCTTTACATTACACATGTTTTCCTACTTGTTCTTGCCATACAACAATATTCGCTGTAATATAGGAGATTAACATCATCGATGCACACGCAAAAGATTTCACTATTTCTTTGCAGAATGAATGAACTTCATTCAAAAATGTGTTTTCATTTTGTGTAAAAAATATTCATGTGGAAAAGTTCTAAATTTTTGTTATGCTTAGTACATGGTGTTTGCTATGCAAAATTCATGTGTGTCTTGTGAACGGAATACATCGAATGATCTTGCAAAAGCCCTGTTAGTTGCATGCATTTAGAGAAGTTAAATATATATATATATATATATATATATGCAAAAACAGAGGTATTTTTACGCGTGTGTTCGTTGCTTCTAATACACCTCACATTCGCACTAGGTGGCGTTAAGCGATGAAAGATATGTCCATAAATGTGTATTTTATATATACATTTTTTTTTTCTTTATAATTGTTCAGTCTAGTGTTATGGAAGTTGGACTAATGAAATTCCCCCTTTTTTATACGTATTTCACGATTTATATATGTATGGCGCACTCTCGAAAATGTAGAAATAATACATGCAGCTATCAAACATGTTGATATAATGAAAATACGAAGGAATAAATGTTAGTGGGCGAAAAGAAAAAAAATACGTGAGAAAAAAAAACTGCCCATAATAAATCTCTCAACTGTTTAAGCTATAAAAGTTTCCTCTTGTCTACCTTTTACTAATGAAATGTCGAAATATTATATATTAAAAAAAAATTGATAATTGGTGAAGGATGATTTTGTATGTTACCCTAGCTTCTTAAATTTTTAAAAGTCAAAAAAAAAATTCTTATAGTCTACATTGACACACTTTTTTCACATTTGTGGAGTTCGATTGTTTTTTTTTTTTTTTTTTTTTTTACGCACAACTTGGGTAAATTTTACCAAATTAATAAAATAATGATATATCTTTTTTAACCTTATCCTTTTTTTTCGTTACAGTTTAAATTCATTACAAAAGGTTTTGTTGCGCAATTATTAGTGTCTTTGTCTTACTCTCCTTTTAAATGAACACTACATATTTTTAATGAAGTGGATAAATGTTCGCTTTCCGAAAAAGTCAAAGTTACGATTTAAAGGGTAGAGGAAGGTAGTGTAATTGAGTTTTACGAAAGATTTACTTAAAAAATGTATATATTATATTTTTGCACCCACAAGTCTATACATATTCAAATGTGTTAATTAAAATACCTATACAACTGTTATATTTTGTAAATATAAACTTGGTGTGGTATTTTTTTTTTTTTTTCTTTTTTTGTGGTGACAACCAACATGGATGTGCATAGAAAATGGAGATTCATATCATATGTAATAGAACTATCTTATATTTTAATTTTGCAAAAAAAAAGTCATTATAGTTTAAAATTCTCTTTTAATTTGCTAATATGTGATATAACGAAGAAAGTATTTTCCCCCTTATGATCTTAAAGGGAGTGACCGTGAATACATATATACCTTTATTTCGAGTCACGATAAAAGAAAAAAAAAATAATGCATGTAAAAAATTATTCGTGCTTCCAGCATAACCATCGCACATGTTTTTGCATATCCAAAAATGTACCTACCTAGCTATACTACAACGTGTTTATGAAAATAAAAATAAAATTTTTTTTTTTCTTTTTTTATAGTGAATCTCTAAAATGAGTTGCACATTTCGTTTTTGTAAAGGAGAAAAAAAAAAAAAAAAAAAATATGAACAGGATTGGGTGTTATGACGCATAACTATAATAGCGCTGCTTGTTGGTATATCTCTGCACGTTAAATAAGCTACATTTTAGAAATTGTAAAAAGGGTGAAAGTGGGCAGCACGAGCCAAAGCTCTGAAACATTTGCCAATGCCATATGTACACGAATAAAAAGTATAATTCACAATAAGCCAAAAAGTTAATAAGTGACAATAAATATATTTTGAAAACGGGATATAGTATAGGCAAGTGCACAAGTTTGATAAAATCTTTATTTGAAAAGTTGAAAACAAAAAGGGGAAGAAGAAAAGTAAAAAACACTTAATAAAAATTAGTACAAAATTGATACAAAATAAAATAAACAAATGGAAGCTCTTATTTCAAACAGGGATGCACAAAACTATATTTGACAAGAACACAACAACGGGGTATTCGTAAAAATTTATCAATCGTGGTGAGAAATTTCGCTTTGGAAACTATCACACCTCTTTTCTTCTTTTATGCATATCAAAATCAAATAAAAGGAGCGAACATAAAAGAGACAGGAAAAGCATACATACAAGACTGTTTATATTTCCCCTGTAGGGGAAGGGTAATATGGAAACCAAGAAAGAAGTCCAGTGCTATGACAGCACGAACCAGTTGCAGAAAAATGAAAACTTTTTTAACTACTACATTAACCAGAAAATAATAAATGAAAATGAAGTGGACAGTTTTATGGAAATTATAAATAAAGAATTACCAATAACGTTTCGTGTTTTAAACAATAACAAGTACTGCAAGTTTATTCACGAAAATATAAAAAAGAAATTAGAACATTTATGTAAGGATAATTATGCTATAACAAAATTAAATGAAGAAGACCAGATGTACGAAATATATTTAACGAGATCCCAAATTAAGAAAGATGAAAATTATAAAAATTTATATAATTATTTAATAAATTTAAATGAAAGTGGGTATATATTTAGACAAGAATTGGTAAGTATGTTACCTGTGTTGTTTCTAAAATTAAAAGAAGATTTTTTCGTTCTAGATATATGTGCAGCCCCTGGCTCAAAGACAGCTCAAATAGTGGATTACATGCATCTCATTAAAAAAAAAAGTATTAAAAATTATTTGATTCGGAAATTTATTGAGAAGAATTCTTCTCTTTTCTGTAATCCTCATGAGGGCATTGACGAATTTCGTGACAGTGTATGTGCAGAGGATTCATGTGAAATGGAGTACTCCTTCGGTCATGAAGAATGTAGCAACAGAAGCAGCTTGAATAGCAGCGTGAAGGGCAGCCTGAACAAGAGAAAACAGGGGAATCATGAATCTGGTGAGAGAAACGAATTGTATAGAAGCCTGAATAACATACTAGATGGTAACGAGTACGACAATAAACTTTTTGAATACATTCTAAATACAGACAACAATTTGTATGAGCACTACAAGAAACTAATTTCGAATAATAACCCCAATGGAGTTGTCGTTGCAAATGATGCAAACTTTAAGAGATGCTGTATGTTGTTTCATCGATTAAAAAATATACATAGCAGTTGTTTAGTGGTAACAAATAATAATGCCATTAATTTCCCTTATATTTACATAAAAGATGAGGATGGAAATAGCAGTGAGAAGAGATACTTCGATTCGGTTTTATGTGATGTCCCATGCAGCGGTGATGGTACATTGAGAAAAGACAGAAATATATGGTTAAATTGGAATCCATTTAATGCCTACAATTTATTTCAAATGCAAGTAAATATTTTAAAAAGATCAATAGAATTGACAAAAGAAGGTGGTCATATTGTTTATAGTACGTGTTCATTAAATCCAATTGAAAATGAGGCAGTTATTTGTGAAGTGTTCAATTCGTTAGATAATAGAAATTGCTTAAAATTAATCAATATTCAAAATGAACATATAAATAAATTAAATTATAAAGAAGGATTAACCAAATGGAAGGTGTTAATGGATGACCATTGGTTTGATACATATGAACAATATTGCAATTATTTAAAAACTAAGGAAAGCGGAAAATATAAAAAAATTTATGACAAAATACAAAATGGAATGTTTGCACCGCAGGAGAAATTTATCCATGATATTAATCTAAAATATGTGAAACGTTTTTTTCCTCATCATTACAATGCGGGAGGCTTTTTTATAGCAGTTATAAAAAAATGTGGAAAGCTACAATGGAAGGAAGAAAAAAAAATAAAAAATAAAAAATATACTAACTCGAACAAGTGCTCTATGTCACACAAAGTCACAGACAGTCTGAAAAAAGAGGAAAAAGACAAATACAGGAAAAAGTACAAATATAGAAGAAACAGGAAAAAAAAAAAAAAAGAGGAGAAGGACGAAAATGGTGATTTTATTCACTTGAACGAGATAAAACCAGATGTCAATGAAAAAGAACAAAAAGTTTATGTTTCAGACGGTTTAGTTCACATTTCTGATTATTTTCCTGAACCGCTTATGCAAAATCGAGAGGTACAAAATTACTCCCGAGACAGTAACTCAAACATAATAAGTAACAACAGAGATTTGATAGCCCAAAACTGTGAGGAAGATAACTACAATGTAATAGATATTGACGATGTAATGACAAGTTACAATGTGGTAACGAGTAACGAAGTTATGAATAAATATAATCTGATAGATAATGATGATTTGACAAGCAATTATAACATGATAGACAGTGATGATATGGTAAGAAATTCAAACCCAGTTGTCAAATCCAATGAAGTGCAGGGTGCAGATATAATAAGTGTCATTAATAAGAGAAGTGAAGAGGAGTTAAAGAGGTACCTAGGGAACGATGATAGCAGAGCTTTGGAATGTAAATTAGAAGAAGTAAATAAAGATGGAGTGGTGGAGGATGAAGCAGAAGTAGAGAGAAAAACCCAATCGAATGTGGATGATAAAACAGACGAAGAAAGAGTAGAAGAAAGAAAAAGAGAAAAGCACAAGATGATCAAACAACAAGAATACATAAGCCTAGATTATTATGAAAAATTATTGCCAACGAATGATATACTAAAAAGAATAAAAAATTATTTCAATTTAAATGATGATTTTTTATTCATTAAAAATAATTTATATATCCATCTAAAGGATGATTGTAATTTTACCAAGTTGTCAATCAACGAAAGAATAAACGTGAACATTAAAAAAATCAATTTAGTTAGTAAGTATACAAAGGATATATTAGAATGCTACACAAAAATAAAGTTAAAAATTATTAGTGCTGGTATAACAGTTATTCAGATTGATAAGAATAAAAATAACGCGATGGAAAATTATTACAGAATTAATTATAGTGGCTGTCTAAACTTTTTGCCATTTTTTAAGGATGTAGACGAGTTCTTGTTGAATAGGACTTATAGAGATGAAACTATTAAAAATTATTTTTCACCAGTTTATGAAAATGAAAACAGGGTATTTAACTTTGAAAGCTACATGGAACAATTGATTGGTGAGAGGAAGAGTACTCTGTCGAAAGGCATTTCAAGTAAGGAGAGAAAAGAGGTGAAAGAAGTTTTAGCTAAATTGGAGATACAGAACGAATCAGAAAAGAAAGAAGAGACGGAAGAGGAAAACAATGTAGGTACAATTTCAAATAATCAGATATCAAGTGAATCTGAACATAATGTAAAAAATAAAATATATGTAGATAATCATCATGAAGGAGAGACCCACCCAGAAAGCCATACCTGTGAAGGAAACACAGAACCAAACGGAAATATATACAAGACAGTATCGAATGACCAAGAAAATGGGAATAATGTAAATACCATTTGGGTGAAGAGTGATGCCATACTAGACCTTATAAAAATAGATAAATCTAGAATAAATAACATAACCAATGATACTATTAGGCAGACTGCAAAACTGATGAAATATTCTCCGAACATTTTACTAACACTAAATAGAAATAAGCAAATTTTGGCAATTCCCTCAAGCAAAGGAAATTTGTATGTAGACATTAGCATTGATAAGAACTCCATCATCATGCTACCATACGTCTTAAATTAATTATCTACCACATTTGCAATGGCTTGTAAACCTGTCATTTTCTTTTGAATTCATTTAATATATTGTCTTTTAAAAAGGAAAAACGTGTTCGACATATTAGCACAACATAGTGTTCTTAAATGAACATATTATAAATGTGACATATGTTTTAAGCAATAACATAACTCTTTGTCCCAATAGATTACACATTTTTTTTTTTTTTAATGATGTTATCTCTTTAATTATGTGTGAACAAGTTGTATTCTTCTTTGCTACATTTTAAATTATTTGCTTTGCATTTTTAATTCTGTGTGCATGGATACGCATTCGAATTTTATTTTTAATTTATTTTTTTTATCTCTTCATTTTGTTCCACGCATAAGGCGAGAAAAATAATCAATTGGCATTTACAACTTTGCAAAAATGTTTAAACAGTTACAGCTTATTTAATGTTATGTTTGTTTTGTAACGGCAAAAAATTGGTACGAAAAAAAAAAAATTCAACAAATGCTGGTGTAATGACCACAAACAATTTTTCCTTCGTAAGAAGTGTTTTTTTTCTTTTTTCGCTATGATTCTCTAAAAAAGAAAAAAGGAACTTTTCCCGCCCAAAAAGAAAAAAAAAAAAAAAAAAAAAAAAAAAGTCGAAAATGAGATACAAAGGGCAAAAAAGATACATATACCTTTGGAGTAAACTGTAGAACAGAATGTGTACAAAACTGTGTTAGAAAATGACGCAGAATTTAATGAACAATTATGTCGTTTTGAGAATATGGATGTTTGGTGTGGTTCCATACATGTGTGCTCGTTTGCTTCTTTTTGCATCTGTCTCTCTGTCTATGCTTGTCCGTGTCTGTCTATCTTTCTATCCTTTTGTCTCACCCTTTGAGAAATCCTAACATATACTACTTCGTCTTCGGGAACTACTGCGCCCGACTCACTTACTACTGTTGATGAACATTTCCTCATTCACGTCATCCTCACTATTTATGACATTGTAGAAATTGTCCACTGAATATCGCAGTTTTATGGGTCTACGTTTCTTGTTTGATGCATCTACATTTGAGAGTGATTGTTTAACTTGGCCTGTTTTTACAATATCATAGGATATTGTTTTAGAATTTTTAAAATTTTGAATAACGCTAGTAAGTTTTTTGGGGTCAATATGAGCCTTTTTTTTTAATCCCTTGTTGATACTATTCTGATTTGGGGAATTTTTTACTTGTTCCTTTTTTGCTAAGGTATTTTTTGCGGCCAATTTTTTTTTTAAATCGTGCACCGAATTTTTTTTGGAGGCATTAGCTAGATCTTCACCCAAATGTTTTTTTCTTGTTTTTTCAAGGGATAATGATTTTTTTTTTTGCTTTACTGAATTTTTCTCTATACCTCCCTTAGAATTCTTCTTTATAATGTTCTTACTGGAGTTGTTTGACACATTTCCATACTTGTTATGGATTGCTTTGTTGTCATTTGGGTAATACTCCACTGTATGTTGGACTATACGGGCATCAGTTTGGGAACCGTTTACTAGATTCACCTCTTTTTCAGGTTCTTCGCTTTTTATTTTTTTCCATAAATTTTCCTTGTACTTTGATTCGAATGAGAAACTGGAATTTATGTGAAAAGGTTCGTAAAGAGGCATGATATTTTTAACAGCTGTATTGTTTTTTATAATTGTCTCATCATTGAATGAAGTGGTGACCGTTGTGTTATTATTTTTCCTTAGGTTGCTTTTTGTTAAATTTTTTTTTATTTCATAATTGGAATCATGCGTATTGTTCCCTGTCTTTAAGGGTATTTTTGTTCTATTTTCTTTTTTCCCCTTTGAAATAGCCTTTTTTTCAGACATGCTGAAGGCTTTGAATGCTTTGAACGATTTTACATTTTTCATGCCTCTTTTTTCTGAGTTGTATATATTGCTTGAATTCGCGTCAGCATTAGTTAAGGTCCTTCGCATACGTTCTGTGTTGTTGTAAAAGGTAGAACTGATATTACTCTCTTTGAGTCCACTCGCACTAGTGAGATAAATATCGTCGCTTAAGTTGGTATTTATGTAGTCAATATTAAAGTCTTGTTCTAACATTTTCAAATTGTTAATTTTTTTTTTCAAAAAATATTTTTTTCTATAACTTTTTGTTTTATTCATTTCGCGATTAACTTCATTATTCATTTCATTCCAGTTGTAATAGTTGTACTCATCATTGAATCCATCATCTGTAAATATTTTTACATCATCAAACTTAAGACCATTATCTGATAAGTTTTGCAATTCTTCAAAATCTTTATTTTCGTTGGTTTCATAGATCTGTTCACTAGTATCTCGTATGTGTTTACATTCATTAGAATAATTCTTATGTTCCGTAACTTGAACACTTGACATATTCCGTTTTGATAATTTCTTTTTTTTTCTTTCCAAATTTTTGTAATTATTAGAAAAAATATTATCATGAAGAGTGTCATTTCCTTCAGTTCTCCTCCTGATGGTTGGGAAAACATCACCCTGTTCTATTAACTCGATAAAAGATTCTTGTGTGTCTGTTTTTATATTTTTCATAACTTCCTCATGTATACTTTTGTATTTGTACTCGTTTTTTCCTTTATGTAATTTTAAAGGGGAATGTGTTTTTTTTTCAGAATTGAATTGTTTTTTATGTTTCTTTTTTCCTACATTTTCGTATTCACTTGATGAAATAATAGAATTTGAATTTTGTTCAAAGATATCTTTTACGAAATTTGATATTTTGGATGCGTCATCACTATCTTCTGTGCTAGCAGTATCTATGCATGTATTGTATTTTTTGAAAGAACAATTATTTTCTTCAATATGCAAATTTTCAGGTGACCATGAATAAGTTTTAATGATGCTGTTAAAATGTTGGATGTAATTTGAGTTATTAAAAATATTATCGCTATTGTTTATAATCTTACCCTTTATGGGATAATGGTTATATTTTTTTTTTCCTTCTTCCTTTTCTTCATTTATGTGATTGTAACGATTTTTATATAAAAATTCTGATTTCGTTATGCAGTTTTCATTTTCGAAATCACTTTCAGTTCTTTTCGAATTTTCTAAATTAATAGATGTTTCCTCTGTGACTGCTAATTTTGCGTTGTATTTGAGTGTTCTCTTGTCCTTTCTCTTCATTCTATTTTTGTGTGTATTTCCATCAATGCAATAATCATAACCTATATCTCCATTTCCTTCTATGCCCATGTCTATTTCATCTTCATTTTGATTTTCATTTTTTTTTTTTCCTTCTTTGGTAGCATTACTGTCATTATAGATGTTTTCTCCGTCTCGTTTGCTATTGATTCCGCTTTCTCCTATCTCCATGGGATACTGCTGATACAGATTGTTAGTTTTCTTCTTGTACTCATTCGTCTGACCATTTTCGACTTGATACAATTCTATACTACTTGAGCCCTCCGATTTATTATTACCTTTTAAGTGGTTATTCAACAAGTCTTTTTTTGTGTCCATGGGAGTTTTACTTGACATAGAAGAAGAGCTCATTCCCGTAAAAGAATTGCTTGAAGCACTTCTATTTCGATTGTATAATTTCCTCTTATATAAGGAAGAGAATAGAGTCCTGGATGCTTCTGATTCGTTATATATCAGCATTTTCGTAACATTGTTATTGTCAGACTGAGGAATATTCATATTATTGTCTTCTTTTCCAGCATTATCAAACGTATTTTCATTCATTTTTGTACCGTTGTTACATAGGTTTATTTTATTTTCCTGCACGTAAGATGTTTTGGCGAATTGTTTGCCTTGCTCTTCGGTGCTCTCTTCGTCAAGCGATTCTTTCTTCGCTTCGTCAAGAGAATCATTCTTCGCTTTGTCAAGAGATTCCTTTTTCGCTTCGTCAAACGATTCTTTCTTCGCTCCGCCATAGGTTTTCCCTTTCGAATGATCCTTTTCATTTATGCCACTTCCGGCAATGTTACCGTCTGCAATTTTTGAATTATCATAAATTTCATAATTCATAAAATTCTTTTGTGCATAATTTTCCTCTTTAACATGTTGTTGTTCTTGTTGTTCTTCTTTTTTTTTATAAGTACGTTTATCCAAGTAGATATATGTGGCGTTTTCTTCATTTGGACTGACTTCACCTCTGTTTACTACCCCGCTGTGTGTATTACCATGGTGATTGCTTACCTTATCTGAACCGTTCATGTTTTTTCTCACGAAATAGTTGTTATTATATTTCGTTTTTACCTCGTCGTGGAGTTTTGAATAATCAGAATTGTATGAAATGAGTGAAACTGCATCGTGATATTGATCCACTTTTTCCTTTTCTTCATTTGTTTTATCATCAAGGTTATGACTTCTCTTATCACTTTTTTCGTTGCTAACATGGCTATGCTTATCTAGTACCATTGTATTATTTTTAACCTGTCCATGGATGTAATTTTTTTTATCTTTTGAACTAGTTCCATTCATTGTGTCATTAATTACGTTTGAACCATGTTTTTCGTACACACTCTGATTTTCGTTATATGTTACTCCTTTATTGTTATACTCATGTATTCTTCTTTTCATATTGTCTATATCTGTTATACTTTTATAAGCAAAGGATTCATAAAATACATCACTACCAATTAGTAGTCCTGTTAAATCATTATCTGTGGATGAACTACTATCTGATATTTTGTTTTGAAAGCCATAGCTTTCGTTAAAAATATTTACATCTGGTTGATAAATATGGTTTTGATTTGCATTTTTTAACATTTCTAAACTTCCTGAACAATTCTTTTCATCGGATGGGGTAAAATCTTTATTCTCTTCCGAGTTATCAATATTTTGTAAAACTAAGTTTAAATCTGCCTTTTTAATTATGTTTTCTTTTTCCTCCATGGAATGATGGTTCCTATTTTCCATTTTTTTTTTCAAATGACAAAATGTTTCATCTTCTTCTAGATTTTCAAAATTGTTTATGCTGTAAAAAATATCACTATTTGCTTGTTTCTGAGTATATTCATTAGTAAGTTTACCCTTTCGTTCTTCTATTTTTTCTCTCTCCCCATTAGAACTGCGTAACTCTTGGAGCATATTTTTTTCCTTATTTAATTCGAACATCATTTGTCCGTTTCGATCTCTAGAATTATAGCCGATTACCCCATTGGAGTTACGAGGTACATAGGGACTAATGAAATTTATCGAATTAGAGTTGAACTGGTGCTTATTAATTTCCAACCCTAGCATATTTTTCTGTATAAGTGTGTCATTTTTTATTGTTTTCAGATGTGTTCCTTTTGAGATACTATTTTCCACTTTGTTTTGCCCTTCCTCCTGTTTATCGCTATAATCAATGTAGTAATATTTGTCTTGTTTATAATTATCATAATTAAATCTAGATATATCTTCTTTCTTTTCGCTCTTCTTATACGACAATTCGGACGATGCTTCTAATGATTCTTTTGTCTTTTCTAGATGTTCTTCCAGCTTCGTGTTATTTGTATGCTTCTCTTTCAAGACAGCGCTTTTAACTAACCGATTGCTGTTTTCCAACATGTATGTATTGAGGAAATTTACTATATGAGCATCATAAAAATTGGAATGGAAATCATCCTTTGTGATTTTGTCTTTCTCCTTTTGCAGTTTTTTTTCGTTATAAAAATCTAAGTGTATGGTTCGCACTTTTTTTGTATTGTTGTCCATTGAGTGTTCCATAAATTCGTTCTTCATTTCGTTGTTCTCTTTATAGGTATCTGAATTACTAGTGTCTCCGCTCATGTTTTCTTTTGCTTTATCAAAAAGTACTTCGTTATATATGCTAAGATTACATGGGTTGCTATTTTCCAAATATTTGTTGATAAATTCGAGTAGGAATGTGTCATTCAGTATACTATCCTCGACATCTACATTATTTGAGGATGAAGATAAATATTTTTTCAAATCTTTTATAAGATCTTGCGTGTCAAGGTTAAAATTACTGTTCGTTTGATGAGAACTGGAGAATATATGTGAACCATTATTTTTCTCTTCCACATTTTTTGTACAAATTTTTGCTGAATCAATATTCCTAGAAGCGTTGTAGCACACTTGGCTACTATACATGTAGTGTTTTTCTACTGAGGGTATGTCTTTTGATATGTCGTTTACAGCATTAACATTTACATCTACAATTTGATGATTAATTTTTTTATTTTCTTTTTCTTTCCACTGGTGTATAGATATCTCTTTACAAATATTATCTTTGTATTTTTCTATTTTGATATTTTTTTCTGTTCCCCCATGTTTGTATTCGTCATTAGCTGTTGCTTGATATTGAGAATATTGCATCACTTTCCTTACAGAATTGTTATTCTGGTTGTTTTCACTAAGAAAAAAATTATTTTTCATATTGTTTGCAATCTTTGATTCAGCTCCAGTTTTTTTATATTTTTCTTCTTTTCTTTCCATTTTATGCTTATCCCGAAGGAGTGCATTATTAGAGTTTCCTTTATAATTAGAATTTGCCTTATCATCTATTTTATCGTTATTTTGAATATGTATCTCCCCCTCAATTATATCATCCTTCGATTTTCTTTGTTCTATATTGCAATATATATCTCCTATTTTTTCAGAGTTTGAATTCTCCCTTTCATAGGTTCTGCTGATACTATTACTACATGAAGGGCTATTCTTTCCATTGGTATGTTGTGTCCATTGGTTTGCTTTTCCTCCTTGTCCTTTTTCTACATTTTTCAGATTGGATAAATACCCTTTATCGATGAATGCAAACTCCTTATGCATGTTGAGTACGTGTCCACCATCAGTTGCGTAAAAATTAGCAAAATGTTCGGAGATGTTATTCAAGTTTTGTGTCTTACTTAAATGATCATCCTTTTGATTATGTAAAACTAGAAAATTGTTTTTTTCATGAATTTTATTTTTTCTCTTATTTTGATCTTCGTTGTTTTCCGTACCATTGCTACTGTTGGAACTCGTTTTCATGTTCATACTTTCATCATCTGAGGAGGTGCAATGAATTTTACTTAAAATCGTATTGCTATACATTTTTTTTTTTTTTTTTTTTTTTTCATTCTTTAAATCGTTGTATATGTATTCATTAAGTTCACTGTATGACAGCTGGCTCGTATCTGTTTTGCTTTTTTTTCTTAAACATTCAATGCTGTTCTTGGATTTATTCTTAATTGTATTAAGTTTATTCATGCATTGTTTCTTCCCTTCATTTGTGTGTATTTTGATTAATGCATTGGTGTCATATAATTTTTCATGTTTGTCTTTCCCATTTTCGTAATTCTCTTTCATATATTCTTCCCCTTTTTGGATTTCTGCTTTTTCTAATGTATCCGAAAGGTAATGATTATTATGCAAGTTTCGTTTTTTTAGATACATTTCCTTCTTCTTTGTATTAATTATTTGTTTGGCTAAATGTTCTCCATTTTTTTGAGTACTTTCAAGTTCGAAGTTATGATTTGGTGAGTTTCTACCTTCCCCGTTAGCTGCCTTGCTCAGTTGTTTTTCATCACATATAGTTTTTTTAATATTGGAATAAATTTCTTCTATATTTTTCAAAGAATTTATCTGTTCCTCATCCTTCTCTCCACCTTGTTTAAAGCTATTATGTTGCATATTATTATCTCTGGTTGACACAAAATTTTTAATGAAGTTGCTCAAAATTTCGTCAAAATGTTTTATGTCTGTCGAATCTGCATCTGAATCGTTTTGCATTTGTACGTTTACATCGTCCTTATTTAGTAAGACACTTTCTTTGGCCAATTCGTTTTGCTTATTTTGCATGATCAGCGATTCTGCATAATTTAGCAAGTCGTTCAAATCAAAATTTTCACATTGATTTTTAGGAGAGTATGTAGGGTTGATATTTATTAAATCTTCGTGTGTCTGTCCGCGTGTCTGTTCGAGAGTGATTTTCCCCATAGTTTGTTTTTCCCCTTTAAAGACACCATTTTGTATAGACCCATCTGAACTGTCACGATCATATGGAACCATTTTTTTTTCAATACTAATGGAACAATCCATCCTCTGCACACAGTTCTGTGAAATATTTTCTACAACTATCTGATCCAGTTGTTCAATTAAATCTGGAATAAACCTTGATGGGGGTAGAGTCATTTTTTCACATGTTAATTCGCTCCCATTGTGTTCATGGAGCGAAAAGAGGAATTGCTTTATGCTGATGTCATCTAAGTATGGTTGTGTTTTTTTTGAATTAATTAAATAAAAACTTTCCATATCGGTATTGATATCAGCTAAAAAGTTATTTATAATTCCATTTAAGGAATTTATATTATATATATCTTCAGTAAATAAGTTTGATCCCTTTACAGATGAAAAAGATTTCTTAATCGTGTTCACTATACTTTTATTACTACTTAATACTTGACTAATATCAAACAATTTTACGTCTTCTTGTTTTTCCAAGGTTGTATGATTACTTTTTATGAAATCATGTAATGAATTTGAATTAGTGAAAAGATAATAAAAATCGTTATTCATTTTTTTATAATCTAAATTTTTACATTTTAACCATTCTTTATATACTCTTCCGATAATACCTGGATAATAGTACCAGAATATATTCTCTTCCTTTTTGCTACTTTTATCATCATTTGGAAATTTTGACGCAGTGGGAAATATTGGAATGTTCATGTAATCATTGTTAAAGTTGCTAAATAGGGAATTTCCTTTTTCATATTTTGTGTTTGTGTCTGAATTTAGTATGAACATTGAGTAGCATTCACTTAAATCCTCTTCAATTGTGTTCAGCAGATCCGTGCATATTGGCGCATTGTTTATCAAACAATTTTTACATTTTGATAAATTTCTGGATTTATTTACGTTTTCATTCTCTTTTTCGTATTCATTTACTAATCGTGGACTTGTACTCAATTGGCTGATAAAATTTGTATTCATGTAATGGGAGCTGTTTTCTTCGAGGGATGATGAGGTGGCATTTTTTAGTGAGTCTATTTGGGGGGATAATGTATCAAGAGGGATTGACTCTGCATTGTCCTCACAAATAGGATGAGATAAATTAACCGATGATACGTTATTACTATTCTTTTCTAGAAGATATTTAGAATTTGAATTTACAACTGATCCATCGTTCATTATATCTCCTTCATTTAGACCATTTTTTCTATTATCACAAGGATTACCTCCTTCAAGTAACTGGATTATTTTCATGAAGAACTTCCTTTTATTTAAGTAAAATATGAGCTCATCATAATTTTCTAACAACACATCTATTATGTATGTATATTTCGAGTGAAATAAGGATGCTGAAGAATATATATCATTTTCACAATGGGTAAGGTAAAGATCATGATTCATTAATGGTTTACTTTGAATATTCTTATTCCTGCTTCTTTCCTCCTTAATGAGTGACAAATTCTTTAACAAAAAAGGGGTACGTTTATATGCATTATTCTTGTATTTATTCCTATATCGTGCTTTATTTTGGATGATATGGGCATCATCATCAGTGTCATTGTAATTACTCAGACATTCGGATGATTCTCCGTTTATGCTTAGTATGAAATCTTCAACATGATTATTGTTTTCGTGTTTTGGGTTACTTGATCGTTTTGTTCCTTTGAAATTTTTTGGATTCCCCATTTTTCCCCTATATATTCGATCACCCATGGAGATTCTTCTTTCTTTGTGCTTCCCCAATGAATGCTTCAATTCGGTTACTGTATTTAATAAGAGATGTTTATACAAATGAAGCTCATCGTACATGTACTTGTCCATATCTATATTTATTTTTTTGATGCTTTTCTTCTGAATATTTAGAATTTTGTTATTATCGTCTAGGCTTAGCACATACTTTTCTCTGACAAAATGGATTTCTCCCATGTTCTGGATGTTCCCATTTTTACATCTATCATTTTGCATATTATTCTGATCACTTTCATCATCATTGTGCCCATTCGCACTCTCGTGATTATTCCAGCTATCGTGACCACCCTCAATACTTGCAGAGTGAGGAAAGATACTCGAGTAGTATGCTGATCTTTGGGAAAAGCACTTGGACAAAACATTTGTATATGAAAAGAAAATATAAAAAATGTATAACAAATGAAGAACCAAAAAAAAGATAAGAAATACCATGTAGAAGAGATATATCTTATTATGCAATTCTTGTAATCCATCAGATGGAATATCTACAATTTTGGCCATTGTGATATTCTTTGTTAAAGATGCACTAGCTATAATTGTGTTTGTTATAATCATAACTGTCTGGAATATCAGTGTTGCTATGCTACTGTATTTGCGAAGGGAATAGGTAAGAACACTGCTCGAAAATAAAATGGAAGAAATAATAATGAATAGTGTATCCTTTAGACAGATAAATATGCAGAAAAATGCCAATATGCCAAAAGTAAAGAGGATTCCTATATCTAGAAAATTAAAAAAGGTAACTATATGATGATATACCCAGATATGTCTTTGTCTGAATTTCTTTACAGATCGTAATGAAAACATATATATAAATAAAATGGAAGCATAAACTAGACATATGATTGTTTCTAGGATTAACAGTTTCCTGTTCGTGTTAGCGTTTGTGATATCAATTTGTGCGTTGCTAGGACCATGAATATCCTTATATTTTATGTTAGAAAAGGAATATGCAGTGGCGACGGAAATGAAAATAATTGCAATAATTGAATTTAACAAAGCCATGTTTGATCGGCTATATTTTAACTGTATCGATATTATCAATAGCAAGGTGGACAGTAATGCTCCAACACATTCATTCATAATGGAAAATATAATTAACAAACAGAAGAACATGCAACTAAAAAAACAATTAATATCTTTCATTTGGAATAACATTGATAAATATTGCTTTTTGTTTGATTCCTTATACAATTTGAATATCCTTTTCATTGTGCAATTTATTTTTTCATTTATTTTTTCTATATTTTCTTGACATTTCTTCTTAGACAAGTGAATACCAAAAATGTTCTTTTTTTTTTTTTTTTTTTTTAAAAAATTTACATGGGAAACATTAGTACTAAATGTTTGTTGTCTTTTTTCGACCCATTCATCATTTTTTATTTTATTCATTATCTTCATGTTATGTTGATCATGGTTAAATAATTTATCATGGTTTCGTAGAATTTCATTTGTAACTTTATTACACTCTTCTTTCTTATCATATAGACTTATTCTTTCTTCATTTTGTTTACTTCCTTTTATTTCATCCATTTGTCTATCTTCTTTAGTGGCACTGCTAGAATGATCAGTCCGCCCTTCAACCACATGTTTATTTGTTTTTATATTATGAAGAGATCTGTCATTTTTCAAACTATCCACATTTTCATAACTCGAATTGGTTATACTTCTCATGCTGCGTTTTCACCGATTTTTCTACCTACACACCGTTTGCTTTACTTATATATCTAAAATAGGAGAATATATACATGTGTATATAGTACCTTTGTGGAGTGTTAGGGAATCTTTTTTTTTTTTGAATGCTCAAATGGGATCTTTGTAATTTCTTGTTAAAACAATGTAAACATACAGGAGTACCGATGTACTCACTGTGAAAGTAGTCACAAATATATTGAATAAAACAGGGATACACACATAATTTATATGCATGAAATTTTGGGGAATAAGAAATAACATACGATTAGGGATGTTGTTCACGTGAAGAACAGTCTTAGTTTGTCAGTACGTACACACAACGTAGACACACACATCCATATAAAGAATACAAAAATGGCTAAAAAAAAATTTACAATTCTGCGCCAATATATTTGTACATAAGGAAGCTTTCTCTTTGTCTTTAAAAAAAATTAAGGAAAAGACAAAAAAAAGGGATATCCTTTTCTTTAACAAAATATTATGATACCAGTAAATGTTTCAAGTAAAGTACGGAGAAAATATATACACAAACACAAGGAAGTGTACTACATAAAATTTTACACAAAAAAAAATTAATTTGTCACAATTGTCACAAGCTTATTGCTTTCCTATTTCCTCACGTTTAAAAAATTTGGGAAATTAGGAAAAGGGGAACAAACTAACAAAAATATGGAACAATAATGTGAAGAAAAAAGAAAGACATGACGCCCATAATACTTCTTAAAAATCGAAATTAACGAAATATTTGCCAATTTCATAGAGTCCTAACAAAAGTAATACAAATTTTGTCAGTGCTATTTTTTTTTTTTTTATTTGCCTATCTGTGCATACTTTCATGCGCAAAACGAGAATTTTTTTTTTCTTTTTAACATTGTAACGAAATTTAAATTTTTCTTCATTTTCTTTATTCTATTGTGTATATGCAAAAAATAAAAAAAAATAAAGAAAATAAGAACAATATGTGAGAAATTTGTTCTATTCAACAAGAATTAACAAACAACGATATCGTATTTTTTTTATTTTTATTTATTTATTTTTTTTTTTTTTTTTAATTCTGTGTGCGGAACAGAGGTGTATGTTTTGAAAAGTTTTGCGTATCCATTTGGATAAATATATATGTGCAGGGTGAATTTTACGAAGATAATGCAGGGCAACATGCCTTTGTATTCGTTTTGTTCTTTCCATATTCCTTCCATTTGTTCTATTACTGTCACTGTCACTGTTTCTATTTTTTTTTTTTTTTTTTTTTTTTTGGTTAAACGAATTATTTCTCCTCCTAAAAAACGTTTCAACAATTGTTCTGTTTAGCTATTTTAGATAAAAGAAATACCTGTTATTTTTAAAAATGCAATACATAAGGAGGGGAAAACCTATACACACATGTGTACTTCGCATAAAGCACAAATATACACATCATATTTTTTTTTTTTTTTTTTTTTTTTAAATTCTGTCCCGTTTTAAGAATACAAATTTAGACGATTTAAAGTGATTCTAACTACACCTCATGATTGCAAAGTAATGCGTCTTGTATGTGCTTCTTTGGGATTGCAACAAAAAAATTCATTGTCTTTTGTGTGGGAAAAACACGAAATGTTGGTTAAAGAAGTGGACATATGCTAACTGGGGTATATACATATTTACACACAGGTGATAGCATACATGAACACAATATAGGTGAACAACTTGTCATTCCTCTAAAAGCGTACAAAAAAAATAAAAAAATAAAAAAAAGTTAAAATAGGAACTTTTCGTGGAGAACATCATGTATTGCTCAAAAAATATTCAACCTAGTTTACATTTTTTTTATATACACAAAGTATAGAAATTATACAGAAAGTTGTAATTCAATTTACCCCTTTTTATTTTGTAACAGCCATGCTTATGCATAATGGACCATCTTACCCCCCCCCCCCCTCCCCTCACTTTCACCCCACAACGTGTATGTATATATGAAACATGCATAATCAACAATAGTATCGTACAAAGTTACTGAAAACTTAACAAATGGGTGATGAAGGATAGCCTATGGGAGGTGAGAAAATCTAATGATTCCTCCAAAGCAAATAGTGTCAATTATTCTTAAGGCTATATTTCGCCTAATTCGCTGAATAATTTAATATTCTGATTTAACGAAATTGTAGAAGCAAATCTTTAAACGAAATATATATGTTAAATATAAAAATGAGAAACGGACACATTTATTGTGTGATAAAAGAAAAAAAAAAAAAAACCTTTGTAATATTTGCAGCCCTTGTAAAGCTTTGCGTGCATTTTCAGCAACTGCAAAAATGATAGTAGCAAAATTAGTGGAAACCGTACAATAAGTTTTACGAAAACAGACTTTTGCATTTTTGAAAAATTCACATTTTTATTTATTCATAATATTGTAGCAGCCCTTTTTTTTTTTTTTTTTTTTTTTTTCTTTTTATGAAATCTTTCTGTGTTCACTTAAAAAATGTTAACTTGTAGTAGGTTGCGAACATTTCCTTGCAATATCTCACATGTAAAGATAGGCATGATCGAATGTAAATGTGGAATCGAAAAAATGAAATCTTCAATAAAATTTTCCCCTGTACTTAGTTGTACTGCCATATAATAGGCATCCTATTGCACAAGAAAAATGTTTTTCAAAGAAAAAACGGAAGAAAAAAAAAAATTTTCATAACTAAGTGACGTTTATTAGTAACATTATAAAAGAAAAAATAAAGAGAAAAAAAAAAAAAAAAAATACAGTGATACATACAATACATAGAGTCCCATAATTTACCATATGGATGCATACAGTTAATGCAATTCATTACTTTATTTTTTTTCAGATACAAAAATGGGCATTCTACTTTTACAAAAATGAACAGTTGTCATTAGCATGGGGAATATACATAAACATTTATACACAAATATACAAACATATTTATGTGCATATGTGTATTATAGGAAAATATATTATAGTCACACCATTCCCAGCGAATTAGATATTTTGTCGAGAAATTTCGTCTAAGCTCTAGGGGGGGAAGAACGAAAAAATACTCTCAACCGTAAGAATAAGGACATTTTTAACTTCTAACGCATTTTTTTTTTTTTTTTTTTGCGAAACTAAAAGGTATATTCACTAGAAAAAGCAGCACTGTGAATAACAAATTGGACTTTAGTAAATAGGAGTCAAAGAATTTACATTTTTATTGCAGTGCAAAGAGGACATCGGTTCAAAGCTGCACCTGGAATCCTCTACAAATTGAGAACGAAAAGAGAACCACATGGAAATATGAACGAAAAGGAACAAAAGAGACATGCCAAAATTATAGAAAGCCTAAAATATACGAAAAATGAAAACATAATTGTTGAAAATTTAAATGCAATTTGTCAAAATGAAGGAAAGAGACAGGACAATAATGTAGTGTTACAACTTATTGACTTGTTTCTAGAGGAAAATAATTATTGCTATAATGAAAATTTTCTTTTTAATTACAGTCTTTTAAAAAGAAATAAAGAATTAAATTTAAGTTCAGAAAAGAAAAATAAATCAAAATTTAGTAAACAATATAAAATCTGCGTAAAAAGTAAAAATATCGAAAAGGTAAATGAAGAAGATTGTTACTATTTTTCTTTAAAAAAAAAAAATTTATGTACGTTTAGTCGCGAATTTACAAATTCTAAAAAAATTTTATTTCAGTATATATGTAATAGTGTGTTGAAAGGACATGTGCACATAAATTATCTTATAGACAAAATTTATGTCCATTTTCAAATAAAGAGTAACAAAAGCAGCCCTAGTGTGCAAAACTATGATAACACGAAACACTTAATTTGCAACCATGATTTGATAAATATACTTATTGAAACGATCTTCCACATTTTTGTAAGTAGACGGCATGAACAGGCAGGCATACCAGATGAAGAAGGCATAGAAGACGTAGAAGACGTAGAAGATGTAGAAGACGGAAAAAACGAACAAGATAAAAAAAAAAAAAAAAAATTTTCTGGTCATAGTGATATTCAAAAAAGTTATCTGATGCATTCAAAAGAACAAAGAACGAAGGAGGAAACGCAAGAAAGGGAAGATTATAGCAGTATCAATTTGTTAAATATTTTAAAAAAATTAATTACTATTGATAAAAGTTTTGTTAAAAATGTATTTTATATTTTCCTTAAGAACGTGGAAAAGGCTAATTTTACAAATGTAAACAAAAGATATAAATACATTTTTAAAATATTTAAGGAAATTATTGTCTATTGCGATGAATTCGAAATTAGTACCTTGTATAACATATTGCTCAATAATGAAATGGTTAAAAACAACAAAGTACTGTATACATATGCCATCATTTTATGCATAATAAACCTGCGAAATGTTTATAATGCCTACAACCTAGAATTATGCATTGACATTATGTGTGATAAGTTGCCCATAGGAGGGGATTACAGTGATGAAGATATAGAGGAAGAGGGGGAAGACAAAGATATGTACTACATCGAAGAGAAGAAACACAAACTGCAGGGAAGCGCCAAAACAACGAGATCCAAACTTTTGGCCTTATTTCTTCTAATGTTTACCCTAAAAATATATGACACAAGTTACATTAACGGGTGTGTAAATGAGTTAATTCAGAAATTTTTTCATTTATTAAAAAGAAATATACAATTCTTGAAAAACAAATTTTACCATATTATAAAAACCATGATATTCCTTCTGGTATTGGTATTTCATAATTTAAATATTGACAAAAATGAAACAGTTATTTATATTTTGAAATGTATAGATAAATTGCTTGAAATTTATTATCAAAATGGAATGGATGTAACGGGACGACCTAGACCTTCCTGTACACTAAGTGACAGTATTAAAAAAGAATTGATGAATAAGGACGTCCATATTGCATATGAAGAGAACAATTTGAATGATCATGAAGATGAAATGAATTCACGAACTTATGAAACGGATAGGGAGTTAGAATCGATGAGTGATCAAGGGAGAAACGAAAGTTTTTTTGATCGAAATGTGAGTAACATGATGGCAAATAATAAAAGAGATAATAGTTTGAACTTTTCTGAGTTAACTTTCCCCGAGCTAAACATTTTCGAATTTAACGTTTCTCCAGTTCTTCTATGTTTAACAATTCCAATTTATCTTGAATATAACTTGAATGAGAAAAATGAAAATAATTCCAATGGCGTTAATCGGAAAATAATGGAAACCTCCAGGAGGCTTAAAAACAAGTGGGTTATGTTCTTTACAAATTATAATAATCGTTTTTTTAACTACTTAAAAAGGAGGGATATAATATTAATGCACCTTTTAAATAGGGCTGGAAATGGAAGAAATTCCACGACATCATATGACACCTGTGATGAAAATAGGAGAAAAGATTTGAACATAATGGATGAGCTAATGAAAGAAGTGAACTACGTAACCAGTGAAGTAAAAAATTTTGCAAAAGAAGATGTTTTAGAAATTCTTTGCATAAATAACATATTGTTTTATCTACACGAAATATTTACTCATATTGATATGATTTATTTAATAAGATTTTTCGAGTTATGTGAATATTATGAACACAAATTTTGTTGTGTAAATATAGTGCGTACAAATCAAGAATTACATTTACTTTTAAAATTGAATACAAAATTTTGTATTAATACATTTGAAAATTTGAAGAATGAGAATATATCTAAAATGAATTTTGTATACATTAATATGCTAATATTGTCCTTATTCGAGTGCAATTTATTTTATGTTTTTAAATTTATGTCATACTATTGCTTAATAAATTCTTCAGAATTGCTTATGTTTATTCCGTCTTTGTTATTTGTATATAATATGTCTCATAAGAACTACAAAATACAAGGTGAAAGTTTCAAAATGGAATCACATCCAAGTTACCAATACATAAACCAGACAGATATTCACAATTATGTGTTTATTTTAAGAAGCTTAATCTTGCATGTATTGGCCAAAATTGGATGTAGCGATAATAATGTTCCCATTATTTATAATTGCATTTGTATTTTACTGAATATTGGAAGTTGTAAAGGATTGGAGGAGGCTGAAGACTTGTCAGATGATGGTATTAACCATGTTGCACAATCAGATTCTATAGAGAGAATATCAAAAAAGGGAGATGTGCATATAAGAGATAAAAATTGTTCTAGTCAAATTCTTTTTAATAAATTGTATTTTTTACATTGCTATGATAAATTAGTTGATACTAACGAAAATATAATAAGCAAATATTTCAAGTATGTAGAGAATACATTCGAGTTGGCGAACGGAATTGGAAAGGACAACACAGAGCGAGCGAAAAGAAAAGAGAAGAATTATAATCATGGTATAGAAAAAAACAATAGGGGTGATGATAAACATATCAATAATGACAATAAGAACATATTTATTAACAGTATGACAAAGGAAGACGTTAACATATTTTTCGATTTAAAAAATGTACTAATTTTGCTAAAATTATGCAGGTTTTATAATGTCAGTAATTATGTGAGTAGCATCATAAAATTGATTAACTCCTTTTTTCGAAAATACAAAAATAAAATTATTCACAACAATTATTTTAATAAACTTCAAAATGGAATAATCAAAATGAGTATACTAATTTTAGTAATCTTGTCAATGAAAAAATATATAGAATTTGAAATTATCTATGATTTGTTAAAAAAGAATTTTTTAAAGAATTTAAGTAGCATTGGGAATAGTACCTCTCATATGGATGGTTCTAATAATTCATACAACTGTGACATTATTTGCTCTATAATTACATTTACAAGATATTATATTAATTACTTGATTTATGAAAAGGAAAAATTGTGTGCAGAACAGTACGATATTTTGTACCATACAAAGCTTAAATATATTTTTAAAGATTTATACAAATTAATAAGTTTGAATGATGTCAATGTCCTGACTGAGATAGTTAATGTTGTGTCTGTTGTATATCCTGTGTACTACCGACATTTTGATATGGGTTCTCAGGTAGAAAGTAGCAATAGGGCCCTTGCTGAACGTGGGTATGGTATGCCAGAGGACATGTCATTGAATATTATGCACGGGATTAGTAGTAGCACCACCATGTACAATAGCAATTCCGTCCTTTGCGACCTGAATATGCATGAGAAGAAAAATTTGCTGAACTTGTTTTTCGATAAACATTTCGTGCATGAGTCCTTTTTAAAAAGTGAAACACATAACAACATTTATGAAAATATGCAAAAAGCCATTCTGAAAGACGAAATTAGCAATCTTTCCTTGTATAACTTGAGAAATGAAAATAGCAGTAATAACAACCATTTGGTGAGAGTTTTATACAAATTGTTCAATTCAAATATTAATAATGATAAAAATTCTAATTTTAATTATTATGTTAAGTTACTCCTCACAGATAAGTTTCAACACCTTGGAGAAATTATTTCGATTTTGAAGAATTTGCCATTTTTTCATGTACATTACATTTCTTCCTTTTTTTACGTGATTAATTGTTTCTTCGAAAAAATTAGACGAAAATTTGAGAGCCAAGAGGATTTTATTTTGCACCTTGACGTGAAGAGACCCACTAGGAAGGTAAATGAAAATCCTGACGAGAAGTCTAATGTAACTTTGAAGGGAGAAGATTCTTCTAGCCCCTCAACAGTAGACTCAAAGAAGGAGAGTATTACGTATGAAGTTATTTGCAATCGAATATGTGAAGAAATAAAAAGTATAATAAACGAGGATAATCTGAACATATACGTTTTTTACCCTGTATTAAGCATACTTTGCAAACATAACAATGACATTAACGAAATTTTAAATTTTTTTTATAAACGAATTGACATCTATGTTAAGGATGATGAAAACAAATTACAGGGTAACAAAAATGAAATTATTTTAATTTTTCTTTGTTTAAATTACATACATACGAACATTTCGCAAATTCCACATTTTTATCCTTACCTAATTAACATGATGAAACGAATGACAAATAAAAATGTGAGGAATATTCTTTTGTTGTGTCTCAGTACATGTTGTTACTATACCAATTTGAGCAGTATACAAATTATTGAAATTTTGGATATTCACAGGGATAATTTAGAAAGTATATTGCATTATGGACATAGGGACATATCCAATGATGTAGTAAATTTAGCACTTCCTTTGAGTGTAAGCACAGAATGCAACTTTGGAAACGTTTCTGAGGATATAAAACGTGTACCACAGATTAGAGACAAAAATAGTGATAATGATATTGGTAGAGATGGAGATGCACAGGAAGAGGGAAATAATGACTGCAGTAATGATACTGACGACGATGATGATGATAATGACAACTTGCACTTCTTCCTCTCCTTGAACAATCTCTGTTTCTACTTATACAAACATTATAACAGCCAAACGTTCGACGAGATGATAAAAAATATGTACGATACTATGGTAAAATCTCTACAAAAAAAAGTCGATAACACGATTGTCAGTATGTCGAACGTGATGATGTATCTGTACATAAAAAAAGTAATCGATGTGTACGAAATAATGAAGACATTGAAAATGATCTTAGCGAATGTAGGAAGTAGTCTTATATACGATTCGAAGTATGTTGTGTATGCATTTTGCTCTTTTTACCGCTTCTTAACATTTTATTATAAGAAACATTTTGATTGCTTCATGTATGAAGAATCCGAAATAGGGTATGAGGAAGGGGAAAGAAGTGGGAGTTGTGAGGTTGAGATGAACACAACTGGTGATAGTACCATTCGATATGAAAGCCTTAAAGAAAGAATTAAAAGTCTGTCTCGTAGTCTTCACCAAATCATTGTACACAATTTTGAAGAATTAGAAGATAAAAATGTGAGTCTAATTTCGTATTGTAATTTGATTGGCATTAGAAACATGGGATGGGAATGTATCTCACTAGATTATTTTGATTCGAACGAATATTGTAATATGGCAATTTTATTTATAAACCGATTTGTGAAAAAAGATTTTGAAATCAAAAAATGTGTAAGTTTGATGAATAACATTTTGGCATGTACAGAATCAGATGATGAAAATGCAACGCATGATGAGAATTTGATGTATGGTATGAAAAATACTAGAACTGCAAGACAAGAATGGAACGTAACTGCAAAAAAGGATGAAAATTTGTTTGTTTATCAAAATAACAATTACAAATTAAATAATGACATTATAGTGAATGACCATTGCACAATTTTGACCCTTGTTTGTTTATTTTGTTACAAATATTACGAAGAGATAAATTGCGCTCAAATTAAGATAGAAAATTTGGAGAAGAAAAATATGTTATATTATGTGTACTCTAACTTATTACTTGTGGAAAATTACATGAAGGGTTTTTTAAAAATGTGTAAACTTATAGATATAGATGCGAATTTTTTCAAAAAAAACAAAGAATATGAGCAAGTAAAATTAATTATGCTACATGACATAGAGGAGAACGAAATGTCGTCTTTAAATCTGTTCAACGGTGAATTATACAACCATGTGAATATCTTTCTAAAAACGATGAAACTAATAAATTACATAAAATTGGATGTTCAAATAAAGAATATTGTTCTTAACATATATTCATATGTAGCAAAATTGATAAAAATTTATTACATCTTCTTAGAAGTAATGATTGAAAAAATCGTGGAAAACATAAGCACTAACATAAAAGGTTATTATGAAATTTATAAAGAGTATATCCAAAAGGTGCACATATTGTATGAATGTAGAATATGCATATTTGGATATTTTTCTCTATTTAGCTCATTTAAGAATTCATATAGTCACATTTTTTGCAATTTTAGCAATTATTTCCACTCATTCAGTACATACGAGAAATATATGTTCATTAAATGTATAACAAATTTTAAAAAAATTAAAAAAGAAGAAATTAAATTCCTTTTTCTGAATATTTTAAAAAGTGTCAAACTGTTTCACGAAGACACATCTTTGTGGATATTTGCTATTTCTATTCTTAAAATTTTACTGAAAAGAATTTACAAAAATGTCAGAAAAATGGATGATGGAAAAAAAGAACCAAGAAAGAATTACTACGATTTGTGTTCTTACATAAAATTTTCATTTATCGCAGTTTTTAATGAAACTGTGTTGACAGTTTATAGGGATAATTATTATAACCACTATTCTATTTATGAAAATAGGGATAAGTGCAACAGTCAGGAATATATTTTCAAAGGGAATGGAGAAAAAGTATGGAACAAACATAAATACAACAAATGGAAAAATAAAACCAATGGTGAAGATGTAACTAGGTCTATGAGTAAACAGGACACAAGAGGAACCGGTGAAGGGTGCCCTAACAGCCCCGTTTATGTAGATATTCCATTCAGTGTAATGTTATGCATAGCTGATTTTCTATCCCTTTTGTGTAAAATTGTGATTAAGGAAAATTTGGAAGAAGAAATAAATATGGACGAACTTTTAAGAGAATTTTCAATTCTCATTCAAGGGTATGTTATTTTAAAATTAAAGGCACCTGTCAAAAAATTAAATTTAATTAAAAATAAAATTTTATTTTATGAACCTAAATATCATTTTACATTTAAAGAACGATTACAAGATTTTTATTGTGCTCAGGAAAAACGCCACAATGGAAAAAAATTGATATCCTTAACATTAGATGATGAAAAATTTTTTTACTATTTTCAAAATATTTTCTTGATAAAAGAGTGTATATATATATCATACATTTACAGTCACTACGGTGAAAAGCAAATGGTTTTAGATAGTTTGTTACAAATGTGTAATATGTCTCAGGTTAATAAGGATTACCTGTATGTCATAATATCATCTTTCATTTTATTTTCCATGAAGTGTAAAAACAGTTCCTTTCTTTTGAACAATGTAATGTACAATTTTGGCCCAGTCAACGAGTTAAGCTGTAGGCTAAGAGTTTTTTTGTCTCATGAAGGTCACAAGGATCAGATTATCAGTCGAGATACAAAGCGGGAAGAAATGGTGAATGAGAATAATGATTTGAACCCATGTGATGACACAGCAGACAGTGCTAGTAATAACGGTAGTGGTAGAGATAGCGGCCGTAGAGGTAGTTGCTGTGCCCCTACCGATGGTAGCATTGAGGAAAAAAAACACCAAAACGATGTGAATATTTCAAAAATGCTTATCATCATTGAGGAAGAATTTATAAGAACGAAAATGAGAAACTCTTTCCGAAAGGGCATGAATAGATTGTGGAAAGAAGATAATAACCTATTGAAAGAGTTGTATTTAAAAAAAGACGTTTTCTTTTTAAAAAAATTGGGAATATATTATATGATTAAAAACACGGAACGAAAAACCCAATTGAAGGAACAGTATGACAAGCTGGTTTCCATTTTTTGCAAAAAAGAAGAACAAAACTTATTTATTAAACTGGGGAATATATGTAATAGTGTATATGACACGAATGTTATTACAAAGTGTGCATATACCCAAGATATTATTGATAACTCCTATATGAATATAAACTTTTTTAACAAAAATGCAGAAGATAATGCTTTCACTTCGGGGGAGTATGAAATTTTTACAAAATATTTAAGCGTTCCTTTATGTATGAAAGATGTCTTTACATTTTTCGAATTAAATTTGAATAAGAATATCCTAACGAATAGTTATAACGAACTGTTTAATGAGAAGACCAAAAGGGCTAAGAAGAAAAGGGATGGTTTGAAGGAATCGGAGGACAACCAAAAAAATCAAGACTGTACCAAGAATAGCCAAAATGGGCGTGTTCATGATAACCCTTCTACCTTTTCAGATTTGTCAGATTTATCAGATAGTGATGACAATGATAATGATAACTATAATAATAATAAAGATACAGAAAAAAAATATTTTCAAGAAAAACAAAAAAAAAAAAAAAAAATTCTATTATATGATAACACACTGCTGAATTATTTAAGTAGTAAGTATTATTCCTTAAATAATTATGAGTTGTACTTAGTAAATATAGGCTTTGTCAGTAATCAAGTTAGGAATAGGTTGCTTCAAAACCGTGCCTTATGCAAAGGGGATAAATATGACCATAAAAAAAAAAAGACAAATAATTTGGAGGGTTATTTTCCAGATCAGCTGGCTGATCAGTTTAGTAATCAGTTCACACTGTTGCAAACCTTTTTTAAAAATTTAATTTTCTTTTTCATGACCTTTCCCAAGGGTATAGCGTTAAATAATTCAGACCTTTTCTTCCCCGAGAACAAAAATCATTTCGTACATAAGGTAATAAATTTCTTATCGCACGAGTATGTCAGTAAATATTCTTGAGGGATCGCAACTTTTGGTTATGACAAATTTGTGCTTATATCTGTATATATATGTATGCATGTGCATATGTACATGCATATACACATTTATCTGCATCCAGCTATGTAATACTTTTTTAGTAAAGATATCGCTTGTGTTTATCCAAAAATTTCAGCAGATTTCCGTGAAAAGTTTTCACTTTTCACAAGTAGCGAATAAAAAATATAAGTGACAAACGTGACTGTGTTTTTGTGGTTATATATGCATGTGCTTGGGTTCATTCCGAATGAATGAAGTTTGCAAAGGGAAATTTCAGTATGCATGTTTCTTTTACATTTTTCGTGCTGACGCCTACAGATATGCATAAAATATGTGATCATGCTACTTTTTGCAAGCACCGTGAACGAAATTGTAGGGAAAAAATTACATGAAAATAGCATTTTTATACGTACGTAACTGAGTAAATTTTATACTAGACTCATGACACAAGTTTTTGTAACCCTGTTGTGAGGTTAACACTTTTTCTTTTTCTTCTTTTTTTTTTTTTTTTTTTTTTTGACTCCCTTTCTTTTTACTAGAACAATTATTTGATGGAGCATTTTACAGAAATGTAGAAATCACGTAAAAAAATAAAAATTTTTTTTTTTTTTTTTTCTTATATTTAATTAATTTTTTATACTTTAATTTTGGGAAAACTTCTACATGTTACATGAGGGAGATACATATTATAAGTGTGTTTAATCTTTTTTTTTTTTTTTTTAAAATGCCCTAAGCCCCAAGGGGTTTTCACAATTTAGTCTTTCTGTTGTTGCGGAGAATTCACTGGAGTCGTCACAGCTCGTCTTCAACAATCATTAGTTTATTTTTTTTTTTTCGAAGTAATTGAATAAAGCACCATGATGCTCAGTTGCTAGGTATGCTTATCCATTTTTTGTTGCATATGTATAGTTAATATATGCAAAAGTTACTTTGTACACTTTTTTTTTAATAATTTTTGAATTATTTTTGTGTTTTCTTGCATCCATTTATATGTATACATAAATGTTTATACATAAATGTACATATATAAGTGTACATATATAAATGTATATGTATATATTTCAATTTTTCTTAGTATTTTAATTTTTATTGAATACCTTTTTGTGGTTATTTTTAAATATGTTAATTTTTAAGATATACAATTGCTTACATTTTAAGTGAATAATTTTGTAACCCCCAACTGAAGACCTTCTATAGAACATATCCGTGTTCGTTACCGACGCATCTTAACATATATGTGAGAGCATAAGGAGAAAAAAAAAAAAAAAAATCATCAAACGAAAGTAATGTACTCTTTTTTTTTTTTTTTTTTTTTTTGTTTTTTGTGCACAACACAATTTAATGAGAAGAATTATAATTTGTTTTTAAAAGTATAGAAAAAGAAAAACGTGCTATTGGCGTAGATCGGTCAGCACATTGACATATACCATTTAGTTTTTCATCACAGTTGCATGAGAGGACAGCATCATCCCATTGATACAATCCAATGAATGTGAAAACATGAGAAAACGTGTAATCACAAGTAAAAATATTCATAACATTACACCTGTATGCAAAGATCCGTGAGAGATAACCAGACGGAAATTCTGCACAATGAAAAAACTAAAAAGTGCGTTGAAGGGAATATGCTTCCAACTAAACAGTAACAATGAGAAAGATATTGAAAATGGATTGAAAAACCTGTACATGTTTATAAAGGAGAACGATAATATCTCTGAGGAAGAATACAACACGTGTGTGGATATCATAATAGAAAATAATTATATCGATATAATAATTTTAGTTTTGTCTGCAGAGTCAGAAAAAACGAAGGAAAACAAATTAGTATTCAATCTGAATCTTAGGTATATTGAAATAGTTTTTTATACTTTGCACTGGTTACTTCGGAATAAGTTTGGAAAAATCTACACCAATAAGGACAATAAGAATGAATCGGAATGTGTAGAAGATAAAGTGAAAAGAAAAAGGGCCAAGTTTGAGGAAATACAATTTTATGATTTGCATAAAAAATATAAAAATGCAGGGGTTTTCAAAAATTTAGGTCTTTTCCTTTGTGAAAATATAAACTTTCTCGAAATTGTCATTTTAAAAAACTTTAGTTTTAACAGAATATTCATTTTAAATTCGATTCTTTATTTTATCATTTTCCATGAGAAATTTTATTTTGTTTTTCTTTCCTCTTCTTTGATACTTAATTTGATTGAATTGAAAAAAAATGTTAAAATGGTTTCTGAGCTGAAAAGAAAAAACGAGTTGCATGATTTGGAGCACACTGACTCAGAGTTAGATGATGCTTTTAATTACAATGTGGAAAACAGAAAGATTAATGGATTGTATCAAGACGAACAGGAAGATGAAGAACAAAGTGAAGTATCTTGGGATAACTCCGGTAAAGGCCCAGGAGAACAAATAGAAGAAGATAACGGGAGAGATGCACAAAATGAATGGAAGGTTCTATCTTCAAAGGATAACCATTTCACAGAAGATGAAACTCTTCTTTGTAGTTACAATTTTCAACAGGAAATAATATTTTTGTACAAATATTTAGTACATGAAAATGGATTAGGAGATGTAAGAAACGAGGGTGTAAAAAATTTAGTTATGAGAAATTGTGGCTTTTATGGAGAAATGTTAATAAAAAAGAAAAATGGAAAAACTGAATTTTTTAAAGAGGAAATTATAGATAGGAAAATGGAAAAAAAAAACAAAAAAGGAAGAAACGAAGCTAATATTCAAGAAGTGAATAACAAAGCTGTAAATAAAGAAGATTTTGAAGTAGTGAGATTGTCACTTTTAGTTCTGTGTGCATATATCTACTTAGAAAGCACAAGGGGCGATAAAATACACATGTATTTTCATAGCATCTGTGAAGAGATATTCAAAATATACTGCAGCTGTGGGGAGTCATTAAGGTACTACATTCTTTTATGCTTTTACGAAATTTTGAAGAAAAGTGAGACATATAAAAATATGAATATTTTTCTTAATGTAATAAAATTGGTAGGACTTTTTTTAAATGATGTACAAAGTGACATGGACACAACTTTGCTTTTTTTTATAAACGAGTTGTTAAAGAGTAGGAAATTTAATGAAATTTATAAAATATCCAAGTTTAATTGCAATTGCATCTTCCTATTGAAATGTTCAGGGGAAGATGAGAAAGGGAATAAGGCCATGGCAACACCAAATGATTGGCAAGTAGAAAAGAAAAGAAAAAGAAAATCCTCTTTTTCTTCTTATTTCTCATCCAAGTATTGTTTAATCGTAAACTGTAACAAGAAGGATCGCGTGGTAGAACTTGACAATATGATTAACGAATTGTTTGATGGAGTAACGAAAATGCAAAATAAGAGATATGTGCAAATAAGAGATCTATTATTTGTGTTGAGTATACAGAAAAAAGATATCCGTCGTATGTGTTTAATTTTCTCTATCTTAGAATTATATATATCGACTTGTATTAGAGAAACGAAGCAATATTTAATTATGCACCACATGAAAGAGGAAGAGGTTTTTCGATTAAGAGATAGAAACTATAACGATGAAAAACAAATTAATAACAAAGTGAATAATGCTTTCCTCACCTTTTTAACAGATCTAAAAATAAAATTCTTTATTAACCATTACGTAATTGTAATAAGTGTAGAAAAATATCATCATTTTATTAACCTCTACTATAGCAGTACGAACGTGCATGTTGTAACATGTGATGAAAAACTCTTTTTCTTTCTTATGCTTTTTATCGAATTAAGCAAAATATTTTTTGTACAGAGGACAAATTTGATCCCTGTTATGAAGGAGAAAAAAGAGATGCACAATATCTGTACCCAAGTGAATAATTTGTTTTCATTTCCATTTAGTGACATGTCTATGAACAGAAAAAATGAAATCGTTCTAGAGGATAATATTAGAACAACCAAGGATAATGAAGAAAGAAATGGTGCTGGTTCATGTGGGAAGAAAAGAAAAATAAGCATAGCTTCACAAAGTGATGAAGATACAAGAGAGGGAGAAAAATTAAGAAGGAAAAAAAAAAACAAATTAGAAATAAGAAATAGTATGTTAAAAGATAATTCTTTGAATAGGTCTAGAATTGAAACAAACACAAGGGAAGGTAGAAATAAGTGCAGAATTAAGATACCTAAGATATTTCAGTATAAATATGTTTACCAAAGAATTAACAAGGATGTAGTGAGAAATACAAACTTTTTAAATTTATTTACTGAAGTAATTCATTACAAAATACTTGTAGAATTACACGAAATGATGAAAAAAGATAGGCACAGTGAGGAAATGATAAATGATCAAAGGGTAGTAATGCAAAATATGAAAGAATCCAATAATTATATATATAACATTGATAATAAATTAAATTACAATAAAAAATTAGAAGAAGTTTTATTTTTTTTTATCCCTATGCATAATACGAAATGTATTATATACAATTTTACAAAGAAAGATAAGCATGACTATTACAATTATTTTATTATATCATATTTATATTATACATTTGAAATTTTCAAATGTGTATGCATATTTGTATTATACCTTGATTCATTTATTCCAATACCCAAAGGGGTTAATAAAATTGCTTTGCTGAACAGAATAAGGGAAGATATAACCCTCAGTTTTTATAACATTCTTAGTCCGTACTATTTATTCGACGTTGGATATATAAATAGGTATATAATAAATGAGATTAAGGGGGTGAATATGTCATCAAATGGGTTATTAAATAATTGCGAGAAGGGAATGAATAAGATGGATAATTATACCAGTAACCAAAATGAAAGAAATAATCAGTCACACGTAAGTGTCAATGTTGAACATCCAAACAGAAATGGCAGCGATTCAGATGATTATACCTTCAACATTGGCATGAAGGACCACGAAATTATAAATTCAAGAAATGAACAAATCCAAAAAAACGTTGAATACATCCTACAGTTACACTATTTTGTAAATAATGTCGACATTGATGTGTCTAATTTGTATGTTTACCATTTTGTTATAGTGACAAATTTTATTAACCTTTTTGATGATTATGAATTGAAGAAAAAACTATTAAATGATTTATACAGTCAAAAGAGAATTATCGAAATAAGAGATTTTGAATTATTTGCCAATATTAATGAAAATATATATAAAATATTTCTTAAATCGTTTATCGAAAAATGTTATTTTACCATGGAAAGTTATAATTTGTTAGACAATTTATTTTCAGTTTTGATTTATTACAAGAAAAAGGTCATTTTACAGAATGAAAAGTGCGCAGAAAATGTGTACGAAAATTATTACTATTTTATGGAGACATTTCTGCACAAAATGTTGAAGAAAACGAAATTTTTTGACTCACATTATATGGACGATGTGCTTTTATTTTTAAATTTCCTTAGAGCAATTCCAACCATTCGTGAGTTTGTAATTGTGTTGTCTGTTTTTTGTCGAATTTTTAATTTTTACAAAAGTAGATCTCTGATAGATTTAGGAGAGGGAGTAACCGACAGGGAAGTCATAGCAAATGTTTCAAATAAAGTTGATGAGCTCAACACAAGTAGTGATGAAGAAGAAAACTATCGTAAGAACAAAGTTTCTTCTTTTTTCAGACTATTAGTAGAGTTGTTCTTTACAAGTAATTTGAACTTTGCACTCAAAGGAATACCCATGCTAAAGATCATCAATGATAGCAAGGAAGAAAAACTTACAAAGGGCAATTCCAGCAATGTGTTCGATTATACAGTTAAAGATATCGTGCAGGTGTACATAAACTACTTGGATTACATAACATATGTACTGCTATTGAATCCGTATGTGTATCCATTTTTCGAAGAAAAATTAAAAAAAAAGAGAAGCATAGGAGAATTGTTTTGCGCCTTTTCAAGAAGGAAAGATTTGTTTCCAAATGGGGATAATATGTGTGATAACGAAGGAAGAAATAGCAGCAGTTGTGCTGAGGTTAAAGTGGAAGATAACAGTGGTATCACGAGCCCATGTAATGTGCATAATGAAGAGTCAAAAATGTGTAGGAGTAATATGGTAGAAGGTTCAGAAGCATATTTAGCATATCAAATCGAGAAGAAACTACTAGATGTAGCATTTGAAAATTTTCAAAATTTTCAACAAAGTGTACATATATTCTTAGACGAAATTAAGAAGGTTAAGATGGGTGAGAAGAGTTCACCTACGTATCAAGAAGAAATAGAAATGTTATGTGGTAAGGAATATGAAAAGGATGGTACCAACAGTTCATGTATGAATCAAAGTAACTTCCATTTTTTTTCTCTAAGTGATGATACATCAGAAAGGACTATCCCAAATGGATGCAAAAATGTTTTGCAGATTTATTTGCTATATAATATTACGTATGAATATACTAGCATGGGTAATCTGGAATGTACAATGAAGAAATGCCAAGAAGAGGAACTACTGTTTTGCAACTTGTGCAATATAAGTAGTCTCATATTTAACTACTTCTTCACCATTTATGTATACATAAATAATAAAAGAAATGCAAATATAGACACTTTACTCAATATAGTTTGCAAAATTAATAAACTCTTAGAAGTGTATCTTGCCTTAAGTGGAAATATAAATAGAAATGTTAACACCTTCATAAAGCATACCAGAAAATATGAAGATATAGAGAATATAATTTCAAGTTGTGATAATAGAACGGAAGAAGTAGATAAACAGAACTCCTCAAACAGTTTCTTTCAAAAGTTTAGCATTTTAGGAGGTTCCACGTGTTTACAATTTATTGAAATTTTTAAAAATGAGTTATTTGGAAAGTTAATAATGAAATTGTTGCAAAATGTGGATGAAACAAATAGAGACGTATTTTCCCATTTTATTCATCTAAATTTGTATTATATATATAGAAGTATACATTTTTTTAAGTTGAAAAAAGAGAAGTATAAAAGGTCAGTGGCGGATAGTCTTGTTCGTTTGGCACAAATACTTGCAGAACAAGATACACAACACAAGGAGATGAAAAAAATTAGAGAAAAATGTTGCTTCCTGATTTTGTTTTTGTTACAGAAATTAAAAACGAAGGATTGTTATATAAATAAGTTAATAATAGGAAGGAGGGGCCCTTCACACGACTGTGACAGGAGTAAACATTCAAATGATACAAATGAGGAAAGTGTATCTAATATGAAGAGTCAACATTTTCTTTTAAAACAAGTTACTCTTTTTTTCATCAACCTTATGGCAAGTCAAAGGGATATAACTGGATTTAATAATGGCATAAAAAATGGGTTCAAATGTATGCACAAGCATAACTCCAATTCAGTGCCACTATTAATTAACACAATCATGCAAGATAAATCTGCAGAAATTGAAATGAGCGATATCCTAAATGAGTTGTGTAAATTATATGCTATAAAATGTTATAGAGAGAAAGACTGTTCTCTGGACTGTGCCATAATTGAAAAAATTATTCATCAGGATGTAAGAAGGAATGGAAATAGTACAAGCGGTGACAGTACAACCATTAGTGTAAATAGTAACAATGGTGGTATCTCCAATCAGTACTTCTTAAGGCACATAAGAAATGATAAAATACATTTGCAATGGTGTGAAGATGTCGAGAGAAGAGTGAAAGCGTATATCCTGAACAAGTATATAGACCATTTTGATTTTGACACATCCCAATTGGAAGAAAAATTTAAGAATAGCAAAGAAAATCTCATTTTTATAATTTTTATGTACGTAATGAAAAATAAATACAATCCTCCACTGTTCGAAGAAATTGATAAGAAAGTTTTAGACCGCACAGAATACAAAGAAATATTTAAACTTCCTCGAAAAGAATTTTCTGCTACGTTAGCAGAAAATTATTTAAACAAATTTATGTCTGCATACAAATACGTTCAGAAAAGGGATAATAAAATCAGCTTTCTCTTGTTAAATATGAAGAAGGTGAAGAATAAAAATTGTCTATTTATAGCTTTATCTATTTTATACTTTTTGGGAAATATGCTGAGTAAGAAAGATAGAATGGTGCAACTGTTTAAAGAGTACGATAAAAAAATTGTGAAGAAAATATGCGAGGTGATATTCTTCTACTTTTATGGTTACTTTTATAAAAATGATATATACAAGGACGAGCGTATTTTGAAATGCTACGAAAGAATTACATTTTTTTTCTTTAAGAGTTTTTTTAAAAGTTTGAAAAAAGGCAACGCTGAAATGGGACATGGCAATAGTATTAGTGCACAAGGAGGAGGGACCCAAAACGAATTCAACAAAAATGATACATTCAATCATGAACGATCGACTTCTTACAACCGATGGAGAGATCAAGATACCATGGGAACAAGCAATAACTGTTTCCATCATGGTAATAACAATGGCATAAAACATGAGAACAGTAATAAGGTTCATTCAAATAATAGCAAACTGAAATATAATGAGAATTTTATAAATAACACTTTAAAAAGGAGAAGTGATTATTGTGTTTTGTTGGTTCTACTTCTGCAATTGCTGAATCAGAATATAAGAAAATTTAATCTGGAAAAGATGGTAGACGAACACCTTTTCGAAGTGTTTATTCACATATCCTTTATGTTAAAAGGTGGAAGAAATCATTTCTACTATGAAAATATAATGAAGGAATATATATACATATTCAATGAACACGATTTTAACAGTTTAAAGAAGGAAAAAAAAATGTGCACCGTATTTTATGCATATTTTTTGCTTCTTAAATATGCGAAATTAAGAAATTTGTGCGTGTTAGCACTAGTCGAAACTTTTTTCAAAGATGCCAATATAGAAAAGGTGCTTCTATTTCAAATGGATGTGTTTAGGGTGAAAAGAAGAAAAAAAAATTACACCCCAAATGGTTATACGAATGTAATTGTAAATAAAAATGGGGACAAGAATACCCTTATTTTTATGCTCAAACTGATAAAAATATTTTATGAGGAATGGTATGATATGAGTAAGGACACAGTTCTAAAACAAGTAATAAATTTAAAAACTCTAAATAAGAATATATTCAACGGATTGAAGAAGTTGTACAATTATACACTAGAAAACATAGATATCCACATAAGAAACATTTTCTTTGTTGACATTTCACATTATTTAAAATCTGTTACTATGGAAAGTATACTGGACAACAAGCTAATTGACGAAGTTTTGAAATTTAAAGAATTTAATTTAAATAGCGATGCCAATTATGATTGGTTGAATATGAACACGAGTATGTTAAACAAAACTTGCCTCTACTTTTATATAAATGAAAATGTGCGCAGAAAGTTGGAAAATGGAGAAAACCATTTTTCATTTTATCTTCACATGAACAAGTCAGGAAAAAGTGAGTGTTGTGAAGAAGAAGTTGGTGTGTTGGAGGAAGGAGAAGAAGAACGCAATAGTGAGGACAGTTGTAGCAAAAATAGGGGAGTTTCAAATCGTGCTGCACTTGATAGTTATGATGCCAAATCGGATGTCGGTAAATTGTGCATGCAAAAATGGTCCTCGAGTGATAACGGAACAGAATGGATTAATAAAAAAGGGGACATAGTTTTTAAGTATTGCAGAACACAATTACCCCATTGTCTAATGAGTCAAAATGATTACATTAAAAAAGAAACATTTTTTTTAGCACATAAAAACAAATTAAAGGATAACATATATGATTACCTATTTTTGTTGTGTTTAATTGTCAGCAAATTAATTTTTTGTTTTATATTGATGTCTGAAAAATTGAGAGTTTTTTTTTATCATTTTAGGATTTTGTACACATGTTATCATCATGAAAAAGTATTTTTAAATTTTGATTTGTTAAATATGCAGGAAATTAATAGAAAAATAAAAAGTTACATAAAGAAATATCCTGATATTCATTTTTATATAGATTATGATAACAATGAAAATGAAGAAAGCAAAACATATGGTGGTGGTGGTGATCAGGAACAAAATTCCTATACAGATAACAGGAAGGACAAGAAAAATTGGCTTAACAGTTACAACAATGGGATATCTCAAACTAATGAATATGGAAATAATAATTTCCCTTTTAGAAACTCTAACAAACTTATAACATATGATGAAGAGAAAGAGCATTTTTACCATTTGAAGAAAAATGAAAAAAACAATAGCAGTTGCAAATTTTGCATAAAATTCAAAAAAATTCACAGTGTACATAGATCCACAAGAATTTTAGACTTACTTGACAAGGACGAAAAAACGAATATAAAAAATATGATTTACTACGGAAAGACAATTCGAACGAGTATATTTTTGAAAAGTCCCTATGATGTTAATGCTTACAAGAACTGCAGCACATTTAGAGAAGAGGTGCACGGGGAGCAGGAGAAAGCTGATGGAGGTTTGGAAAATGGCAACATTGATGCGGATAGGTCTCGAAATAACAACAATGTTCATAATGGACGCCTGAATGGGGCTGAAGAACATCGCGAAAAAGGAAGCAACAATCGAAACTACAATAGTGTGAATGTGAAGTATGTGAAAAATGCTAGAATGAAGAAAAATGAACTAGATAACACTATCAACTCAGACTGCATAGTTGATAATAGTGACTTATTATACGGAAGAAAAACAAAAGGATTTCATTTTAAAAAGAATTATAAAAAGTTGTTAAAGAAATATTTTTTGAATGATATTGATTTTTTTGGAAAATGGATAAAAATGTTTTCTATGAATGCATTAAAAATACTAATATTTTGTTTGAGCAGTAACGATATAATAGTAAGGATGATTAGCATAAAAGGGTTATCTATTTTTTATCAGTTGATTGAGAATTCTTTTGTGCTTTATAAAATTAGGAAGAAACTAAATTCATTTAGGAGGTCAAGTACTAGTGCAACAAGCAAGGATGGAGAAAACTTTAGGAAAAAATGGGAAAATAACTTTTCTCACACATATATTAATAGTAACAATACGTACAGTATTAATAATGGCTATAACAATAGTGGTGGTATAAGGAAGAAAGAAAGAACACTAATAATTCCATTCAAAGAATTATTTTATCTATTTTTTTTTATGAAAAAATTAAAATATTCAGTAGACCCCAATTCTTATTACATAAATCCATGTGTATCGTCCTATTCTTTCTTTTTAATAAACGAAATATATAAGAAAAATGAGCTAAATAATACTTTAAGAATTTTGATTAGAAACAAAACATTTTCACTTCACTTTTTCCATGCATATTTGAATAATGAGATTAAAAAAACAAATTTTATGTCCCTAAATATAATCAACTTTTTTATTATTTCGACGCAAGCACTGTTATCAACGAGCTATGATTTGAGGAGGAATGACAAAGATATGGTGGTGCACGCAAATTACACGGATCAGGAGCAGTATCCAGAAGTAGGATTACAACAACATCAGATGGACTATGCAAGATACTCAACGAATTATGGTAACTCGCATAAACAGAATATCTATTATAGGGATGATGATACAACATACCAAGAAGGGGGAGGATACTCGAAACAAAAAAATAACATCATTGACAGAAGCTTTTTCGCTACATCAAACATGAACCATAGAATGATATACGATTTTCAAAATGATGATAATGATGTGGAAGAAATGAATTATCAAAATGAAAAAGATGTACAAAATAAAACAGATAAAGAAGAAACTGTAGATAAACTGCATTATATTCAGATGAATCACAAAAATGCAATAAAGACGATTCTGAACATATTAAATAAAAATAACATTTTTGAAATATATTTAACCATATTTTTTAGTAATCATTTAAACTACAACATGTTGAAAAAATTTTTAATTTTGCTTATCACTTCTAGTAGTGTTCTACCCATTGAGTATATGAAGTTTGATTGCACAGAGAAAAAATCTGATTTTCTTAACGATGAAGGTACTCATAGGAGCAAAAAAGAGGAAGAAGATAATAATAATCATAATTTCAATGATACATTTGCAAATGGCATTGGATATGTTAATGAATATGATGAAGGTCAAGAAATTAGTCGAGGCTACGTATACTATAATGAAAGCCGATTTCATGAGAACACCAATACCCGATACAATAATAGGAACAACACCCAGGAAGGGGGTGAAGATAAGGACACAAAAAGAGATAATATGGACAATTGTGATGTGGCGTATTATGCTAAAAACAACTTTGTTATAAAATTGATAATAAAAAATAACATTTTGTTGTGGATAGATCGGGTGATGCATCAGAAACTGTTCCAAGATGAAATAGCATTCTATTACCCATCCTCCTTTATGTTTCCCTTATTAAATTTTTACGATTTGTCAAATGAAAACGAGAAGCTTTACATGAATATCTTAATTGATGAAATAGAATTCCTAGAAGGAAAGGGAGTCGTCGAACCCATAGCTTTTTCACAAAAAAATAACACCAATTTTAGTTCTAACACGAAGGAACCATATGTGAATAAAGGAATTAACAAAATTGAGAGAAGAGAAGAAGGTAAAGTAAATGGAGACCCCGAAATGAAAGTGGGAAATAAAAAAACGAGGAAGAATAACATGAAAAGCCACGAGACGAAGAAGTGTTATGATATTTATACTTTCTCCAACCAGACATACATAGAAAAAATAATTAAAAATCGCTACATAATGGGATATATTTTTAAAGAGAGCTATGAAAAAACATCAGAAATATTTTTCTATCTAACTATGTTTGTAAGTAACATTGTGTCGAATTTGTTTTACCCAAGTGTAGACTATTCTTATGTATTTACAAATGTACTATTGAGAAATGAAAAAAAAAAAATAATAAAATTTATATTAAATAATGCACACAAAATATTGCATAAAAGAAGGTACACTAATAACGATGATAAATTCGAATTGTGGAATTTTTGGTACAGCAATTTTCATAAATATATTTCTATAAAAATTAGAAGCACTGTACTAATAAGTAAGAAATCCAATAGTTTTAGAAAAACCAATTTAAACATTTTTTCAAATTTGATAAAAATTATGAAAAATTTGAATCGGAGTTTGTATTATATTTTTATAAATTTATTTCATAAGGAATATTTTAGAGTCTTCATTAATTTTAAGAGTAATGAGAAGAAGGAAGAAAGAAAGATCAATATAGATAACACAATTAACTTGAAAAAATATAATAAAAGTAATATGAAGGTATGTTTGACCTTTATTAAGTACATATATCTCATATTTAATAATTTATTCAGCATATGCACAAGTTTGTTCGATCGGGGAATATCAAACAAGGACTTTATGCAAAATTCGATTTCAACCAAAGTGGTTGTAGATGAGTCTTTTGTGCATGCAGATATAAGTTTTATTGTCAACGAGGTGATGATTTTTCTGGAAAATCTTGTACTCCTTTATGTCTACTTTAGTTCTAGCAGTTCACGTGCTTCGCCTGTTTTGCACGGTTTGCACCCCTTGGGTGGTTACAACACAACGGAATATTTACCGCCCAGGAGAAAACATGAAGATAAAACTGTGCCTAGGCATAGAGACCAAAAGTTCATCGAGAAGTACTACTTGCATATACACGAAACTCTACTAAAAAAGACACATAAAAAATCAGCAAATTTTTCAAACTATCATTTTTATCAAAAAATAATTCTGTTAGTTTTACATATGATATATAAAAATTGTTACAAGGAAAGTAAGCACTTTAGTTATATCTTTTTAAATAAATTAATTACACTTTATCATTTTTTGGAAGGCACAAGCAGAGCGAAAATTTATTTATACATTTATGAGCTCTTTAGAATAATCAAGAAAGACCCTCTACAGTCTTTACTCAATCATATTATTTGAAAAAATATGTCCACGTTTTTGCAAAAATCATTTGTTTTTTTGAAATTGTGTATATACATCATTGTGAATTATATGAGCCCATCCTACCAACAGATATCTTGCTTTAAAATTGGTAAAAAAATTTCTTATAATTATTACATTTTTACGTTGCACATTTTTGAAGCTTAACTGCACTATTTTTTTTTTTTTTTCTTCCAAACATTAAACCAACTTCTTTACAATTTAAATAAATAAAAGGATGCAAAATGAAGCATTGTAAACAAAGTTAAAAAAAAAAAGAGGTTTTACTTAAATAAATATATTTTTTTTTTCGCTTTTATATTAGTGGAAAAAAAAACATTTCAGTAGCATCCTCCCATATAACAGACAAGTGAGTAACCATTTCTTCATTTCCTTTTTCTTAACAATTTAGTAGTATAAGGAATGGTAGGATGCAAAATAGAGTAAACTATTAGGTTGGTAATGTTCGTGTTAGTCTAAGCATAATATATATATGTACATATATAACTGCATATATATTTTGAAAAATTAACAGATCGTCTTTATCCCTTTTCCTAATGTGAATAATTCGAAAAATTCTTAAATGTGGCCATGAACACAACCCCCCGAATGCTGTTATAGTGCTCACAAAATATATAGTTTAAAAAGAAAAAAAAAAAAAAAAAAAAAATTAGAAAAATGTTTATTTTGATTACCTTTATAAGGTTAAGAAGTTTTATAGGACAAGTAAAATGATGAAACTTTTTTTCTTTTTTTTTTCGCTTTGAAAAATTTCAAAATAAAAATAAAAAAATTATGTACGTATTATTACACATAATGGATATTCCAGTAGTATTTGTGTGAAGTTATTTTCCTCACCCTACGAACCTCAAAAAATGTGTGTACATTTTTATGCTCATAATTATGAGCGTACACTGGAAATGTTTGCAATATTTAATTATTAACTGTTGAAAATTTTTTAGAGGAATCATATTTTTTCGTTAAGAGTTCATTTGGAATTTCTTCTTGTAGCTTATCATGTTCAATACTGCGTGAATTGAAATGATTTAAATTGTAATTTTCATTTTCTGTGTCTAGTTCGTTTCCGTTCTCTTGTTCATCCAGGGGGGTTTCCTCGACAAGACCAGCAGTTGATGTGGTTATTTGTTCAACATTCGATGTATCTACTTGTTCAACATTCGATGTATCTACTTGTTCAACATTCGATGTATCTACTTGTTCATCATTTGGTGCATCCACTTGTTCATCATTTGGCGCATCTACTTGTTCATCATTTGGCACATCTATTTGTTCATCATTTGGCACATCTACTTGTTCATCATTTGGCACATCTATTTGTTCATCATTTGGCACATCTACTTGTTCATCATTTGGCACATCTACTTGTTCATCATTTGGTACATCTACTTGTTCATCATTTGGCATATCTAATTGTTCATCATTTGGCATATCTAATTGTTCATCATTTGGTACATCTAATTGTTCATCATTTGGCATATCTAATTGTTCATCATTTGGCATATCTAATTGTTCATCATTTGGCATATTTATTTGTTCCTCATTTGGCACATTGCTGTGCTCACCATTTGGGTCACTGGCGTCCTCCCCTTTTTCGTTATGTAGACTTCCCGCTCTCATTTTATTCTCTAAGATATCACCTTCGTTTAACCCATTTGGTATGTCATTACCACCCTGTCCTTTTTCATGTACCAAATTATCATTTCGTTGTGCTTCATTTGTTAATTCAGGTCCCTTTGTTTCTACTTCATCCAATATATTTTCCTCTTCCTTTTCGTGTGATAAATTGTTACACTTTTGGTTATCAACCTGTAATGTAAAATTTTCATTTTCTACTTCTGAAAGGACCGCACCCACTTCTCTATTCGTCAAAGTGTGTTCACGAATTTTGTTATCCCCTAATTCATCATCAGCCTTTTTGAGTTCATCTTGTTCTTTCTTTTCGTGTGTATCATTTGGTACTACTTCCATTTCGTTGATTCCTGAAATTTTATCATGCTCTACTGTGTACTCTTTTTGCGTTCCATCTCCTTCCATGAGTGCTTCATCTTTGGGTGGTGTCACACATAGATCACCGTCATTATTACTATAATTTACTGGTTTGTTGTCATTTACCGGTTCGCTATCATTTACAAGTTCGTTGTCATTTACAGGTTGGCTGTCATTTACAGGTTCGTTGTCATGTAAAGAAGCCCCGTTGTCTGGAGGGGATACTACTTCAGATATAGGAAGTTCATTCTTGGGCGTGAGACAATTTGAAGAGATAAATTGGATATTTTCGTTCGAGACATCTGTTGAAAGCGTGGATGAACTTGAGATAAGTGTAGTAAAATTTGGATTTTCAATAATAAAATTTTTATAATTAAATGTGGGTGAAGGAAGATAAAAGTTAAGAGCATAAATATATTTTTCAATAAAAATTAAAAAGTCGTTTAAATGATTTTCATCTACTAGTATCTGTTCATTGTATTTATGAATATAATTAAAATGAAAATTTTTTTCTTTATTTATAATTTGAGTCCTTAAATTTAATTTGTTATTATTTTCAAATTTTTTAATAAATTCGTATAAGCATTTTAAATACATTACACAATCATTGAAACATTTTTTTTTTAATTTGCATGTTTCTTGATTATTCAGTAGGGATGTCTTAATGTGATTCATTTTGTCATTCATTTTGTTTGTGATTTCTTTTTTTAAATTAACAATTTCATCATTTTGGGTATTTATATTTTTAAATTTCTCTTTCATTTTTTTGTTTAATTTTGTTAAAATGTTTGTTTCATAATTTAATAAATTAATTCTGGAAATAAGACTGTAATTCTTTTCTTTCGAAGCATTTAAATTTATTATTATGTGATCAAAATCTCCCTTTTTCGATGTTAATATATTTATAGAATTAATAGCATTGTTCATATTTTCAATATTTTCTTCTAGCTTCTTAATATTTTGCTTTTGATATTCATTAATGAATAAAATACGTAAGCACAGTTTTTTTAGGACAAATATTTTTGAGTTTAATTTTTTTTTCTTTTCATCTTCGTAGTCTTCTACTATGGGGTAGTTATCATCTGTGGATATTCTTTCATTTGAATGTTTATTGTTAACATTATTTGTAGCAACAGCGTTTTTTTCATTCTTTCTCCCGAATTCTTCTTCACACTCTTCCATCGTTTTATTATTTTTCCTTTCCTTGCAGTTATACTTTAGCTTGATTAATTCGTGTATTTTTTGCTCAGAAGATAATATTTTTTGCTCCTTTAATTTTTGTTGTAAAGTTTTGAAGTCTTCTCTGTGTTTTTTTTCCAAAGTGTCTTTTTCTTTATTGAGTTCGCTTAACTCGAGTTTAAGTTTTTCATTTTGTGCATTCTGTTCCTTTTCTTGATCTATTAAGCTACTGATGCTTTTTTTTAAAGTATTATATTCATTAACCAGAATTTTCATATTATTGTTGTATATGATTCTCTCATTTCTTTCATCATCTATACAACTTTTCAAAATGTTTATATCATTTGTGATATTGTTAATATATTCTTCAACATTATTTATATTGTTCTGCAACTTGGTTGTGATTTTTTTGTAATAATCAGGAGTGTTCTGTTTTTTTTTTTCAGATTGATCAATTAATTTTTTTTTTTCAAATTCCTGCTTAATTATCTTATGATGTAGATTAATTTTTTTTATTTTACTATTTTCTTCATATATTTTACGAGATATTTTTTCGATTTCATGTTCCTTTTCTTCTAAGTATTTAAAATCATCTTCTTTATCCATCGCTTCCACTTTAGGAATATTTTCTGAATTTTTGCAGTTCATACCATTCCTTGGACTTTTTAATTTTTCGTTCAAATTAGTGTCTTTTTTTTTTTTCTTTAACATTTTGGTTTCTTTTTTTTATTTTATAAAATAAATTAAGAAAATTTGCACAAAGGAGTACGCCTGTGTGTGCGTGATGTGTATATTCTACGGCTCATCTACACTTGTGTGCAGATCCTTCGTTTGGGTGTATATTCCTCTCAATATATTCTGATGTTATTGGGGAATATAAAAGGGTACATATATTCCATTGTGTGTGTGTACATTTCCTTGTCAAGGGGGTTTATTAACATGGGACTGAAAAGGACAACTGACAAATGGATGCGAACACGAGGGCGTAGACACGTGTACCTTATCTATAAGGATGCCCAATAGGTATATATAATACATATTCTGTGCTTTCTTACCCAATTAACTACATTTCCCTGAGGAGGAAAAATTTCATTTTAGGGAAATAATTTCTCACCCTTATTTCTTTTTCTGTGGAAGAATAAGATAAGCCTGATCAAACGAATTAGAGTTTTAATATATTTTTTTTTTTTAAATGTACAAAAATATTAAAAAAAGAAAAAAAAAAAAAGAAAAAAAGGACTATTCATTGCGTGCCTAAACGCACAGGTATCTTGTACATCTATGTTCTTGAATATATTTGTATCGATGCGCTTTCCATTTTTATTAATTTCAAATAATAAAGACAGCCTTTTCATATTGCACACTGATTAAAGAAAAAAAAAAAAAAAAAAAAAAATGAGAAAACAAAATAAAAAGAATTAATTGAATCTATTTTGAATAAAGAGGTATATGTTCACACAGTAGGTATATATATTTTTTTTTTTTTTTTTTTTTTTTTCTCCCTCTCCTTTGTCTAACTTTTTTTTCATGAGGCGAGTAAAAGGCAAAATTTCCACTTTTCCTCATTATGAGATACTAGAAAAATGGGAAAAATGAAAAGGGGATGAAAATTAATTTCATTTATATTAACATGAGAATAGTTGGAAAGTTCGGGAAACCCGTTTTTGTATTTATTTCCTGCAAATTATGAACAAAGCAAATCTTTTACCAATTAAAAATACACACTAAGGTGAATATAAACAGTTATTATAAGGAGAGATGTGTTATGGGCATTTTGAACAATTATAGGGAATAAAATGTGTACTCTTAAGTCATTTTTTTTTGTTCCACATTACACTAAATATATACAAAACTTATTACCTTTTTTTCAAAATATTATTATGTAAATATTTGCTAACATTTTAGCATTATTTTTAATTTTAAAAACACGGGACCGTTGTAAGGACAAAAGGGGGTGCATAATTTGTTATGTCTAAAAAATGGAACACTTTTTTTTTTTTTTTTTTACTTATTCCAATCCTTAACTGACACATATAAATGGGGTGAAAAAAAGCCCCAATACATGGATTCATATTGTTTTATTATTTTTTAGCCTTTGTGGAGGATCCCCTAGGAATGTGTGTTTTTTTGTTACTAAGATAATAAATGAGGAAATTTTTGCAATAATTAAGGTCCACGATGCTATTATGGGGATGTAGTAACGTGGTGCGAAACACTGTACATCTTTATTCCTTTGCAATGTTAAGATGTACACTGTCAATGTGAAACTGAACAACCCTTCAATCCCCTATTGGCAATCCTCATTAGGAAAAAATTTTAACATTCTAAGCCTTTGGAAAAGCTGAAATTAACAATTTTTGGCCCTTAAAATGTGTGAAGTTTTCATAAAATTTTACCCTTTTTATATCCCCTCATCCTCCATTTTATTATGTAATTGTTTTAAATTTAAAAATGTTTGTTCATTACATTTTTTTTAAATGTATTTATGGAATAAATTATAATTTCTGTTTACACATGTAAAAGGATGAACTATTTTTTATGTGACTAGAATAGAAAAACTTTCAAATTTAAGCAAAACATAATTTGTTCTACAATGAGAAAGAAGCTGAGTTTTAAAAAAAATATAAATGGTCCCTTCTCTTTTTGTGTAGGTTTTTGAACATTATACAAGGATAATTTACTTATATTTGTATAATTAATAATAATTAAAAGTTCGAAACACGTTATGATATATTTGTGCGTTTTTTATTTTTGCCTTTCCCCCCCCAAAGGAACATTTCTTTCAAGAGTATTACTGCAATAGTAGTTGTAGAGATAATGTGCGGCAGCGGTTTGGTAAAAGAATAAATAAGATTTATTCACAGTTTGGTTATACTCATATATTTAAGCAAATGTATATATTTATCTGCCAATAGAAATAAAATAAATTTATGGTTGTGAGGCATATATCTTTTAGCTATGATTTTACCGTGGAACGGATTGACGAAAATTTTCAGAATTTTCACAATGCATATTGTTTATTCAAATGGTTTGTATGGGGTATTTTTTGTGGACGGTACAATATATATTTATTGTATTACCATGCGTTAAAAAAATTGTGACTATATAATTTCGAGTTATATGTCAATGATAATATCTAACTCTCTTTTTTTTCTTTTTTTCTTTTTTTTTTTTTTTTTTTTTTTTTTTTCACCTTCTAACTTTTTCTTTTTTTTTTTTTTTTTTAAAAATCCTTTTTAAAAATTTTTTTTTTTTTTTTTTTTTTTTTTTTTTTTTTTTTTTTTTTTTTTCACCTGCTAACGTTTGCTATTTTATTATTCATTTGAAAAATCCTTTTTAAAAATTATTTATTTATTTTATTTTATTTTTTTTTTGTGATCACGCTTGTTCATTAATCATTCTTAGACGCTGTTCAAAAGGAGTATATATTTTGCGGTAATACAAGGGCTTGATGTTGTCCCACCCTGCTGTTGCCATTTTACCTTTTTTATTTGTGGCATTTAATGAGTCATTCAAAAGAAGTGATTTATATATACAACAAATGTAACGAAGATTTTACTTAAAAATTAAAAAAAAAAAAAAAAAAAAGAAGCCTATTTAACCTATCATTCAAAAATGGCTTCTTTGGGCAACTACAGAACATATTTACGCACCACAGGTATAAGGAAGGCGCAAATCATTCAGGGTTACATGTCTGTTATATATATATATATATATATATATATATATGTATATTATTATATATATGTATCCGATATCTAGCTATATGTACACCGACGTGGGTTATGAAATTATATGCCTGTAGCACATATCTGCTTTTTAAAAGGAATAAAAATTGAAGCCTTTTTTTTAATTATATCAAAAGAAAGAAAGCGAACTTAAAACATTTCCGAAATAATAACTACCATTTTTATATGAACAAAATATTTAGAAAACAATAAAAAAAAAAAAAAGAATAGAAAAATAAAGAATAAACAAATAAAAAGCCATAACAATTTAATTAAAATAATTGAACAATCCTAACTTTTTGGGTCCTCTTTTTTTTATGTAAAACTTATATAGGAAGTTTCGATTTTTTTTTTTTTTTTTTTTTTTCCTTTGCGAAATTTTAATTTTATTAGGGAGAAGCAGTGTATTTATATATACAAGTGTATATATAAACATTTATATAAACCTTATACACGTATAAACAAATAAAACGTATAAACGAATTAGTGTTAACGTAAAGTAACTTTCTCGACGTTGTAAGAAGAGAGGTATTCGACGACATTAATATTTATTTTTGATAAAAATGGATTACAAGCTGAAGTTGATCCTTTTGGCTGCTCTTCTGAACACGACAAGCAGAATCGACGTAAAGTGCCTTGAAGATAAAAGTATTAAAAACAACCACACGACCCCATATATAAATAATTTTGACTTAAGTACATTTGAAAAAAAAGGTGACAATCAAGGATGCACAGGTGAAGTCGAGCAGAGATTAATAAATGGAGAAAAGTTCTTAACTTCAGAGAATAATAATGAAAAAGATGAGAAATTAGGAAACACAGAAAATATTAAAGATTTTATTAGCTTGAAAACAAATCAGTTGAAAGATTATATAACTCATTTTTTCAAATCGAATAGCGCTAGTTCCAATGATTTTTACAAAATACTTTTTGATTGTGCAAAGGCGTCTTCAGCAAAACCTTATTTAGTAGATATATGTGTAAATAAATATTTAAAAAAACACAATATTGAATTTTCTCAAACTTGTTTAAGTTGCTTTTCTTCATTCATTGGATGTACTTACATTTCGTGCAATAAAGAATGTGCAAAGGATCAGTGCACTGAAGACTGTAAGAAGTGCAGCCAGAAACATTGCTTCAAAAGTTTATTAAATTGTACCAAATTGGATTCTTTACCAGATCCCTGCAAATAAATTTGATCTCAGATGGTTTTTAACGCATATAACACTGCTTGGCTTCCAAGTTCATTCTCATTTTTATTAAGAAAAAAAACATGTACACCAATTCGAACGCACATGTACAATACAACTTATGCGAAAGTGTGAGTACATGCATGTGTTGAAAACACATAGTAGTGATAATATCACTCATCATCTTTGTGTTTTTAAAATATTCATTGTGCATATATATACATATGCTTTGGTATGTCTTGTTTATTAGATTTTATCATGTTATTTTTCGTTTCTCATTACAAAATTTTTTTTTTTTTTAAGTTAATTTTTATTGTAATTTTTTAGGTCAAACATTCAAACTATTTAAAAAAATAAAATAAAAAAATTGATTTTAAAGTTTTTATCACTATGTACAAATGGACACAATAAGGAAACGAAAAAAAAAAGAAGAAAAAAAAAAAAAAAACAAAAAAAAAACCCCATACCATGTATATATTGAGTATGTTTTCACAATAAATCAATGCTCATAATTGTGATGGATTAAAAAAGGAAGAAAAAAAACAAAAACTACATGAATAATTTTTTTTTCTAAAAACAAATTATTCACAATTATACAACAGGGGAAAATTACAAACTAACGCTGCATTAATAATTGCATAAAAATTTATTTTTAATAAAAACAGAAAAAAAAAAAAAAAAAAGTTTGGGAAGAGTATAAATCGTCTTTTTAGGTACCGTTATGCAAACGGCATACCGATTTTATCCAGAGCCTCTTCCATCAAATGAACAAGTGTTTCTTCAGTGTCTTCCCTTTCAAGCCTCTCCTTTGAAAATGAATAAATAAATCAATGACGATTGGGTGGTAGAATAAGTAGTTCTATTTGTTTGTACACATGCTAACATTAAATATACGTTGAGTTGTTCCCTCAGCATGTAGTTATTTTATTAACATTTGTATACCTTGTCAATTTCTTTTTTTATTTGAGAAAAGTACTGCTCAATGAGGGACACAAGGTTTTCTGAGTAGTTTTCCCTACAAAAAGAAAATTTTGCACAAATGAAAAAAAAAAAAAGAAAAGAAGGTATATACATTTTTGAGTTCAGGGGGGTCGTTAAAAGTACAAAACAAAAATGGTATATATACTATAATTAATATACACTCTTCTGTGACTTTGTTAAAATATTCGATATTTACCTTGTGATTTTCTCATTTTTAATTATTTTAACAATTTCGTTCACTTTTTCATCTACATCCCTTAGAATAACTTTTTCTGTTTTGATCCTTTCGTTTATTTCATTTTGAACGGTCGACTTGAGGTTCATAATTTCGTTCTTGGGGTAAATGAAAATTAGAATTATATGTGAAGGTCCGGTTCATGAATAGTATATTGGAAAGTGTGTGCATTAATGAATTTACATGGACATAGGAATAATTAACATAAGAGAAGAGTAATGAGAAGGTCCTACATCGTAAAATCTTCTTAGTGATTCTTCCTTTTCTTCCAAGAGTCCATATTCTTCCGTTATTTCTTCTCTAAAGGGTACAATGAAAAGGGCGGTGAGGTCATAATGTATTCATATAACAACACAAGTGTATGTATACATGTACGCATACTTATGTGCACATGCATGTGTATGAATTTGATGCATTACTTTAATAAGCTAGCCTTATTCTGAAAATCTTTTATTAATTTAATCTTGAGTTTATTCCATTCTTCCTTTTCTTTGTTTATAAAATCTTCAGCTCTAATGGGTCAAGAGGGACATATGAAAGGAAAACGCGAAGCGCTAATATATGTATGCGTGAATAATATGCTGGTATTCACATCTACAAATTGTCATATTAACAGGCACATAGGAGGTGTTGGGGGTATCTATCACCTTCACACACATTCCCACTGCTATGTGGTTGCTTACTTATTCTCAAGGATTTCTAATTTTTTCCTGTGGCCATTTTTAAACTCTTCCAATTCAGTCTTATAATTAATAACATCTATTCTGATGTCATTCAGCTGACATGCGTATATATATATATATATGTATTGTGAATGAAAAAAAAAAAAATGGTGAAATAAAGTGAATAGGTTTATTATGAGTGCACAACTGTTCATGAGTGCTTATGTGCGCTATGTTATAGAAAGAATGAGAGCGGTGTATGGTATAAGGAGAAGAAAAAAAAAAAAAATTATCTATTTTGTTTTGTCATTCTGATGGGTACATCTTCATCAGTTATGGTAAATTTTATTCTAAGACTATATATGTTATCCTTACCTTTTCATTCAATTTTTCGAAGGTCCGATTTGAGTTTTCATTCATTTCTACCAGTTTCTCCTCCAATAGGTTGATCTTTTCGTTTAATTTCTTAAAAAATTGTTTAAAATGAAAGTGGCTTAATTAACATGGGTGTTACATGAAGCAGGGTTCACATCATAAATATTAAAAGAGGGCATTTGTAGCGTTGTTTTATTATATATTAAACATAATATAGTTTCATTTTATTATTTTATTTTTTCTATTTAGATTACATCAATCTTTTCATTTTTCTGCAATTCGATGCTGAAATGTAGTCCGCTCAGTCTCTTTTCAAGCCTCTGCAGTCTCTCCTGAGAGGGAAAATGAAAAAGTGTTTATCATGAAATTTGAGATTTTGCAATAGTATGGGGTTATCGATTGAGGCATGTGTGTGTGAAGGGAAGTTGGTTGTAATGGTAAATCCATTAGCAGACACGTTTGCATGTTTATCCATGTGATTATTATTTTTTTTTGTATCATACACTGTTGTGTTTATTTTGGCTTAGGGAAAATTGTTTACTGTAAACTGCACTTTTACTTAAATCCTCTATAGGGGAAGAAGAGTGTAGTATTAGTAGCATTGTATAGTGTCAGTGTGCACTAATGCGTATGGCATATGTGCACTTTTATATTTGTATGTATATGAAGCACAATTCCCCGCGGAACTAAAGCGAAATTGCATGCTTTAACATTTTTGACATTTACCCATTTTAAAATATTTCATATGAAAGGAAATGACATGACATAATGGAGAAGTTCGTTTAATTGTACTCTTTTTGTATATATATTTATATATATGCACACATATAGACAATTAGGTAAAATGAATAATTGGACTAAGAGAGGAGTGGAAATACTCGTTCAGTCCACTTAATTTTTTTCATAAATTAGGACAATTTTTTTTTTTGTTTAATTATTTTTTTTGGTGGGTCAATGCATTTCCTCGTAGTCAACTTCGTTTAAGAATTACTTCTTTAAAAATGCTATTTGGAAAGCTATATTAAATATATGAAGGATGTAAAGATAAAAAAGGAAAAACAGACAAAAAATCCCGAAGTGAGGCAAATGTCACCGTAAGTAGGAAGCAAAAGAAATCAATACTTTTTTTTTTTTTTTAACGCCTCTCAGTGAGTTATTTGACGCACGAAAATAAATTCCTTCCTTGTAATACGTAAAATGAAGATGGATGGGAATATATTCAGAATTTTCCATTTTAACTTTATGTCTCAGTGATTTGTGAAAAAATCTCATAAAGAAGGTACGTAAAATTTGTGTTATTATATAATATATCCTTGTATTATATTTTTTACTTCTCTTTCTTGTGTTTTATTTTACCATTTTTACCAAAGATGTGTGTGTGTGCGACCTTTTTCGAAATATGTTAGTTGCACGTTTTACAAGTACGAAATGTGTGTACGCAAGGTTATAATATATTTGAACAAGTATATGAATATATAATTATTCCTCTTGGATGTTCATTCAACGTTTTCCCAATCCAATATGTAAACACATTTTGTAAGCTTTGATCAATACTTTTCCTCACAAGAAAGGAAACTTTAAGCACTGAGTTTACTATTTTTCTAAACTTTCTTGTATTTTGATTCTTTCTCCTTTAGCATTACAAATAAAAGAAGGATAATACTTAATTTGTGAATATAATGGAATAGTTTATTGTTCCAGATAAAAAATAAATTGGGTGGGGGAGAAAAATAAAAGAAAAAAAGGGAAAAAAAAGTTGCTATATTTGGATGCATAATTTACGGCTAAGTGTACCTTGCAGCATTCTGGATTTGCATAAGGTATGCTACATTTGGGGGAAAAAAAAGAAGCCGTATTTTTATAAGAATAGTATGTAGTACAGGATTTATAAAAAGAAGAAAAATTTACTATTGAGTTGTATTCTATACACGTTACAGCAAAAAAAAAAAAAAAAAATAAAATAAAATAAAAAAAGAATAAATAAGTGATAGATAGAAGAATACATGATAAAAAAATAAAACAAAATAAAGGAAAAAAGAGAAAACTGGATAGGTATCTACATGTAAACGTTAATATGTTAAGGCAATATGTGTAAATTAATAGATATGGGTTTTTATGCCATGCAAGCATAATATGAATGAAGTGGTTAAAAGATATGGATTTTATGGTACATTTATTTCCCACTATGAATGTGTTGTGTATATATATATATATTTACGATACGTCACTAAGGTGCCTATTTTAATTTTGTGTCTAATTTCCGATTGGCATTTAAATGCAATCTGTTTAAGATGGGATGAGTGGATATGCACCATATGTACATGTTTAATTCTTGCATACATGTATTAGAACAAAGTAGCAATAATAACTTTTGAGGGGGGCAATTTTCATCATGCTGAATGAATTTAATTATGTATGTACATATGAAAAAAAAAAAAAAAAAAATAAAAAAATGGTAAAAAATAGAAGAAATAAAAAAAATAGAAAAAATATCTTTTTTTTTTTTTTTTTTTTTTCCTTTTAATTTCAAAGACAGAACATAACAATACAAGTTAAAAGTGGGATTTTTAAATTATAGCACGGTACGTGTGTGATGTGTTAAATTCATGCGATCGAGATAGGCATAAACGCACCGTGAACACATTTACGTTAAAAAAAAAAAGAAAAGTTAAGATATGAAAAAAAAGGAGAAATTAATTTTCAGCTTCTTCCATTCGCAGCACCCATTTGTAAAATGACGCACAATATGTTCAAATATGCGAGCGTTTTATTTTATGGGTTAAGAGGTTGTTCGAAAAATAAGATGAAGATAGGACGCTTTTTCCTATTATGATGGTTAGATAGATTGTGCAGCAGTTGAACTTGTCTCCATACATACATATATATATATATATATATATATATATATAAGAACCATGTCCATATATATATACCTTATAATTTCATATGGAAGGGGGGAGTACAAAGTAGCATAATTTTTATTATTTATTCATATGTAAGAATTTTCATAATAAATCTTCCCAATTCTCGACAATCTCTTCGACCTGATCTACTTCCTCTTTGGTGTCATTCAATCCTGCTGTGAAAGTGTTATCTTCATTCTGGTTGTAAATTTGTGGTTCATTGTAGTCGTTCGAAAAGCCGGTGTCATTTCCATATAAATAATAATCATCTGAGATGTTAATGCTTTTCAAATTAACAGCTTTGTTTATTTTATTCAATTTATCTAATAGGGAATAATCAGCATTTTCTAAATGTTCATTCAGTTTGGTTATATGTACAACAGCCCTTTTAGATGATATCCAATTAAGCCAGGGTAACCAGTTTTCGGGATCATTTGCTAATGTAAATTGATCTCCAAATAGAATTACGCCTCTTTTTGCTCTTGTTAACATAACATTTAATCTTCGTGCATCTTTTAAGAACCCTAATTCATTATTTGCATTTGATCTGACTGCTGAAAAAAGAATTAAATCCTTTTCCTTTCCTTGGAACCCATCAATGGAATCAATTTCTATTCTACAAGCTGCTTCATAAGGAAATGCATCTTGAACAGCTTTTTTTAATTTCACTTTCTGAGCATCGTATGCTGTTAAAATACCTATTTCATCAACGGATACACAACCTTCATTTACAATAGACTTTAACACTGATATTAAGGGTTCAATTTCGTATAAATTAAATTTCGAAGTACCATATGCATTTTCAAATTTACTTCCTTGTTTTCCTAGAGATACATCTATAAATGCTAATCGGCATTTTGGGTTTGGCCACAAGAATCCTTTAATAATCGGCCTATTTTCCTCTGTCACATTTTCGGTTTTTAATTTATTATCATAAAAATGGATATTTGGAAATGTGCATATACTTAGATGCATACGTCTTTGTGTTGTTAACAAATGAACAGGTGCAATTTTGGCCATAACAAATCGTTCCAAAAGAGACTTATCTAATCCTAATTTTGTAGCATCTGATGAGATAATAGTTGGTGGTAACTGCTTATGATCTCCTATTAGAACTAAATTATTACAGTAATGACCTAGAGGAATCAAATTAGATGGTTCAATAGATTGTGCACATTCGTCAATAATAACTCTTTCAAATTTTTCGTTATCAAAAATTTCATGACCTGAACCAACGCATGTAGCTATAACGACATTATATTTTTTCACAGCTTCAAGGAATAGAAGTGCTTTCATAACTTTGGCTTCTTTTTGTAAATTATTCTTCCTCAATTTTAGTAGATCTTTATATCGATGAAAATCCATAATAGCTTCTTCATGAAAATCGCTATCACTGCCTGCTCCTACTCTGACAGCTTGAATATTTCTTTTTTTTAATCCTTCCACTAAATTATTTGCTGCAACGTTGGAATCTGCAACAGCTAATATCTTTTTGTTACTATTCTGTCTATGCCAACTGTCGATTATGGCACATGCAACGTGTGTTTTTCCTGTACCTGGAGGTCCTTGCACTAGAGTTAATCTTCTGGTGAGTGCACTTAAGCATGCTAATTTTTGAGAATCGTTTAGGGGTAAATTGGTTGGTAAATTAATTGATTCAATTAGATACTTATCAATGTCATCTGTATGTGTCTTTCCTATTTGTCTATTTAATGCATCGTTTAATAAATCTTCATATGGATTCTTCGCCTGACCACTGTACTGGCTTAGTAGATCTTCTTGTGCGTTATTTTTCATTGATTCATTGTTATGAAAATCCATCTTAATTTTTTCATATTCAGCGATTTCGTTATTAAGTTTTCCTGTTTGAGCAATATGTTTTGAATACTTATTATAAGAGTGTAATATTAAGAAACGAATTTCTGGTGTAAATACATACGGGGATTGATATGTGGTGGGAATGGAACTTATAAAAGTTATAGATCTCAAGGCTTGTAGCATTCTTTCATGTGTTACTATATTCAATAGTAGAAATAATTTATATTTACTATATTTTACATTTGCTTTTCTCGTATTTTCCGCTGAGAAAATTCTCACGTTAATATTATAAATCGTATTGTCACTCTTTGTGCTTGTTATGGTACCAATAAGACTGCTTGCCCATGCATCTTCATCTGTAAGAAGTAAATCACATGGTTTTAACAGAACAATATCGTCTTCTCTCATTTGTGTTGATTTCATCCATTCCTTTTCTTCCAATGTTAATGTACAAGTAAAAGACAAAATGGGCATAGTTGCACTTTTAACTTTTAACAATAATGATTTATTTTCATGTAGATATTCAAAATCTTTTTTTTCTTGAATACTTTGTGATAAATTCGCTTGTAATTCTAAGGCTAACATAATTCTATATTTTTTATAATAATCATGTGCACATTTCGATATAAAAATTGAGTAATCTAGCTCCACTTCTTTCAAGAGGGATATACAATGGAAGCACAATTTGTCATTAAGAACAATAACACATTCATCTATTAACTTTTCCCACAAATCTATGGATACCAATTTGTGTACATAATTGCTGTTTTCACTTACGTTCTTAATGTATGGATGGCAAAAGAATAAACTGCTTGAGCTATCTACGTAGTTTTCTCCATCAGGATTGATATTGTATAAGCAATTGTTTGTTCCATTATTATTCAATCTATTAGATCGGTGTAAATTATTTGGATCCATTCTACTGTTGCTGACATTAGTATTACCACCAACCCCTCCTCCTCCATTAAGCCCATTTATATTATTACTTTCGTTTTTTATTTTATCTGCCTCTATTCTTCCCTCTTTACTCACTTCCACCACTGTTGTTAGAAGTCTGTTTATGTGATCATAATTTCCATCTATTAGCAACTCTCTGAGTAGATAAATTAAAAAAATAGACCAAGCATTACTACTATATTGCATAATGAATTGAATAGCTAAATTTAAAGCTTTGGTTACATCCTTTTGAATTAGATCCCTTATATATTGAGCATTTTTTCTATCCGTTGCAGATATGTATTCTATTAAATTATTTTTCACTAGCATATCGTAAGCAGCTTCACATTTTGCCAAATTTTTTGTCGTTCCATAACCAACACTTTTTGCTTTACAAGCTATTTTTCCATTTTTCCAATCCCATTCCAGGGTACATTTGAACAAATTATAAACTTGTTCGAAATTTTCCGTTTGATGTACTTTATATCTTGAAGCAATATTATTTCTCAGCATTTGTATGCTACCAGAATCTTGTTTTGTTAAATGATATGCAATAAGTTCTGATGGGTCTGATATCACTGGTGCTGCAGTTACCATTGATGGATTATTTATTAATCCGTTCATGTTAGGCCCTACACCTATTCCAAAATTTTTATCATTCAAAATGGGCATATTGATATTGTTAACATTTTGATAGTTCATGAGGTTCATGTTGGGGTTATTATTTGCATTAAGAGCACCAGCATTTGCTAATTCCATGTTATTATTTCCACTTCTGACAAAAGGGTTAACATTACCAACAACAACCCCTTGTACTGAATGCATCATTGGATTGTTAGCACATGGTGTTCGTAGGATACCATCATTCGGGTTAAAATATGTGTTGTAGTTATTCAAACCTTGTATATTGTAATCCTTATTAGCCGTGATACCACATTTATATAAAGATGTAACATCCATCATGTTTCTGTTTGGAATCATTTGTCCTTTTCCATATTCATACTTAACACCAATTTTATTCGAACCATGATCATCGTATCCTTTGTGGCTGTTATTCATCATTTTGTCGAAGAGGCTGTTATCCATGCTTTTCATAGGACCTGAAACTCCATGGTGATTGAGCATTTTAGTTCCCTCCATTTCTTTGATTAGCTGATCCTTAATGTCATACAATAGCATGTATAGTTTATGCGTAGCAATAATTTCAGAAATTTTTTCATTCACGTGTACACCTGATGCTTGATAAATTTTATTGTTAACTTTCCATTCTATGGTAGTACAATACATATTGTTATTGTTTAATTTGCTTTCCATATTTTTATGTTCCACTTTCAGCATAACATTTAAGTTATTTATCATCCATTTAGTCATTTGATCTAATTCTAAAAGAGATATATTTTTTAATTTTAATAATATTTTTTTTACGCATACTTTTTTGCTTAATTTCTTTGTGCTATGTGTACCAGTAACTGTAATTTTTTCATCATTTGCAAAGGACCATATTATTGAATACTGTACTTTGTCATTTTCGTTTACAAATTCTTCTCTAGATTCAGCTTTTAAGTAATTCTTTCTTATATAAAAAAGGGTTAATATATTCTCATCCTTATACATGTAGTTTAAAAATTCGTTAAAATCGTAGAACAAAAATGCATCTGATTCCATGTTCAGATAGGAGGATTGGCTATTCGTGTTGCAGCTTTGTTTATTTTGATTATTTCCACAATATTGATCTTCCATTGCGTTGGAGACGGTGCTGATATTGTTTGTGTTTGTAACCGTGCTCATGTTGCTCATACTGTTTATGTTGTTCAGGTTGGCAATGGTGCTCATACTATTCATGTTGTTCATACTGTTTTTCGTGTTGTTCATGCTGCTGTTCGTGTTGTTCATACTGCTGTTCGTGTTGTTCATACTGCTGTTCGTGTTGTTCATACTGCTGTTCAGGTTGTTCATACTGCTGTTCGTGTTGTTCATACTGCTGTTCAGGTTGTTCATATTGCTCATGATGTTCGACGTGGAATAATTCGCATACGAATCATCCTTCTTAGATTCATAAATTTCCGTTGGATTAGCCTCTTTGTTGTAATTATTTGCCTTACTATCATATGATATGTTTCTTGTGTTCATACCCATTATGACGGAATCTTTCTTTTCATTTTCTCTTAAACCTATCTTCCCCTGTTCCTGAATCTTCATGGTGTGCAAGTTTTGCACGTTGTGCATATTGTTCATGTTGTTTGTGTTGCTAACATTTTGCATTCGAATTCCATTGTTATCCACCGTGCTTCCATTGCTTATCGGGCCGCTAGAGTTGTATTGCGCCATCTTGCTGTTTCTGTTTCTAATGCTATGGATTGGTTGATTTTCCGATGTGCCCCTTAAATTGTTTGAATTATCTTGCATACATTCGTTTTCTGGTAGCTGATTTTCAAAATTCTCATTAATTTGTTCATCTTTGTTTTTCATCATACTGTTTAATTTGAACATACTCGCATTGCTCTTACTACTTCGCCTGTTCTTATGATTGTTGCTACTTCTTTTACTATTGCTATTTCGTTTGCTATTATTTCCATTTCCGTTACGATTGGAAATGCTGCTGTTCATGCTCTTGCTGTTTCCATTTCCGTTGTTGCCACTTCCGTTATTAATACTTCCATTGTTGTTCCTTCTTCTTCTTCCTCTTTGACTCTTAGAACTACGTCTGTTACTACTGCGTCCGTTACTGCTTCTACCATTACCACCTCTCGTATTGCCTGTACGATTATTATTACTGGTACTGGTGAAGGCGTTTACATCATTAAGGATACTGTCTTTTTGGTTCATATTGGTATCCATGATAACATCAACGTTTTTACTTAGTTCTGGGATGTTCATATTATTATTCAGTACATCATCTAAAACTTCTCTTTTGAAGTTATCCTGTGAAAGGATAATATTTTCACTGTCCTTTTTAAAATTATTATTGCTCGTGCTGCTTAAATTTGTGTTGTGCGTAGAAATATTTTTTTTATTTGAAATGAAGGCATTTTTTGCATTATATTTTGTGCTACTTGAACAGTTATCATTAATATGACTAAATCGTTCATTACCTTTTAAACTAGAGCTATTTATACCTTCCATGCTCGTTTTCTTCTCGCTCATGCTTTTGTTCTTATTATTTCCGCTACTACCGCTCTTCCTGTTTCTGTAACTTGAGCTTTTCATTGTGTTACTCTCTTGATAATTCGCTCTGGCAGAATTTACACTGCTATTACCAATGTTATTATTCATGTTATTTTTTGTATTGTCTATGTTACTACTCACATTGTTATCACAATTGTTCAAGCTACTATTTAAGCCTAAACCATTGTTGTTATACATTTTTTCTTCTTTTACACTTTTCAACAACATATTATCTTTATTGAACGTACTCATTTTGGTGTTATATTGATTTATTTTATTACTATCGTTCGAAAGTGGTGTGTTTGAATCATTACTGTTCATGGGGTATCCACATTTATTTTCCTTCACGTTAGAATTCATGTAATTTGCATTTGTATTTAATTTCGTTTCACTTAATGAATAATTCGATTCTTCATTTTTATTACTCATTTTTTTATTGTGCGCAGATGAATTGTTTCCAGGGCGATTTCCCAAATAAGCACTCGAATAATTATGGCTCGTTGTGTATTTACTACCTCCGCCACTACCAATATTGCTGTTGCTCACGTAGCTGTTATTATTCCCGCCACCAATATAACTGTTTGATGATATCTTGCTTTTACTCTTACTACCATGGGAGTATCGTTTACCAAAAGCAGAATTCCTGCCACTTTGATTAAAGTTCCCATAATTCTTTGCGTCACTATTATTTTTATTAAATGCTGGGATGTTATTATTATCTTTTAAAACATTCTCATTTTCATTAATTTTATTCATATTTATAGAATTCGAAAATTTTTTATTCATTTTATACTTTTTATAAGATTTATATACGTAAGCATTATAATTTTCCTTATTCGAACAATTACCAAAAATTAATTTATATGCTTTTTTTTGTATTTGAGAAAAATAAAAATTGGAGTTTGGAATATACGTATATGTGGATTTTGTCAGACCATTCGCTGTTGTTTTCAATAAGTTAATTAGGGAAAAAATGTACATGTATCGGCAGGATGCTGATGATTTTTGTGGTCTTCTTAAAATCATATCATAAAAGATGGATGAAACTACTTAGAGATTCTTTCCTTACGGGTTCTTCGTGCATACGTAGGATCATACGCAGTGGCATATGTGTGCGCATACATAAGCCCACAGAAGCTTACGATAGTTGTGCTATTGTTTCTAATCCCTTATATATCTGTAACCAGAAGTCAAAATTCACTGCTTTCTTAAGTTTAATATTGCGAGTGTGTTTCAGAACGTGCTATATATATTTGTACATGGAGTACATATGCATGACACACGTGTATACGTTATGTATTCGGCATGTATTATGCGTATATACATATATTTTTTGCATACATACGTTTTCACTTGCATAAAGGAAAATATAAAAAAACAAAAAAAAAAATAGCACAGAATTCAGTGTAAAATGGGTAGTATAAAAACATTAAAAGAAAGTGAATGAAAATGTACTTGTGAGTGTTATACACAGGCTTTCAATGAATGGGGAGATCTATAGGTACTCATTTCATGCATGAAAAAAATTTATTCACTAAAGTATGTATTATTTACAGGTGGATGGGGGTTATGTAAGCAAGCCATAAGTTGTATGTAAAATATATAAAAATATGTAAATTGAAGAGAGAGGGAAGAAAAATTGGGAAAATGGAAAATAAAAAGGGAAAAACATGGGATTTTTTTTGAAAAATGGATAAAGAATGAAAAATAGAAAAATACGTAAAATGCGAAAAAATGATAAAAGTGAATGAAAATGGAAAATGTACACAAATAGGTAAATGTTTTGGGTATAGGGAAAAATTAAGTATGAAAAAAAGTTGCTTCATTTAATATGCTTACTTTTATTTTCAATTTCTGCGTACAGTGTATACTTGTGGAAAAAATTGTATATATTAATATGGGGTTTATTTTTTATGTGATTTGTAAGTTTATGTGAATGTATTATGTATGTATATTAGCAAAATAAAAAACGTAAATTTTTTTTACATAAATATATCTATATGTTTAATTCGTTTATTTGTTTCATTCGTTTGGCTTTAGAGTTTGCTTTATTATTCTTAAAACTCATTTACTCATTTATTTTATTTTTTTCACAGTGTTTTTTTACGCTTTTGTGAGTGCTTGCTCTGTTTTCGTTTCTCTTGCTCTTTCTTTTTTTTTGTTTTATTTTGATTTATTTTTCTATACGTGCCTTGAGGTTTTTTTTGCAAGTTTCCCCCCTTTATACTTCTTTCTCTTTTTATACTGAAGTGCTCACGAAGGTAATAATACTTACATTTATTTTTTAAGCACAAAAATTATTGTTTTGTTTTTGATTAATTCACATAAACAATCACATGTAAACACGAGCTTAACATATGAATACGTGAGTAATAAGCGGATAACTCATATAAATATGTGTACAAGTAATCATAAATACTTATGTGGGATATTAAATATATATTTTTTTTTTTAAATTGGGAGATTTAAAATAACTATATACACAATTGCAATTCCTGTAAGAAGGTGGAAAAAAAAAAAAAAAAGCAAATGAAAAAGAAAAAAAAGGCTAAAGAGTAAAATGGAAGGAAAAACACGGAAGAGAACGGTGTAAAAATATATTCGAAAACAGTTGAATGTGTTTTGATGCGCTTATATTATATATAAGAATATATATATATATATATATATATAATACACTGGTGTATATTAAATTGGGCTAAATGATAAAATATACTTTTATTTTTATTTTAAAATTTATTTACAAAATTGTTGTGATGCATGGGATAAGTATAGAAGTATTCAAGCATATATATAAATATTTATAAATAAAATGTAACTGTTTAAAAAAAGAAAAAAAAAATGATGGGTGTAAATAGGGGATTATTTAGTTTTTCTTTCATAAGTTACATATCCACCATCGCACTGGAATATAGCAAAATTTAATGATAGCTATGCAGAAAGAAAAAAATACCTAAATTCGTAAAAAAATAGATGCTTGTATTGATTGCGTATATTTAAGCAATTAGCTAATAAACGGAATAAATAAAATAGAGTAATGGGTATTGTACCACATAAATATTCTCATCCCCGCATACTACGCAAAGGTGTATGCATGTGTTTTTTATATAACTTCAATATGACTCCTTGCTGTCCTTCGATTTGCATGCCACTTATAAAAAAAACTCTTTTTTCTTAATATCCCCTATTTCTAAAAATGCATTTAATGCACATAGTTTGGGACATATATATATTATAAATATATTTCACGCAAAGAAAAAATGCAATGTAGAATTATTCATAAAAACATTTACACTTTCTACTACACATCGCAGTGTAATAAATGTGAAAACTAGTTTTATATATCGTTTATTTCCTCGACGTGGCTATCCTTTAAAAGAATTTTTTTCATAATTCGTTTATGTTGATTAATGAATATATTTGCTGCTTCATTCACGCAAGATTATCATGTTCTTTTCTTTTGATGAAATTTTATATTTTTTTTTTTTACGTACACTTATGTATGACGCATTGAAGTCTTCCCCTAGAAATGCTGTGTTTTAATTTTTTTTTTTTTCTTAAATGTTCTTATATGTATATATATAGTAGTGTACTTGTGTCACGAAAGGGAAAAAAAAAAATAAATAAATAAATAAGCAAAGCCCCAGAATAAAAACCATAAAACAAGGAGTACGAATTTTCATTTTATTCCATGTTATTTCAGTTCGTTTTGTTTTATTTTTACTTTAAAAAAAAAAATGCCTGCATATAGGTATGGTGTAAGAAGATGAGTTTGTTCCTTAGCAAACAAGTATATGCCATGAAGAAAAAAAGATAAGAACTGTGTTCATAGGATAGATATAGTGTACATACGATTCATAATTCAAATACAGATGCAAACCTGATGTTTGTTTCTCCAATATGATATCTGTTGAATGGCAATATAAACATAATAACATATTACACAACAATAACGCTTTCGATTTTCGCATTTTGTTTTAAAAATGTTCCTATTGTTGAGATGAAAATATGAAGCATTCCCATTTTCTAGAAAAAAATGTACACGTTTTAGCATAATATAAAAACAGTGCTTTTTTTTTTTTTTTTTTTCCATTTATTGAGATTTTTTTTAAATGTGGGAGTTATAATAAAATGAATGTTAATAACGAACTCATGTTAAAGTATATATATGTGTGTGTGGTGTGTACAACTCTCCACATTAAAATGAAAATATATGGCAAATGTATTGTTACTTTGAATTTGTTTTCAATTTTTTACAAATTCCAATGATAAAACATTTTTAATAACACCTATGTATTATAAATTATTTATTACACATTGCAACAAATTGAGAAGTGTATCCCTTTTATAATGAGTGCTGTAGTGGACATATTTTATTACGACTTCTTGATGTTCTATATATAAAGAATATGTGCTATGCATATGCTTAGGCTAGGCATTTAAAGGGGGGGGGGGTTCCTATGTAGCAAATACAAAATATCCTGCACGTTACATAAAAGTAAATGTGTTCATTTGTGTAACCAAAGATTTTTAATTTCTTTGATTTTGTAATATTTGTAAATTTGAAGGAAAAATAAGTGCTCACGTTTTTGCGAAAGGTGGAGGTGTTACTACTAGCAATTTTGTGTACGTGGAAAATATATGTTACTCAAATTTTTGTCTATGTTGTAAAATAATAGACTTTTTTTTTTTTTTTTTTTTTTTGTAATAATGGGTTTACTTAAAGTGTAGAAAAAATAAACTAAAATGTAACCTCGCTAACTTAACAAATTAGAAAAAGAAATATTAAGAAAGTTTTGTGTAAGTCATTATTTCCTCTTAACCTATATCACCATTGATGGTAGGATGGGGGAGTATAATAAAATCATAAGGAGAAAATGAAAAAAAATGTAAAAAAATATAAATCAATCATTAGATGTGTATTTCGAATATGTAAGGTACACACTTCTGTATATGTTCATAATCCAGGGAACCAGAGGGGCAAGATTGCCGTTTGTCAATTTCATTCCCAAAATTCCACAAACAGGTGATGTATCCTTTTTTTTTTTTTTTTCTTGTTTTTGTGTCATGTATTCATAAGGGAAGTAGATTTTATATTCCAAAAAAAAATTAGGAAAATCTATGCAATGCATCAATTTAGGAACTTTCTTTCATGTGGTATAGTTGATTTTTCGTAACAAAAGTAGAAAATTGTTACTTTTCAACTCTGAAAACTGATGTGTCATATTGTATTTGTGTATGTTTTTTACTGTGTATGCGTTGCTCTTTTTCTATTTTTTTTTTTTTTCTAAACTATGTAAGTATTGGTGTGTGGGAGATATTTTAGGCATTAATCATGCCGTTTGTATTGCTTGTATTTTCTAGCTTAAAAAAAAAAAAAGAAAAAGGCAGAAAAAAACAATTTCGATGAGAACCTTTATTTTTGCTAAATTGCTGCTACAAGAAAAATGATTGATAGGTTTACATCCGGTGCAAGGATTCCTATAGCGGAATGAATAAGGATGATTTTTTTTGCAAAATTTACTGAGTAAAAGTAAAGTACTTAACTTTTCACACGGTTGAACTATTTTGCTTGGCGAAAAAATGCAAATGAATAAATAGGAGCATTGCGTGAAAACTGGTATGGAGAAAATTTTCACAAAAAAGGAAAAGGCATACATATTTGCCCCATATATTAGATATATATGAATAATTGAGCCGCAATGCGAGGTGACGAAGATATTATGTAGCTTCAAAAGGTAATTCACGACAATCAGTTACAAGTCTTTTAGGAAAAATGAAAAATACAAATCTTTCTGAAACGAAAAAAAACACAAGATCAAAATGGTGCATTTTTTTAGTTGGATACTTAAAAGGAATTTGTTGAAGAGAAGGGGAATTCAGATTGGAGTATGGCACCTTAGAAAACGCACGTTCTCCTCGAAAAGCATCCCTCTAGTATGCATAAAAAAAGTAAGCGAAATTAAGCAGATGATACGTTATATAGAAAACATATATTCAAATTGTAATGGAGAATCTCAAGAAGACATTTTTGCAAAACATTTTGGAAAAAGTCAGATAAGGAACTTTGTACATACAGATAACAATTTCGAAAATGCTTATGATCACTGGAACTATTATCATTTTAAGGATAAATCAAGTGCAGATGAAAATATAGACAAAAAGAAAGTAAATCAGGGTTTAAGTGATCAAAATAATTCTGAGAAAGGAGATACTGTCTTTAAATTTTGCTCAGATGAACATGGACAAATGAATATCATGAAAAGAAATTTGATTGGTATTTACATTCCCCAAAATAAAAACATTCACTCTGTGGATATTAATTATTTTTACATTTTTAAAAACTTGAATAATTCATTTAAGGGGAAATTATTTTTTGAATTATATTTCATATTGCCGAACAGTATTTTCTTTTTATCATTTGTTGAAATTTTTAAGGAATTAATTTATTACGAAAAGGTTATTGCATACACAAAAAGGGAAAATAAAAATAGAAAATTCAATTTACAAAAGAAGACAAAAAATAATTTGCTAAACAAAATTTATAGAAATAAAAAATATGATTTAAAAAAGGAGCTTAGAAAAAATTTCGAAAGGATACTTTTGCAAAAAAAGTACACAAAAATAATTTACGAAGATGCTGCTGAGCTGTGTTCATTCTTTAGGAATTTTTTAAAAATCAATTCACATAATTTTATAGATTTGCATCACCTATATCAATATGTAATATCGTTATATGAAGTAAAACTTTTAAAACATAATATTTTTACAGCTATTCCAATTTTGTTTCCTGACATATTTAGCAACTCACTGGTTTGTGAATATGAGAACGTAGAAAGTACACAGGGAGATGTTGACGCTAGGGGGGATAAGCCACCGGGTAAGAAACGAATAGATCAACTTTTGTGTAAAAATAAAATAGACATTCCTTGGAATGAAAATTACGCAGGAACATTGAAAAATGAAAAGACACCGTCTGAATCACGAAAAGGTAAATTATCAAAGGGTGGAGGAAAATTCAAAGTTTTTTACAAAAGGAAGAAAAATATTATATCCATATATAGCAACACCGATGATAATAACGAGCTCTTTAATTTTGAAAAGCATTTAATACACATTTTGTATATATTTCCGTGCACCTATAAGTTATTAGTAAAATATAGGGATGTGGAAGGATACAACATTTGTTACAAAATGAATAAATGTATTGACAAGTACAACTTGCTCAATATTTTTAAAGTTAATCTGATAAACAGAAAAAATGCAAAATTATGTTGCAGTGTGAGAACAAACAAAAGAAAGGAAATTATCAGCTCCGAATTTGACACAAGTAGCTATAACATGAACAGTAATATTCTTCTTAACTCGGTGTGCAGCAAATTAGATATGAACGAAGAGATAATATATAACCATCACTTAGTTGTAGGTAAAAATATATATGCATATATACACGAAATAAATAGGTGCACCAAAAATATAGTTTTCCGCTTTAATTTAAATTCAAAAAATATCATGTTTCGAAATATCATAACGCATCGGGTTAAATCAATCTTTGGGGAGAACAACAGAAATGTGTGTAAATACAATCGTTTATTGAAAAACATAAATAAGGGTCTTTTTTCGCACAATTCAAAAGTGCAAATCAGTAGGAGTAAAAAATTGTATAATTATAAAAATAATATGTTAATTGGATTATTACATGATAAGGAAAATAATTTTCATTATTTTGATGATAAAAATGTTGGGGATATAGTTCTGTGCAGCATATGTGATATTTCCATGTGTGGAAAATATATATATTTGCAGAGGTTTGACAAGACAAATTTGATATTCCATTTTCGTAAGGAGAAATACATTAACTTGGAAAAAAATTTCGATTATGATGATATTACGAAATTGGATAAAAGTGTAATAATGGAACTTTTCTAAATATCTTTTTTATGGAACGCACGTGTACATTGAATACAAACCTCTTTTTCTTCCTTGACCTATGTCAGTTTCCATTTTTATTTCAAAAATGGGTTTATGTAAAAGTTTGATTAAATTGATACCTACCTTATGGTAATATATATGTTATCCTTTTTTTTTTTTTTTTTTTTTTTTTTTTTGGTATAATCTTATTAATCTTTTAAAATATCGTAAAGACTCCTTTAAATTAGTTTACATTTAATATTACGACGTTGATACTTGTAGTGCTTTTCCATAAAAGAAAAAATATTTCTTTTCTTTTGCAGTAAGTTTTAACTAATGTATTGTTTGTAATAATTGGGTTGATAAAAATACAAAAAAAAAAGTTTCACATACGTGCACACACGCATTGCTATATTTGTATGGCAAAGGAATCAAAGATAAAACAAATGATTAAATTAAATGAATGATTGAACATATAAAACAACATTGAATGGGTACAGTGATGGGGGTGGGGAAGGGGGTTGAAAAAAAAAGAAAATAAAAGAAATGAAAAGAAATTCATTGGTAAAACAAAACAAAATGATAATGTGGAAAGGGTGAAAACGGATGTTATAAAGACCTCTTTCCGAACGGACTTCGTTAAGCAAATATAAAAGTTTATCTTTTTTAAAAAATTAGGTATGTTTACTAAAAAATTTGGTCATGTATGGATAAAAAAAAAAAGAAATTGCAAAATTGGAGATGTTATACATATTAATACATACGCACATGTATATGTGCATGTACATGTGACAAATAATTCAATTCGTCATGTTTGTCGCGTGCTATACGTGATCCTATTTGGTGATACATATGCAAAGCATGCTTATTTTTGTTAGAATTATGGTATATTACATCTTGTCCTCGTTTAAAGTGCGAGGGTGCTCATGGTGAAAAAAATAAATTCATTGCACTATAAAAGTCTTACAATGTTTGCGGTAAGATGCATATATTTACGCATGCGTATATATAACTTCCTTCTGTTGCAGCGTTGTTGGGCTTGCGAAATTTGAAGCGTTGCTTTAGTATGTTTCTATATATTGTTTTTTTTTTTTTTTTTTTTTTTTTCCTCTATATATGGGTACCGTTCCATTATTCCCTGCGAATTTTATTTTTTTTATTCTTTTGATCCCTTTTAAAAATCAAACGTGTCATCATCTAGACCTATGTCTTGCTGAAAATCATTGTCATTGATAGATGGATCATTGTTATTGAAATGTTCACTGGGGTAATTATTATAATTGTCACTGACGTGATCAGTTGTATTTCCATTTGAGAAATCCATATTGTTGTTAAATGTGTCGCACGAACGTGGGCCAAATATCTGATCTAACAATCTGTTGCTTAAAAAAAATCCACAACCATATATAAAACTCTCATAGAAGGTATTTAACAGACCCGCACCTCCTCTAACCAGTTTGTTGTCATTTTGCTGATGTGCAATGTTGCTATTTGGCATATATTTATACTGTGTTACATTTTTATGCAAAATTTTTCGTACGCCTCTTTTGGGATTATTATTATTTATAAATCTGGAAAAGTTCCTTCTGAAAATTAACATTTTCTTCAGTATATAAAATCTTTCATTTATTTGGGGTTAAATTTTATTTTTATTTTATTGTGTGTTTTAAACAGGTTATTGTGTTTGCTTACAATTTTGATTCTATATTTTGTAAGTATATTTAAAAGTTAAAGATCCTTTTATTTTTTTCAATTTTCGTTTTGTTTTCGCTATATTTGTTTTTAAAAGAAGAAATAAAAAAAAAAAAGTAAAATAAAATTAGCAGATTATAACGCTTACAATTTAATAATAATGAATTAAAAAGACATTAAATTTTTTGGATTTTTTTCTTATATTTTTCTTTTTTTTTTGAAAGTTAATTTTTTAAAAAAGTCGAGGCAGAGGAGGGATTTAACACAGGTGAGCATAAGATTTATTTGGCTTACATATAACTCTCTGAAATTAAAAAACGAGAAGTTCGAAGAAAGAGAAAAGTGAATTGATGTATACAAGTTATCTTGTAAAATTATTTTTTGGCATTTCTGGAAAAAAAAAAAAAAAATAATAAAGTGAAAAAGAAGTAGTGCGCATTCGCCGAAACAAATCTTTAAACCAATAACAATATATTTATAGAACTGTTTTGAATGTATATATCCTTTATTTTTATATATGAGAATTCATTTTATGCACGTTAAGCTTACGTGCAGGTTATATATAAAGCCACATAAATAAAAAAAAAAAAAATGTATATTGTTGCGCACCATTTGTGATGCACACATATTTTTTATATGCACATAAGCTATGACTTAAGATTCCATGGGCATGTGGGTGGGTGCTCCTCTAGGTAGTTCTAATATTTTATGTAGGTAATATAATTTAAGAACAAGGGTTATTTACATGTTTTGTTTTGTTTTGTATTTCTATTTTTCTTTTTTTTTTTTTGGCTCTGTTTTCTTTTGGTTTTCCTCCTTTCGATTTGTTTCCTCTTTCCTTTGGAGCCCTCTTTGCTTTGATTTCCTCTGGTTTTGTTCCCCTTCGTTCTGTTTCATTTTATTATTTTTTTTATTTTTTGAAAGATATGTTCAAAAATTAGGAGCTAGAAAGGTAATACAAAGCTTTATGTATTTTTTTTTTTTTTTTAAGGAATACAAATTGATGTAGCACTTTTACTCAAGTGTAATTGTGCATATGTTATTATAAAACGGTCAATTTTCAGCTAATTTTACAAAGCATTTGATTGTAACCTCTTTATAAGCTTAAAGGACGGAGAAAGGAAAAAAAAAAAGAAAAAGAAAAAAGTAGCAACAAATATGTAAATACCTAAGTAAATGCATAACTAAAATCCCATTTTGTAAAGCCTAATTAAACATTAACTTTGTTTGTGAGAAGTTTCTCTTTTCATTTAATTCATGTACTCATGAACAAATCCATGTGTAAATCCATAAGTAATGGAGAACACATGTGCATACATAAGTACACAACAAAATACAGAGTTCTCCTTTGCAAAACATAACTATTAAACAAGAACTGTTTTAAAAAGTTATGTAAATTTAGTTTTACTTTTTGTTCTTGAACATTGGAATGTCGCTCAAAGATAATGTGTTTACATAACCTGCAACCACTTCATACTTTTGAGTAATAATAATTAAACCGTCAAATACCTAGTTAAGAAGTAAAATAACAATAACCTTTAAGTAAAAAAAAAGGACAAGAAGAGGAAAAAAAAAAAAAAAAAAAAAAAGTAGCTGTATTTCAAATGAGATGTTAAAAAAAAATCGGGAAAAAATTGTAGGAAGAAAAAGATGATAACATAGATATATAATGGATATTTGTATTAGCCATCTTTACAATAGACAGATAAAAAAAAATATATTACAGGACGTATTTTACAAATTAGAAAATTATGATAATGAAGAATTTTTATGTTTCGATGTAAACTCAAGTGGAAGTCTTCTGGTGGCTGCATCCAAAACGTCTCTTTACTTTTTTCATATTTTAACAGGCACATTACTAATTCAGCATAGCTACTATAATGAAAATGAAAGAGAAAACTCTCTGAAAAGGGACATTTTTGAGGATATAAAAATTTGTGCTAGTACCTCTACTGGGGTTAATGATAAAGGAAGTAATTCAAGCACCAGGAATGAGGGTATTAAAAGTGTAGAAGCTGATGACGGAAATGAGTTTGATAATGATAAAGAGATTGAAAATGAGAACTGTACAAGTGGAAATATTTCGAGGAGCGATAACATCAGTAGCAATGACTTTAGCAATATGAATGATAACATTAATAATAACGAAATTGACAACATGATCTTGTGCTGTGATGTTAGAGATTCAAAGTGCAATACAATTTCCAATTATGACGAAGATCTGAAGACAACAAAAGAGGAGGAAAGTTGCTGTACCCCAAACTTAGAACACCAAAATGGAAACGAATTTAGTGAGAATTCGTTAGCAAAATGCTGTTCAAAGTATAAAGAAGACTCCGTAAAATCAAGTAATAAGAGAAAACATATTTTACTAAAGGGACAAAAGTCGAAGAAAGTGAAAAAACGTTCTAGACAGTCCCAAAAAAACCTAAACAGAGGTAGTGAAAATGTAACAAATTCCAAAATCAAAAATAATGAGAATAGCACTAAGAAAAGTACAGACGACAAGTTTGAAGATGAAAATTTACACATTAAGAAAATTCAATTTATTAAAAATGATAAATATCTATTATGTATATCGAAAAGATATTTGCATATATTCAAAATTTTCAAATATCCGATTACTAGAATAGTGTACATTGATTTATTATATTTATGCATTGGAATTGAAACGATTATTTCAAACAAGTTGTTTTTTCCATGTTTCTTTTCTGAGTATTTTTATTTTTTTCTTAAGGAAAATGAATATAATAAACAAAGAGTAGAGGAAAGTCTTATGAGTGGTAGTTTAAGTAATGATTTTTCGGGAGCATTTGGTTCAAGTTATGATCTCTCTATAAATAAATGTGAAGAAATTTCTGAATGCAGCAAAAATTTTAATGAGTTGGAATCTCCACAACTAATCTGCAACCAAAATGAAGTAACTTCGAAGGGACATCTAAACCTTTTTAAAGATTATTATAAACTGTTCAGTAGTTTGAACTTCCAAAAATCTAGAGATTTTGAAATGTGTGAAGTAATGTGCATGGATTTAAAAAAAAAAAAATACATGAATGGGAATGAAAAGAGAAATTTGTATATTATCAATCTAGTTTTATGTTTAAAGGAGCAAATTCCGTACGTTTCCAGGGTTTATGTAGAGGAAATGAACGACCCCAATGGAGCATACATGATTGAGCCAGATGAAGAATGCATGAATGATTATGTTGTTGACGTAAATGAGACTTTTCCCATAATTTCCTATAGCCAAATGGATATCACATTTCAGGAAACGGCAAGAGAGAGTTCCTTGCACGTGAGGAAAGATGCTCTTTATCCTAAGCATAAAGCGAAAATTAAGAAAAAATATCTGAAAGGTGTTTTGAAAAATTTGGTATATAATCAGGAAAGCGCTGTGAATAAGAAGGAATGCACTAGAGCGTTTGGTGAATCAACTGTGGAGGTGGTTCCTAAAGAAGATATTATTAGAGAGATCTCTGAATCAGCATTTAGCAATGGAAAAATGTTAGAGAATGAAGAAGGATACACAAGCAGTAGTAACCATCCTGTTAGTGAGACTCAAAGGGAGCCTGTAAGTGCTTGCGATGAGAAGAACAATGAGTACATGCAGTTAACAAAATTTTTCGAAAATTATGAAAATAATCGAAAATATCTAAAAAAGTTGACGAATGGATATTTCCCCATTTGTGTTTTCAAAAAAAGGAGCAAGAGAAGATCTAAGGAGCTACCAACAGCTTTAAATATTTACGACAATTTAGATGCACTTCTAAAGGGACACATTGAAGGAAGTAACAATTTGAACAGAGATATAAAAGAAAAGGGTATTTTCAAAAAAGAAAATAATTACTACATTTTTGATTATTCTGAAAAGGAAAAAACGAACTATTTTAATTTCCCTTGTAATTTGTTAAAAAATAAGAGCAGTCTTAAAAATGTATATAAGAATAGGCACATAGATAAGAACAAATACAACATATTTGTAGGAACCCCTTGTTACATACTCGCATTTGAAATGTCATATGTCAAGAAGCGCATCCTTATTGAAGAAGATGTAAGCAGAAAAATGGATGTGTTAAAAAAAAAAAATTTTGTAAACACAAAAATTAAAAACATATCCGTTGAAATACTTAGGACATGTGATAATTACTTAAAAAAGATAGAAGAGGAAAACATAGCTGAAAAAAAAATACAATTAAAATTTCTATTTAAAATACATTTGGGAATGACAATACCATTGGATATCGTCATAAGAGAAAAGGGAAATATTTTGTGCGTTAGGACTTTAGAAAAGGTATTCCTGTACAAGATTAATTACAAATATAGTGCTCATTGTATTGATGGGATAGAAAATTCGGAGTCGATGCAATTAATGGATGAAAAGAATTCCATATATGAATGCGAAAATGGGACAACTTTTGGGGATGGAAAGAACAATGTAAACGATGGAGTGATAAACGAAAGTTCAATTAATAAATGTATAAAAAGTGATGAATTACAGAGTTATATCGATCGTATATGTTTATATCACACAATTCACAATCCAATTCAGAAGGAAGTCCACGAGTTATGCTCTTTTAGTGAAGACATTTACCAATCGTATCTATTAGTTGTATCGTTAAAATCTGGACAGTATACTTTATATATATACGATTTGAAACATATGGATTTACAAAATGCAGTTAAAGTAAACATTTCTGCATATAAAGGATTTAAACAAATGAGATGGATAAAATGTTATGATATGCTAGTGGCCCTTTCCAACATGGGAAATTATATATTGGTATTAAAAAATAAGCATCTAAATAATTGGAGCTTTTTCATTTCCGATTTTGAATTAATAGATTCAAATATTGAAGTTATTGAAGAAGAAAATGAATTTGATATAATAGAAAATATTCAGCCGAAACATAAAAATATAGATGATAATATATGGAAATACATTATTTTTTATATAAATTTATTCATAAAAAATAAAATAAGTATTCAAAATTTAATACATCCATCATCTCTTTTTCCTATAATATACACTGGGTATTATAAGAATAGTCCTATTTATTTTTTTTATAAATCGTATTATGATTTTAGCAAGGAAAATTTTTTGAGTTATGAGGCCAATGAATGTATAGAAGATGAGCAGCAAATATGGGGAGACGATCATTCGAAACAGGAGAAAAAGAAAAAAAAAAAAAAAAAAAATCATTCACTTTTACAAATAAGAGAAAATTTGGATCATTATGTACATTCGAAATTTGAAGAATCAGAAGAGGACGAGAAAAATGATATACTTATTACCGATAACTCTAATTGTGTGCAATTGCTGGCACATGATGTTATCTATTATGTATATTACAAGAACATAGTAAATTTTTCATTATAAAGTTAAATAGTGGGAGGGGGTTGGTTGATTCCGTATATTTAATAAATGGTATACCTGGTAGTTAAATTGTATACATCTGTGAGGGCCTAAATAATGATACTTTCTTGTCTCTCTTAAAAATAAATATACGTCACGAGAATATATCCCTTTAGTTTCGTGACCTTTGTTGTTTATGCAAGTTGATATGTGTATTTAAGTGTTACATATATAAGTTTAAGATGTTCATTAGTTTATATATATATATATATCGTAGACAGTACATATGCCTCTAAACTCGTTAATATATAACGTTGCCGTTTAATATTCCACTTAACCATCCTATATATTTTCTTGTTGTGTTTATATGGCACTTTGATGTGCTTATATTTCGTTTCGTGATATGAATTCATTTTATTCATATTTGTACAAAAATATAATTCCCTTGTCTTTCATCCTTCACACACATCAATGAAAGAAAATAGAAAGGGAGCCGAATGTGTACCCCCTAATAAATTCTTACCAGCTTAAGTGTGTTTCTACCTCTGTCTTTTTATTTATTTATTTTTTTTTTTATTGGCTTTAATAATAATGACGTAAGACGACCATTTGTAAAGATAGATGCACATCCGTTTGTTATTCATTTGATACATTTTCGGTTTGCGTCTTCTGCTTGTTTAGTTGGTATCTTTCATATGTTCTATATGTACGTACTTGTATGTATGACATATACGTAAGACATATTTGATTTTCATATACTGCCTATTTGTTTTACATTTTTTACGCATTTGACTTTTTTTACTTTTTGCTACTTTTAATCCCTATTATCATGTGCATGTAAATGATGACTAGCTCATTTTTTCCAATTTTCACACAACCCATGCCCATATATATTGAGTGAAATATCGTTTAATCGAAATTACATTCGGTTATATGTATGTGTGAATAAAAATTAATTTTAAGATGTTACACGGAAAAAAAAAGAAAAAATATATATTTTTTTTTTTTCTTTTTTTTTTTTTTTTTTTTTACGTTAAAATGGAAGACGTTTTGGAGAAGTTAGTACTGCAAGTTAGAAAATGAAAGTTCTGTTTGAATCGTTAATATTCAAAAATATCAAAATTTTCATTCTCTCCCTTATTCGTAATAAAATTTGGTCATATAATATATAACAATTTTCGTATTAAGTATGTTGTTGGGTCAATATTTCTTTTCATTTATTTGTGTTTATGAGAAAGTATCAAAAGTTAATAACCGGAAAGTTGTACGTGATACTACTCTTTATGACATTAAACAAGTGGGAATTTTCAATGGCAGCTGCGATTCTTTCTTTGTCATTTAGCTGTTTATTTATGGAGTGCTCAGAATTATGTGAACCTGGGAATATGTATATATTAGTCTTAAAATTGTTGGATAAGGAGAATTGCAACTTTATGCTTATCATTAAGCCGATTAAAGTAGCTAAGGAACAATTTGGTATGGTAGGCGTAAAATAAACAGTAATATTTTTTTCTTGCAAATTTACATAAATATTTTTCTTCTCAATTATTTTTAAATTTTCTAATGTATATGAATATTCAGGATCTTTTATGTCTTTTAGCAAATCATAAATTTCGTCCACACTTATTTTATCTTCTTCATAATTTATGTTGCATAAATCGCTTGAGTTATATAAGTTCTCTTTTATTGTTTCTTCGTTAAGCACGTTGTTGCTTTCCTCGTCTTCCTTGTAGTTGTATAGTATGGGATTTTCGTTTTCAGGTTTGTAGTTGTTCATTTTGGATAGTAGTGGTAATAGGTACACTTCATTTGTAATCGATTTCGTTTCATATATAAAATAACACAGGGATAAGGTAATGAGAAACGCGTACACCTTACTCTTTGTTACTCAGCAGAGAAAAGGAGGGGCTAGGGAGTACTTGTTCCCTACTACATTAATCAGTGTCAGATGATTTCCAATTTTTATCTGATTTCATCCTTCGTTTCTTTAACTTTTTTAATTTCGCATTCTCGAGAAATTTATTTTTGTTATACAATGTTTCGATTTTCTTTTGCCGCTTTATTCGTTTGGAAATTGAAATGATGTGCATAAAAAAAGTAAAAAATAAATAGGATTGAGCCAAAAAAAAAAAAAAAAAGCTCTTTCCAAACGTTATAAATCAAAAATTGTACGATTAAAAAAAAAGTTTAATTAATTCGGAGCTCAAAAAAAAGAAAAGGGATGATATCTTCTGTTTTAAATAAAGGAACACTGAATTAACCAAAAAAAAGTGGAGATCCATGTTTTTCTCAAAATTGTAAAAAAAAAAAAAAAAAAAAAAAAAAAAGCTAATGTATATTTATATTTATACACATGCATGCGCGCACGCTTGTGTGTTACAGCACGGCAAAAGAAGTATTTCACCACAGTGTCAAGTCAAAACTTTGTCATAAAAAAATTAATTAATGAAAATTTGTTCGAGAATGTGTATGAAGAGGAGATAAGGGCGCGATGTTAATTTATATACACGAATCATCAAAAACATATTACAATTATGAGGATACAACTACATGTAGGATATAGCAAGAGAGGAATGGGGGAAAACAGAAAAAAGTGAAACTGCGAATGTTCGAAATTGTGAAAATGCGAATTTGGATGCATTACTCTAATATATACACAACATAATGACCTTTTTTTTTTTTTTTTTTTTTTTTTTTTTTTTTCTTTTTGAATCTCCGCCCCTATTATATACAAGAAAAGAAAATTCAAAAACTTTCCCTAACAGTTTGCATATCATGCGCAACTATATCATATAATTACAGGGATCATGTGTGTGGATTCGAGGTATCACACATATGTACGTACAGGTGTGTGCGTACACAAAGTGTATTTTCCCAGAGGGATAGGTTGCTCCAATTCTTATGTCCTTTGTCATTACACAGTGCGTGATATTATTTTGCTTTGTATTTCCTTTAAGATACCCATTTCGTATTGAGCAACGTAGCTCTCTGGCACTAGCTTACAAGAATGATACTTCAAAATAACTGAATGAACATGTTTGTATTGGAAGAAATCTGGATTTGCACATTTAATCAATTGATCGAGTTTTTCTAAGTTGTATAAATGTAGGTCTACATATTGATCGTAGTAATTCATTCCTTTTGAAAGAAAAATATAGTAAAAATTATGCCTTTCTGTATTAAAATCTTTTAAATCTTTGTAAAGCTTCATGTAAACCGTGTTGCGTATATCCGTGTTACAGTTACTATCATTGTCAACCTCACTAGAACTTAGGTACTTCTCTATTTCATTTTCCAAATTTGTTATATGTTGAATTATGGAGTTAGAAATTTTGTTAAAAAAATACTTCAACGTATTTATTATGTCTTCAGTAGCACCCCCACAATAGGTGCTACTGTTATCGCTATCTGTAGAACAACCAACTTTTTGTCTAATTGCTCCATGCAAAGTAGATTTATTATTACTGACAAGGTTTGCTCCTGAAAATTTTGCATCATTACAAAATGGCAAAACTTTAGTTTCCCTTTGGAGGTTCGCTATAGACTCTTCTGTCCCTTTTGTATTTGCACCTGTGGTGTGTACATGCTGATTTGTTCTTACTTGGTTTTCATTTTTGAATGAAGAATCATTTCCCCCTGAGTTGTTGGTATTGTTAGGATCGATTATTGGTGCCACTTCACTCCTGATATGGTGGACAATTTCAATGTTATTTAAATTAAAAATATAATTTATTAAATTCCATAGTAGGTAATGAACTACAACTGATACAACCCCATCACAACAGAACATTATTTTTCTCTTTGCATCATTCAGTATGTTAATGTATAAATTCATAAACTGGTTCATATTTGTTTGAAATTTTTTTTTTGCATTGAGGTTGTCAAAATCGTCCTTTCCGTTTATAGCACTTTTATAATTGTTACATGCATCATTAATTAATTTGACTACTTCATTAATGTAGTTGGTACTGTCTACAATTTCGTACAAGGAATCGCAATAAACTAGAATTCGCAGTTCATCAATAATGCGTAGCTTTTGTTCAAAGAAAGGAAGAAATGAATCCCATTCAATGTTGTCTTTTCTACTAGTGTTATTAAAGCCACTATTATTATGTCTTACGTTAACCTCTTGGTTGGAAATTTCATTTTGCATTGGACTATGTCCATGGTTATTTTTCATTTGATCAATATGTTCTTTATTTGAATTATCCTTTGTTTGCATTATTTCTTCTTTCAATTTACTAATTAAGCAATACAACGATTCGATGGAAATAATTTTTTCAGAAATTGCATAGTGACATGTGGAACTGTAAATTGTGTGAAAGTTGCATAGATTAAGAGATGGACATGGACTATCCTTTAAATTGATGTTACAATTTGTTGTGTTATATTTACTTTGGAAAAAACGATGAGGATTTTTTTGAACATACAGAAAATGATAATTATCTGCATTTTTTTTAATTTCTTCATTATAAAAAATTAAAAAATTGTATAACTGTTTATATTTTTCTTGTTTTTTTATAATAAAAAATATGTTATTTATGCCTAGTCTGTCGTTGTATTTTTTTAAATCTATTAGAAGTTCTTCCATTGTTTCTCTTTTCATAAAATAGGAGCACAACACGTACATGTAAAAATCGATGATTTTGAAAATGTATTGGTTTATTATGTCTTTCAAGTTGGGGAATAATTCTTTAAACATTAAATAATTCTGTAGCGAACATGTAAGCATGTTGCTACTGTTTGATAAAACAATATCAAAGTTAACAATTTCGAACATCTCCTTATTGTTTATCATGTTTTTTGTTTTCTTAAGATTTGTCTCTACGCACGTTTTGTCATAGTAGAGATTGTTTGTTTCTTTACGCACTTGGGCTGTATCAAAGTCAGACTTGGTATATTTACCCCAATTGGGTTCAATAGCCCCTTCGTTACTGAATTTTGACCCTCCCAAATTTGTGACTAACCCTATATTCACATGTTCGGATATTTCCTCTTCAGAGCACAACTCCTCTTCTAACTTTTTGAGATTAAGATTAACTAGGGGGTTTTCCGAAATAGGGGAATTCAAAAAATCATAAAAAGTCTTCTTATAAAACGATATTATATGAAAAAAATGAAACTTCTTTTTAAAAATGCATTGATTTATTTTTACAGGTACCCGAACCCAGTTGTCTTTATTAATGGAGTCATTTAATTTTTTCCCATTATGATAAAAAAAATGGTGAAGATTATCTTTAATTTTATTTTCCATTTCTTCAAAAATAGAATTATTTTTAAGCAAATTGTGGAAGAATTCCGTTCTTTTCTCCTCTACTAGAAGAATTGGAGCATTTTCACTCAGAAAATATTCCATGCACGTTTCTTCCATTTTCGATTGATAATCATTCTTTGTCTGATAGTTTTTCATGTTCAACTCGTTATCTTGGATAGGTGTTTCACTTTTGTATGTTCTTTCTGCGCTACTGTGTCGAGATTGTATATTCACACTTTTGACCAATTTTGTGAAATTATTTTTCCCCTTGTATCCGTAAAAATTTGAGTTTATACTTGACTTTGTTGTGCTTTTTATTTTGGTCTGAACACTTTCATGAATTAATTTCTTTGTTTCTGTTTTTTTATCTGTTTGATGGTTTTCCGCTAAACATTCGTGACTTTCCGCTTCGTTGCGCAGTGTTGGTGACTCTTCTTTTTTTTCATCCTCATTTTGGCTATCCTTTTCGTTACACATTTCAGTTGAACAAATTCCTCTCCATTCACCTTTTTTCAAGTGGTAGATTCGACTATTCGAGCAGTTATTCTCAAAAAGAAATGAATTAACACAAAAAATAATAGTAACGATTGCAAATCGAAAAATATAATGAAAATTGAAATTGTCAAATCTAATATGTTCGATAATCGTTTTTATCACTTTCTCTATATTTTTTAAAAACTTATTTTTAGCACTTATCAATTTGTTCGCATTATCTAGAGCAAATTTTCTGTACGTCTCTGAATTATCATATTGGATATTTCTGTTTTTTAAATATGATTCAACTCGTTCTTGAATTTTTAAAGAATACTCTGCGTAGGTGCTATTTTCTATGTCTACATTTTTTACAAAATATTTTATTAGGGGAGAATAACTACTACCATCATTTATTTGATAGTATTTCGAGATTATCGAATGGTATTTTTCGTTTTTATATTCGTTTAGCATGTCGTAGAATCTAAAACTGTTTCTATGATCAACATATTGGGGGAGATTCTCTTCCCAGTTTGTATCATCCAAGATATGTGTTTCGTTTGACTGAAAGTTGTACTTATATAAATTTTCACCCTCCGGATCATTCTTGTCCATCTTACCAATTTCATCGAACGGTTCATTTTCAAGGACTATACTTCCCCTATTATTGTGATACTTAGAAAATTGGAAGGTGTCGTCACCTACTGAAGAATCCCTGCTATTGTGATTAAGTGATGTGTCCTCTTTTTTTAACCCTCTTGAATCTCCCTTAGATGGTTCTTTTTTTTTATAATTTAATAAATAAATGATGATGGAGTCATATTTTTTCATCACATCAAACACAATTTCGTAAATTTTAAGAAGAGAAGTCAAACAGTTTTTCTCGTTTAATTTTTGCGCCAATTCATTGAGAGGAATAAACAAAAAGTTTGCTTCTTCTTGAATGTGGTTTATATCAATTTCGAATGTATCATTTGGGTTATTCAAAGTTGATGATAAATTGTTATTTATCGTTTTATTTCCTATCATTTTTAATTTGTCTCTATTTTCATATCCAGGGTTAGTCACATCACTTATGTTAGTATCTCTTGGGGAGGAAGAATCATCAACATTTGCTATAAGACGAGATGTTCCTTCGTTTTTTTTAAGGTTTACATTTTGCACTATATTTTTTCTTTGATTTGAACTCTTATTATTTATATCTTCATACATACAATTTTCATACAATGATGGGGTATCATTTGGGCTATGTTCACACGAACCATTTGTTTTTAATTCATAAGTGTCAACTGTTTTTTTTATGTCTTCTTTGTAAAATGAATTTTTTTTATCAAAGTCTTGTGTGGAGTAGTTGCCATTTTCTGCCCCTTTCTGCTGTTTGGTATTTTCTGCTACTTTTTTTGCATCTATCAGATTTTCTTTTTTTTTTTCTTCCTTCTTTTGTTTGTCTCTACTTCCACTCTTCTTGATTACAATTAAGAAGGAAAAAATGACTTGTTTTGAGATTTTTCGAAAACACTGGTATATAAAGGCTAACAAATTTTCGATAAAATTCGAAGGCTTGCTTTTAAAAAGCAAGTAATAAATTTTGAAGGAGTTTTTTAATTGCACTTCAAAATTTTTGTTTGTATTGTTTGAAAATAAGAACTCGACAAAACTTGTTTGATTTTTTTGCTTTAATCTGTCAAAATATTCTAGCATAATTTTTTCCTTTAAATGAAGTATACAATTAATTTTGTCAAGGTATTTGGCATTTGCTTTTATAAAATTGACTAACTCAAAATATACCAAGGAAGCATATTCATAGTCTTTTTTTAAGATACTTTTAAATATTAGTCTATCACATATATATATAATATATATAGTTAATATAACTAAATTAATTTTTTGGAATTTTTTTTTTTTAGTAACAAGATTTATTATGTTTAAACTTTGTCTATATTTTTTGTCTTGCAGAAGTTTTAGCTCTCTAGTATTTTCCACTACTAAGTCATTAATATTTTTTATGAACATTTCTATATCTTTAATTTTGTCTGAAGCTGTAAGAAATTCACTGTATTTTTTTTCTAACTTTTTATATATTACAGTTTCAATTTCTTTTCTTATGGAATTTAATTTATTTATGATTTTCATAATTTCTTCGACATTATACATGTCGTGCACTTTGTTAAATTCTTGTTCAAAGACTAATCTTTCTCTTTCCTCATATACGTGTTCATTAATTGTTCTTTCGCTAGAGAAGTAATTACTTGTGTCTCCTTGCTCTTTTTTACTAACCTTACATTGTTTTTTTTTTCCCGTTTGTATTTCACTCTGCTTTTGATTCTTCAGTTTGTTCCTTTTGATGTCTCCATCATTTATAATTAAGGGTTGCAATTCACTGTGGTCACCTGTGTTCGCTTCACCTATTTGCAATTCATTGCATTTTTTTTTCCTATATATATCCGCATCATCGTTAGAATAGAAATAAAATTCATTTCCTGTGAGACGATTTATGCTAGTAATTGTGTCGCAAAAAAAAATTTGGTGGTTTGCATTTTCTTCATTTTCCATTTTCTCCATATAAGTTCATGTGCATATGTGTGTGTGCATATATGGCTGTATACATGGGTTTGCTACATAATTGTGTGTATAGAGAATTCTGCATTTACTCATGTACTTTTGGGGATTTATATATGAGCATGCACATATTCCTATATACACTATTTCGTCTTGTTCTTTTTTTGTGCGTCCCATGTGGATGGAGTAAGGATATAGCATAACATGTGGGTTTACCCTAAATTCCTTTTTACAAAAATCAGAGAAATGGAAATAGGTGGGTTGCATTGGACGATTGGGCTAAATCAAACATAATTTCCCCCTTGTGTGTATGTGTGTTTTTATTTCATTCATTTAAAAAATTTCTGTTCCGTATAATAGTAGTGGTGAGGGCATGATTAAATTATGTAAGATACAAAAACAACAAAAAAAAAATAAATAAATAAAAAGAAGCGGAAAAGAATTAGACTTTCATTTTGAAATATAAAATGTCCCCACTTATATATATATTTTACTGATATGTAAATTGTTTAACAGAGTGTTTGCCTCTTTTTGCGCATAATTACTTTTTTTATAAGTTGATCATAATGCCAATTTTAAGAAAACTTGTATTTCTGCAAACGATTAAAACAAAAGGACTTCAATTTTTAAGGACAATTCAGCAAAAACAAATCGATAAAGTAAATATACTGTGAATACTCCTTCAATGCAATTGTGTTTGGGAGAACTATGGAGAAATCAAGGATAAGAAGAAGAACGATTTTAATGAAAATGAAAGATGTGAAAACACATATGCATGCACCACTTAAGCAATATGTGAGTAATGAAACATAAAGTACAATTATCTATACATTTAAAAAAAAAAAAAAAAAAAAAAAAGCATATTTTAAAACTGACATTTTTCCACATATGAATTAAATGAAGGTAACTCCAACTGTGCTTCGTCACAACATTTCATCCACATTTAAAGCATGTTCAAAATTGGGTTTAGTGCTAAATGCTACATTTTCATATTGAGAAGCAGGGAATGCATTTTAAATCATGTTCTATGTTTAAATAAATGATAACCCATGTAAGGAGCACAATTATGTAACAGAGAAGTTATTTTAGAAAGCCCATTACATATATTTTTACACTTTTTTGACTTTTTTTTTTTTCGTATTTGTGACTTAAGAAGGGATTTGAATTCTTCCAACTTGACAACATAAATTTCAGCAATACATTTGATAAGGGGGAGGGGAAAAATGAAGTAGAATATATGGAATTAATATGACACGCTTCTAAAATCAAGGAACAAAAAAAAAAAAAAAAAATTAAAGCAAATTCATAAGCTAATATTTTCTCCAGCCCCTAATTACTTACAATCTCTCCTTTGTGAGGCATATGCATGTTCTTAAAATATTATACGGATGTGTAAATACAATTGATGAATTTGTCTATGATTACCATTTTTTTTTTTTTTTTTTTTTCGTAATTTTATTTTTCTTTATTTTGTTTTATTTTATATTTTTTCCAGTTTAATAAGAAAATTTCATAATTTAAAACACGCAACAGGAGTCTTGTGCAGAATAAAATCTATACACTGTGCTCAATTATGAAACACTCTATACACATATACATACTTAGGAAGACGTAAATTTGTATGAGAAAAATTTTGTCCTAAAAAATAAGAAAATTTGTTAATAAAGTTCTCCCCCTTTTTTACTTTATTTTTTTCAATAAAACAAATTGAAGATATTATGAGACTGTCTTGCTTGAAGTTAATTTTAATCACATTCGTGTTTACAACATTTTGGAATAAACTAAAATCTCAAGTAAAAAATGGGAAACTTATTTAACTAAACTATGTACATATGTAGATGCAAATATCCTGTTTGTAAATGTGATTGATTTAATATTTATTTTTCCTTTTTTTTTTTCGTTTTTTTTCGTTTTTTTTCGTATTATTTCATCACAAAAACAATGGGACTGAATCTTTAAATCAGGTACCAACTGACATGTCTGAAGAGGAGAAAGAAAATATTTATGAAGAGTTTGTGGATTATGATTTAAACAGAGATGGTAAGTTAATTTTTTAAATCATTCTCAAAACTCATAAATCGAAAGTTCTTTTTTTTTTTTTTTTAATAATAATTAAATGTTATCAAATTAACTTGTGTGTACTTATGTAAACGTTTGAGTGATTAAATTGAATCTCTTTGGAAAACACATAATGCTGTTATTATGTAATACCAGAAAACATTTATTAAAAAAGATTTTAAAAACTATTTTTATAAGTCTGTTTATTTTTCCGTTCAACAATTAAAAATATAATTGCAGTTACCAACATATGTGCAACTTTTTGCTTTACTTACATGTTCAATACTTATGCATATTGTGTATGTATTTACGCATTTACCTGTTTCTTTCTTTTTTTTTTCTTTTTGAAGGCCTTATTGATGCGGAAGAAATTTCAATAGTTTTAAAAAATATGAAAAAGCCAGACTTTATAAAATTTTTTACCAAAGTAGATTTGGACTCCTCAGGAACAAGTACGGATGTGTTTTATGTTTAATATGTATGGAGACAGTTGTTATTAGGCAAATACGACCCACTAATTACCATTTATAGATTTTATACAACGCTTTTATTTATTATTATTATTTTTTTTTTTTTTACAGTTTCAATTAATGAATATATGATATTTATAAGCTCAAACTGAGAGGCTAGTGTGGTAAAAGGAGGGACTTTTAATACGAACAGAATAGTTTTTCGAATTTATGAAGTTCAGTTTTTATGGTTTTAACAAATATGATAAAAATAATTCAGCAGTTGATTGTGTTCGTTTAATTAGACAAGGCACACATTTCTGTGTAAGTATTGGAGTGTACATAACTTTTGGTTGTCTTTTTGCTCCAATTTGTTGTGGGTTTTACTATAATATTTGGAATATTAGAAAAATGTAACAAAATAAAATGAAACAAAGGGGTAACATGGGATAATACCACATAAATGAGGCTTTATAACCATATGTGACATACCTTATTATTATTAATTTTTTTTTTTTTTTTGAAAAATTCATTAAAGCAAAAATATTGCACATTTTTTTTTTTTTTCACTTAATTGTTAAAGTATAAAAGGAAAACCAAACTTTTGAAGAAAAGAATTTATCAAAAAGGTAGATCAATTTATTTCATCATATCATCATTTGGTCAATTGTTTGGATTAGAAAAATTCTAGAAACATAAGAAAATTCTTGAAAACATTTTTATATACACGTAACACTTTGTTATGAAAATATGTATATTCATATAAATGTGCCATTTCAAGTGGTGTAGGGGTTTATTTGCATACCGACAAAAGCATGTAAATAAAAGTGTCCTTTAGTGTAATGTGTTATGTGTTCATAATTTTTTATAATCCTCAAATTTTTTCATAAAAAAAGAGGGGCGATGAAAACACCACAAATATGGAACACTATAATGTTTGTTTTATTTCGTTTTAATTAAGGGATAAAAAAAAAAAAAAAAAATTACACAAATGTAAGACTTAAGAAAAAACTAAAATCATTTCACATGAATCGAATTCTGATCAGCTTCCTTCAGTATGATAAACCTGAAGTAGACGCTCGTGCATAAAACAATGAAACTTCATTTTATATATAAAGTGAAACCAAAAAAAAAAAAAAAAAAAATGTGAATATTGCAGATAGTTTAGCAAATATTTTATTGCACTTCTTAGCTTTTATTTTTTTTATTTTACCTTAACAAATTGGTTCTAAAATTTAATTTTTTAAATAACAAGAGAAGAAATTATCATACCCAATATTTGCGTTAGTATTTATGATATATTTTATGAGTGCTCATGTAAAAGTAAAAATATAGAAGTTTTCATAATACTTTATATTTTTCCCAATATGAAGTCGAACGCGTTTTATCTTTAAGTATATAAAAAAAAAAAAATATATATGTATATTAAAAAGTCTTATTTTTATGCTTAATTTATTATTTTTTTTACTTTTATTTAATAAGTAAAAAAATCCGATGAACCGGAATCGAACCGGTGACCAACAGATAACCATTACAACTACAGTCTGCCGCTCTACCAACTGAGCTATCATCGGTACGTATAATTTCGATATCTTGAAATATAATGCTACAATATATATATATAATAATAGCGCACAATGATGCTACAAGATTCTTATAATTAAATGTGAATTTTTCTTTTTTTAATCTTAGCAGCATTCATGCGAAAGCTATTTTTTTCCTAAAATACAATTATAAATGAAAACATATTTTAAAAATATAATAAATGCCTAATACTTTTTCTTTTTTACTTATGAAAATATATTTAAAATTTTTATATTTCTTATAGATGCTTAAACTCGAATTCGCTTCTGCTTAAGAAGCACAAAGTTGGATCATCATTTGTGAATATTTTTGTACTCTTATAGTGTAGAGAACGTATAAATTTTTGTTAGGCAGGGATCTACGTTTTTTTTTGTATGAAAATATGAATGCGCATAATATTTTCTGAAACTATATATACCAATAAACAATTTACTCGTTAACTTTGCATGTAGATAGTTTTTGTTAAGGGCGACTAGCTCAAGTGGTAGAGCGCTCGCTTAGCATGCGAGAGGTACGGGGATCGATGCCCCGGTCGTCCAAACTTTTAGTAAATTTAATTATGAATATTGTAATATTAATTATTGATAGGGGAGAAAATTATAATTTATTTGAGTAGTAGTTTAATATTCTGTTTTTATATATTTTAAAATATCATGACGTATTGCATAAATGGATGAAAGAATAATTAATATTATGAATTATAAATATTATAAGTAATTCTTAAGAAGCAAATTTTATTTTACTTATGGAAATCATGAGCAAGATAATGAAAATTTTTATGCTATATTATTCACAAGTGTGAAATTATATATTTAAAATTATTTTTTATCCCTTGAGCTTTGAGTAATTAAATTTAAGTGAGCAAAAGGATTCACATTTTTTATGTAATAGAGAGTTGTAAAATTCTTAAAAATATTTAAATGAATTAAAATTTGAAGCCATAAATGCTTATTTTATTCTTTTTATATTTACTAAAATTGTTTTAATAGGATTTAAATGAATGCACGTATGAACAATGGAAAAAGAAGTAAATTTTTTAAATTGTATAAGGACGGAAAAGTGTTCTTATTATGCCTGAAAATTATTCAAAAAGATTTGTTTCTTTTTTTGTTTTTTTTTTTTTATGATGGTAAACATTTTTTTTGGATTTTCCCAGATATGGAAACACATACATTAAGAAGATTATATGAACTTTTTATTCATTTATTTTTCCTCGTCTCTATTTTAGTCTCAAGAACGCCAGTAGTTTTGGGCTTATTAAAAAAAAAAAAAAAAAAACAATTTTCGTGTATATAGCAAAATAAGGATTGATAAAGGGTGAAGAGAAAATAGAGCTTAATTTACTACCTTTTTTTTTTTTTTATAAAGGTACTAAGAATCCTTTTTTATTTAATTCTGTTTATCAAACCATGATAAAAATGTTACTAGACTTGTGGTCAGATAACTCTTACGAGCTGTGTCTCTCAATGAGTAAATTTTTTTTTTCATCTTTTTTTTTTTTTTTTGTACAAATTGGTAGATTAGTTCTGCTACAACTTATATTTTTACCCTTTCAAAATTTTAGTTTATCAATTGTAAAGCTTTATTATAAAAGTTAGATTCCATCACAAAATAATATGATATATATTTCTTAAAATGAATGTTGAAATAATGGTCTAAAAATGAGAATTATGGTTACTGCAATGGTTTCATATGGATCGAACAAGTAGAATCCTTAGTGCAGTGATAAACGGACCTTTATTAGGTTAGGAAAATATATTGACAATTGATCGTTTCAATATTTATAGTGTCTTAAGTGGGATTTCATGAGAAATTTATGAGAACACTTCCGTTCAGTTCTAATGACATTTTAAAAGAGCATCCGTGAAAGCACAAAATTTTTAGAGGTAGCAGTTTTTCTACCCCCTTTTTTTATTAATAATATTTAGGCAATTTGGAACAAAAAAGCGTAAGTTACATGAATCAGGGAGACGAAAATAATTAAGGTTGTTTTTTTTTAATTTTATCTTTTTTTAAAAATAAAAAATGGAACAGATGAATTTAAGAAACTAGAAGTTGTTGAATGGCTCTACAGTAAAAGCATTATAAAGTGAGAAGGAAAATTTAGAAAACGTTTTGAATAATATTAATGTTAATCCTTTTTACGATTATATTAATCTTAATAGTTTTTTTCTGTTTTTCATATTCTTTTATTTTTACATTTCATTATTACCTGAGTAAAAACGTTCTACATGCAACAGCACGGTAGTCAAAAGATAACTTTTGTCCTAATTTTCCCTTTTTACGCACAAGACACCTATTGTATATGTTATTTTTATTAAAAAAATTATTCTAAAAAAAAATATAAACACATTTTTAACAAATGTAATTCTACAACTTACATATAGAAGGTTCAAATGGTAAAAAAAAAAGAAAAGAAAAAGAACTTTTCACAGACACTTGGATGTAACATGTGAGATTATAACAAAAACAAAGAAATTTTAAAATAAATTAGGAAGTTATATTTTTTATATGTCTTATTTTTCAGGTGAAATAAATAAATATATTACATGCATATCTGTGTGTATTTTTTCCTCTACTTTAGCACACATGTTATGAAAATGTGAGGTCAATGTTAATGAAAACGAGGAAGATGCGCAACATTGCCAGACTTGCGAAATATGCATGATTCTATATTTATGTCACACAGAGAAAAGTATTCACTTCTACATTTGACTATTTTTTTTAAATTTTATGCATATTCATTAACTTGCCTCATATAGTTTAACAATAAGAAGGTTTTAGTATGAATTGTTAATAAGCACCTTTCTTTCGAAGTATTTACTAGCAAAAAGTGGTTTGGAAATAGAAATTTGTGTACATACATATACATTTCAAGATACATTTATGAATATATTTTCAATTGTATTTAGTATATTGTCGTATTCTTTTTATTGAACTTCTACATAGTGAGATACCAATATTTTTATAATTCGTTTTAGAGTGTATGGTTCATTAATAAAAACAGAAAAAAAAAAAAAAAATAGCATAAAGCACAAGCTTAATAGCTAAAAACATAAAACAAAAAGCTATAACGCTTTATAAAGTTATATAAAAATACAAAAAAAAAAAAAAAGGAACAGCATAAAATATAAACTTAAAGCTAAAAACATAAAACAAAAAACTATAACACTCTATAAAGTGATATACAAAAACAAAAAAAAAAATGTTATAAGATAATAAAGGAATGGTTTTCGTGGATCTGATTCTATGAACACACGTTACCTATAGATGCCGCATGTTTTTGTGTTAAAAATACTATTAGGACTTTTAAGGAAATATTAATTGTGCTTGAAAAAAATTGTAAATAGATTTTTTTTTTTTTTTTTTTTTCTTTATATTTGGTGCTTGTACTAAAAGGGGGAGTGAATTGGGTACAACCATATATCACCCACAATATTTGTCTATATTATATTAGCTATGTGAATATATTTGATCTCCTCTAAGTTTTCTCCCCTTGCAGCAAATAAGTACACAGTTGTATTAATATTAGTATATTTGCAAGTACATGAATGTAGTACACACCTATACGACGACAGCACAGACCGCAAGATTTAATCTTCCTCTTGTTCATAGGGGATGTCTTCTTCAATTGGCTTATGGGGGTGCTCTTTATTCCATTCCATCAGTCCGGGACATGCTGAGGCTTCCAATTTTTCATATGACTCTAATGATGCGCCTTCTGGAGGTCCTGCTTGCCACCATTTTATAGTATAGGCTTCTCCTTTCCAAATAACGATGGATCCATTTTGATAATCAGTGTTAAAGTAATGAGCTGCTTTTCCGTTACATGCTTTTTCGTAACATATTTTGACCAAGTCCCATTCGTATCTATCAACACCAGGAGCGCGAGTTGAATATGACCTAGTTTTCCATATGGCACCATTATGCTTATAGTATACTCCTGCTTTGGGGATAACGAGTCCAGAGACATATTCATCTATACTGTTACAGTCATCTGGATTATGAGTTATGACTATATCCTTGGGTTGTTGGACTTGCGGGTTTAAATGTTTCCAAACATTTGTAACAAATGCATCTATATCATATGACCCTCCTGGCAATTGTTCTTTCATAAACAGATGCCATATTCCTACTCCATCAGCCCTATTGTGTTTGTGATTTTCATCATGAATCGTTTTCGATACTAATTCTAATAATGCTTTGTCATCTGGACTAAATCCACCTCTATTGTGCTCTAATGAAAATCCTAACAATACAGTGATATTATATTTTAATCCAAAATATAGATGGGATAAATACATATCTACCATTATGCTTGGGTTTGTTGTTTCTAAATTGTATGTCTGAATAAATACAAGATCAATTTTTTCCTTTGCTGTATTAAAAATATTGACAAATGTTCCTGTAGACAACATGGTTGATGCTTTATATAATTCTTCGTTTTTACCCATTTGTTGAGATAGAAAGTTAGTGTTATATGGTGAATCATTGTCTTTACAAAATGTTTCATTTACTGATACACACGATAATGCCGCATTAGATGATCCAGATATGGAAATTACTTTTTCTTCCGGGATGCTACTTCTTATTACGTTAATTAATTTAATATAGTAATTTGAGAAATCTAGTTCGTTTAAATTGTTAAAGCTGCCATGTGGTTCCCAATCAATATCTACACCATCTAAATCAAAATCTTTTACAAGCTTAACTATCTGTTCTACATAATCAATATCTTTTGTTATATCTATCATATATGTTTCTCCTCCTAATGATAGAATTAAGATAATGTCTGGGCGAGCTTTCCTTATACGTCTGATTTCGTTTAACATCACACCATAAGTTTCATATTCTAATCCATGTTTCTTTAACAAAAATTTCTGTTTTCCGTTGAATGGTCTAGATACATCATAAAACATATTTATACGAGCAAAAGCAATGTAAAGTATTGATACCATTGGGTTAGAATCAGTCATCTGCTTTCCTCTATCACCTTGACTATTCCATGAGCCATAATATCCTGCAATTATACCTTGTTTTCTTTTTTTATATTCCTCTAAGATTACTCTTGGAGGTTTTCTATCATGGTTATCAACTGCTCCACTTTCTCCTTCCGTTTGGCTTCCATTCCCATTGTCATTTCCACCCCCGTTACCGCTTCCATCCTCCGTTTCGTTTCCATTTCCACTGCCGTTTTCACCCTCAGTTTCGTTTCCTCCCTCAGTTTCGTTTCCTCCCCCAGTGCCACTTCCTCCATCAGTGCCATCATTGTCTATATACCTACATTCACAAATGAATTTTTTTGAATGATCCGTGTAGGATCCAGAGTAGGCTGAATGACTGTGTGATTTTATTAATTGTACATTACTTTTTCCATCCAAAGATACATTTAGTAGGTGATTGCCTCCTCTGTTATTGCTACCCTTAAGGCTTAGGGAGTGGACACAGTACAGCATCAAAGTGATTACTAAAAAAAGGGACTTAAAAGAATTCATTTTTTTCAAAGTGTAATATATGTAAATGAAAATGTTACGTAAATAGAAGAATTAAAGAGGAAGATGGAAAAAAAAGATTAAAAAAATGTAAAGACAAAAAAAAAAGAGGAAAAGTTGAGAATGCTGAAAAAAACAAAAAAATGTGGAAAAAATAGGAATCGTTAAAGAACAAAAATGTTGAAAAAATAAAAAATATGTAAGGACAAAAAAGAAAAATTAAGAACTTAGAATAAAAAGAAGTTAACAAAAATAAAAAACAATTAGATTAAAATAAAGTAAATAAATTCATAAAAATTAAATTAAAAGAAAAATGTAAAAATAGCAACTTTTAAATATTCACTAATTTATCTAGCTACAATAACAAGAACAAATTTTTTACAACTAAAAAAAGTTATATTTAAAAAAAAAAAGTAGCTATATTAACATAGTAGTCCGTACCAGTTACACATGGTGAAAAAAGGATAGACATGTATTAAAAAAAAAAAAAAAAAAAAAAAACGCATGGGAATAGCGTATAGCTACATATGGAAAAAAAAGGCTAGACGTATATTAAAAAAAAAAAAAAAAAAAAACATGGGAATAGCGTACAGCTACATATGGAAAAAAAAGGCTAGACGTATATTAAAAAAAAAAAAAAAAAATACATAACAGCCATGTACAGCTACATGATGAAAAAAAAGCTAGACTCACATTCAAAAAAAAAAAAAAATTTATGTGAGAGATAGCTAATTATTAATAATGGTGAGAATACACTGCATATAGATAGAGCTTTAATTTTTTATAAAAACCTAAAACGATATTAAGAGTAAAGAGGATTTACCTAGCTGTAAAATAAGTTGATACATGACATAGCAAGTAATCATTTCCAATTTAAATATATTGTAGTATGGTGTTAGATGTTCATTATGCCATTAAATTCTTTGTATGTATAAGTGTGTCTTAACGCCTATAGAGTTAGGAATTATATGTAACAAGTCAAATTAGTGTATTTTTCTATAATAATATAATCATGTAATTTTATTTTTTTTTTAGAAAAGTATACAATTAACTGTGCAACTCTGTGTTTTCTCATCTGTGCACATGTTCCATTCAGAAAGATACAAGCATGATGACAACAAATGTGCGCAAAAAAAATAGTGTGCATGTAGATTAAAATTATGCATGCATATTAAAAAACTGAAAAAATTAAAATTCATTAATAAAATACCTGATTAGAGTAAATAATATATTTAGTAGTGAAATTTATCATTCAAAATACTCAAATGTTGTTTATCTGCCAAAATTAAACATGCAGCAAAAGTAATCTAAAAATAACTATTTTATTATTTTCACTTTTAACAATGATTACAATGCACGGAGTAATATAAAGCTTCATTTGTTTTGTTTTTTTTTTACATTATTTACGATTGACAACAAAGAATTGTGCATCGTTATAATATGAAATGAGTGAAGCATTAAGTAATATTCTTTGTCATGTAAAAAATAAAAAGAACACATTTCGAGGAATAGCAGATGTGAAGAAAAGAGTATTTGTTATTTTTTGTTTTTAGGTGAGATTAGACTGTTACATTGATTAGCAAAAATGATGATAATGTATATTCAATTGATATTTAATTTGTGTAAAAAAAAAAAAAAAATTCTAAACATCCCTCAATTTGGTTTGTTTAAAAATGAGAATATTTCCTAAATCATTTTGAAAAAATAAAATTGATAGACTACTTTTCATCAGTGGTGCAAACTTAAAGCTTTTATTTTTGATAAAAATATGAACATCTCCCTACATAAAACCTTTATTTTTTTTTTTTCTATATATAATAAAATAAGTTATAAGACATGAGACAGTGTAAGCTATATGATATATATATGTAGTTTTATAATTTAACATGGTGAATTTCATTTGATGCCATTATTATTAGGAAGAAAGCTTTTGAAAGGCGTCAGAGGGACAAATTCTTTTAGCTTTATAAGGTTATGGATATGAAAAAAAAAAAAAAAAGCATATATTTAATAATTTTAAAAGGCTTAGAATTGTAAAAAAAGATTAAAATCATTAGTAATTTTTACAGAGTTGCTTGTCTTCTATTTTATATTACTATTTTAATATTTTTTAATGTATTTGTGTATTTTTTACATTATAAAAAATTGAATATGGGGGAGGAAGAATCTTTGTTGCTTATATATTCATCGAAAATTAAAAACCTTACATAAATGGTTATTTCGAAAAAAACAATTTTGTAACAACAAAAACTGTAGCAGCATGTGCCGAGGGGGTAGTTGGAATAGACAAGGAATTTTGTTTTTGTTGCTGTTATTACCATAAAAATGTGGTAATGCATAAATGTATTTCATTTGATAAAAAATGTGTTTTAAGGGAACACGGAAAATATGAATCAAATGATTCTCAAATGAACAAAATCACAAAACCAGACTAATCTTGCAAATAAGACAAATGAGAAAAACGAACAAAATGAAAAAAAAAGATTTGATCATCAATAGGACATAAAAAATATATATAATTTTTAAAGGCACATTTTTTTGTAACATAAATATATATTAATTAATTTATGAAAAATAAAAATATTAAAAATGTCTTATGTATTGGAGGGGGGAGGGTTAGGATTAATGTATTTTTTTTGGATTTACAATAGTAAACTTTACAATAATTCCTGTTTTATCATGAATAAAAGGTATTTAGAAGGTGTGCACTAAATGTAAACAAAATTAGGAAAATAAAGGTTTACATGTATATTTACATATTGGTGGGTCGCTAAATACATTTAAAGCGGCTATTAAATATTTACACATAAAAGAGCTATTTTAACTTAAAAATACAATGCAACAAGAACAATAAATAAACTAGTAAATGGATGAATAAAGTCATGAATAAAGTGTAAAAGGTGATTCTCACAAAATTATATATCCCACACTTATCAGTATAAATCCCTGATAAACAAAATAGTACTACATTATTATTATTATATATGTTGAACATTTTATATGGTTATTGTTTTTTACATTTTAATAGAACTTGTGATTAAATAGAATTATACATTCTATATCATTTACAAAATATTTCCCCCCATCTTGTCTTTAAAATCTAAAGTTAGGGAAAGCAAAAAAAAGAAGCAGGATTTGTGCACTATCTCCGGTGTCCACGAAAAAATATTCATGTCAAATTTTCAAACAGGGTATTATAATGGACATTACGTCTAATCTTTATAAAAATATATATAAATGTAAATGTCTTTTAAATTTCTAAACATATAGGACAAAAAGGAAAAGGCCAATTTAAAATTTACTTTCTAGGAAAATGTATTTATATATACATTTTACTTATTTTGACATAAATAAGTATAAAAAAGAGAATTTTATAATATATACGAAACACTGTTTTTTGAAAATAAAACTTTTGAGTTTTACAAATTTTGAGTTCTTTAAAAAATGGCAAACAAAAAGGAAACAAATTAGTTCAATTGAATGTTTTTATGCAAACTGTATTTAATTTGTAAAAAAGATAAACAATTTCCGTCGAGTATGAGGATTATCACGAAAATTTTCATAGAAAATTTACAAAAAGTTATTACCCCTTTTTTAGATTATAAATAGAAAATGTTAAAATGATACTAAACAACTGCTAATTTTTATAGGACAAAAAAATAAATAGAGAAAACATATTCTTTTTTAAATAGAACAGATTATAAAATAAATATTTAAAAAAATAAAAATGATCCATTTTGTAGTTTTGGATAGTTTCCAAACATATTTAGTTTATTTTTTTATGCAATGTTGCTATTGTTTTATCGATGAAGGAATTTTACAATTTGTTAATTAGAAAAAATAATTTTATTTTATTTTTTCTAAAGAAAATTCCTGAACTGGATAAAAAAAAAGTTAAAAAAAAAAACGAGGTAATAACAATTATTTTAAAGTTTTATTTAAAATAACAGGATTTTATCCCCCCCTATTACATTATCCTAATGTATATATACATATACAATATTACCACGGTTCATTTTATAATGTATATTTTACCTCAAACATGTATGCACTTGGAAGGAAGAAAATGTTATGTGCATGCGTAAATGGATTTATTTACTGAAATTTTTAATTATATTTTTTACTGTAAAAATATTAAATGAAAACGCTCCAGAATTTCTACAATGCTTGCAGATACCATTATATTTAAATTTATGTGGTAAATTAAAAACTTATTTTATAAATTTATTTTGAAATCATAGCAAACAGAAAATTTTAAATGTATATTTATACTAAATTAGGATATTTTAATTTTTTCCAGAAAAATTATTCCTCATTTTTTTTTCTTGATATATAAAACATTTGCACCTTTAAGTATATACTAGAAATTGTATTTAAAAAAAAAAAAAATATATATATATGTAAATAATTATTACATAGAGTGATTTTATAAACATATAAATGAAGACATGAAAAGGAGAGTTAACAGAAATTAACAGATTTTTCATATCTATTACTTTCTAACGTACATATAAAATAGGTATAGCTATTTTTATTTTGTTTTGTTTTTATATATACGTTATTTGCATATTTATGTACATTTCACTGCTGAAGTTATTGAAAGGAAAAAAATAAAGGAGGAATTTTTTAAAAGTTCTCTTTTTCGTGTTTCAATTTTTAACTTTTATATTATTCACAATTATATTGGTTAATTTCTGCTGTTATGTTATTGTGTCGTCATTATATAAATGTCATATTTTCTGAACCTTTTAAAATTTAGGAATATTTTTTTCATTTCAAGACTGTTTTAAATTACGAGCACAAGAAAATATAATCATAAAAAATAAAAATGGTTTTGAGTATGTTTAAATTAACGGGTAGCTCCAATACCCCAGCACCGAACAATGATGCAAATATAATAAGGTCTGCTCTTGGAGCGTATAGTCAACATAGTAGAGATACCTGGTTTTTTACGGATCCCCGATTTTTGCAAGGTGTCTTTGTTGGTATCCTAATGTTTTATATAATGCTATACTATACTCGTAGATACAAGAATAAGGTAAGTTATTGTATTCACATAACACACACTTTTTAAAAACAGCTAATGTTTTGTAAGATTGATCATTGAGAGGGTTTCCTTTGGACTGTCCACTTGGCATCTACTTAGGCAGTTTTTGGTTCATAATATCATCCCACTTTTCCTGCTTTACATATTACAGGTAAATACTGTAGGAAGTAATGACTCTTTTGCATATGTCACCACACCAAATCAAATGCCATATCGTGAAACTTATGAAGGGCAAATGCAACGTTAGGAAAAAAAATGGAAGACATAAAATATTATAAAAGAGAAAAAACATATCGGTAATATATATAGTTGTTTGATGATTAAATAACTAAAGGGGAATATACAACTTGTATTTTAGACGTACCTCTATTGTAACCCTTTGCCTGAAGAGCAGTATTAGAAGTTTTTATGCGTGCCCCTACCCATGTATATGTATATGTTATACATTATATACCCTTGTCTTATTATCCATTCATATAAATTTTTGAAACGTGAGAAGTATTATATGTATATTTTTACTTACATAGGAATATGTAACATATAATAAAACCCTGTTTCGTAAGGGTGTTGTCTTTTTAATGCATAGGAACCCCCTGTATTTTAGTTAAAATTTATGTTATGAATTAATTTATTATAATGTTATACTTTTTTTAAAATAAAAAAATTAATATTTTTCTTTTTTTTTTCGATGAAAATGTTACATCATGTATATCACATTTTAAAGAATTTTTTGTTTTTTTTTTCTTTATTAGCTAAACCAAAAAAAAAAAAAAAAAAAAAAAAAGAATCATACGTATTTTTTACATACATTACAATATTGTTTGTGTTAAACTTTATATTGATATCTCGAAGATAAATGAATCAGAGCATAAAATGTTAAAATAAAATTTTATTATAACTAAATTTGTACTTTTGTACGAAGTAAAGCTTAATTATACACACATAAGTGTATATATATATATATACTTGAATAGCCCTTATTCAGAAAGTAGAATGAAAAAAAATTTCTATTAATATAATACGAAAAATTGAAAGGGTATTCGTCAACTATACATTACTTTTTCTAAACGTACAAATTAGTTGTCCTTTTTACTTGATAAAAAAGAATGAAAAAAAAAATTTTCTTTTGAGATTGTCACCATTATGCACATGTTGAAATTATTGTATATCAGGTGGTGAACAACTTTTTTTTTTGTATCCTTGCTGAATAATTAATGTTTATTTCACAAAAAATATATTGTAATTATATATAGTTCTGAACATTTACTACATTCAAGTGAAAGTACTTCTACTAAATGTTAGTATGTGCTACACCACTACCCTATATATATGCAACACTTGTTTGTACACTAAGTTTGTTCTTAGCACGTTTCCTTTCTTTTATTCAGGCCAATATTAAACTTCCTGTTATAATGTTATATTGCAATATATTTGTGTGAGCGAACTGTTCCAGCGTTTGATCATTTGTTTTGCTAATTTTGTGTCTATAAGACATATAATAGAATATCAAACTTTGTTTTTTTATTCGCTCATTACGCTTTATTGGTCTAATGAAATGACGTTGTAAAATGTCTTCTTACTAACGTTTTTAACTTAGAGACAATGATTATATATCCATGTTTTATTAAAAAAAAAGGCATTAAAGAATTGTTTTGAAGAAAAATAACATGAAAAAAAAAAAAAATTTATTCCTCGTGTAATGTTAAAACATAATGTTTAGAAACAAAATTTAAAAATGTAGAAATATAAAATTATCGATTTCTTATTTCTTCTTGTATTTATTATTTTATGTTGTGCTTTTTCAAGATTGGGAATGAGTTTTATACCATGGCATATAATTTACACTAATATTAAATTAACTCTTTCGTTATTTTTTCGAAGAAGTAAAAAGAAAAAAAAAAAAGGAACTGGATACAACAATTAATATAGTTTCTTATGTTTGCCATTATTGAGGCTATTGTGCCATACATTATAATTTTGGAAAATAAAAAAACATTAGTTTTGTGAGATTTTACACTTTGGTTACTCTTTTAGCAGGCATAATGTATGATTTATATATAATGTTAACAATAGAAAGAATTAAACACATCAAATGAAAAAAGCAAAAGAACATTTAAATAATGGAGAAATTTTATAATATGACCATGGTGAGACATAAAATGGTAATTCTTATTTATCTATTCTTATAAGAATTTATAACATTTTGGAGAGGTAAGAACAAACGGAACATGCATTTATACTACGAAATGTGAGCACACATTTAAAAAAAAATGTAAAAGATAGTAAAGAAAAACTTAATAGAAACACTTGAACGTCATAGATGTAGAGAATAGTTGTATCAATCTAATGTGATTACTAAAAAAAACTTTCTCGTATATGTGGAAGAAATAGAGAACAATGAAATTATAAGCTGGCTTTTTGCTGGATAAAATTTAGTTACTTAGATGGCACTGTTGTAACAAAAAAATATGCTAATGCCTGATATATCATTTTGGTGGGGGCATAAATTTTTTTACCTCAAAAGTAAGTTTTTTTTTCTCTTTATATTCCCACGTAGCATAAGCAAAAAATAAATCGAACAAGGAAACCAAATCACTTGTATAGGTGCAAATTTTTTTTATGTTTTTTTAGATATTTTGATTTTTAAAAAAGACACTCGGAGAGTTTTAGTTGTTGTGGCCAAAAGTAATATACATGGTACAAAATTGGTAAATTTAATAACAAAATTTCATTTGAAAGTTTTTCTTATTGACTCATTACATCACTGAGAAATTATTATCACTTTAAAATATAAAATATACTACATAAAAATAATTATTTCTTTGGGGAATATAGAAAGGCACAATGTTCATAAATCACTTCGTGCAGACATGTCATTTTCTAAAACATAGGAATATTTATTTGAAGAAACAATAATTTATATAAATATTAATGTACACATAAATATGCATATACATATATATATGTATACAATATTTACTTAATTACATGGCAATGTAAATTTTAATTAAAAAGGAATGGGGGGGGGAGGAGGAAATAATACATATATATATATATATATATATATATATATATATATATATATATATATATATAAATATAAGTACAAAACATATTACTATTAGGTAAAAAAGGTATATGATTATATATGTTACACTGTACAAAAAAATATACATATTAAATACGTGTTAAATGATGGAAAAAAAATTCACAATGGATGGAACGGTGTGGGAGTTAATTATGTATACAAATATATATATATAAATAAAATAATACAATGTAGATATACATATGTGAAATGTAAAGAACCTCAAAATAAATTGCTGTAACGCTTTTCTGTGTTCGTTTTTTTGGATATGTTTCATTTCATACCATTTTATTTATTTATTCATTCATTTGTTTATTTATTGTTATCATTTTTTTTTTTTTAACGATTAGGACACCATAACATACAGCTATTTCATAATGTATCAAATTGTTCATCTATTGTCGTCCATCGTTTTGCATTTTTTATTAATCTTAAATGGGTTTATGCTATATATCTATTTGTAGCTTACATCATTTTACCATCCTTCATATGTGATTGATATCTTACAATTCTTAATAATAAGTCTTTGTAATAATCACATTTGTTGTATGACATGTAATCCCATGCTTTTAAACTGACTAATATGGCAGCAACATAAATAAACATATTTATTAAAAATTGCATTACATTCCTGTTGCTTATTCCAAGTTGATTTAGTATGTTTAATCGTTGGTCTTGGTTTCCAGTAAGATTTATCATGGTTGGATTGGCGGATGCTCCATAAGCTTGTCTCTGCTCTTCTGACTCTTCATATTGACGTGCATATGGAGAAGTTGGGTCAGGTTTATCAAAATTCTTTTTTGGATACATTTTCGGTTACTGTATTATTAAAAATAAAAAAAAAATTTACTAATAACTCGTTTTATATTTAAATTTTATATTTTTATTCTGAATAGTATATTCAGTAGAATGACTGATGATTCTTTTATCACTATTTCTTTTACGCTATCTTGAATGCTGGGGATAAGCACAAGAGGAGAAAAAGGGTAATGGAAACATGTATACTTTATATTCATATGTACATAATATAAGTGGTACTCTCTATATAACATGTAAAAATGTTATACCTGGTTTTAAAAGTACTTTTATATGTATGACACGTACATGCTAATGGAATGAACCCAAAATAAATTTTACAAAAACATATTCCGTTCATGCATTTGCTCTCTTTTTCATAAAGGCAAAAGTGGGCATAAATGAATACAAGGAACGCGATATGTGATGGTTATGAGTATATATGCACAAATAATATATATTGTATATGACAAAAATATTGTCATACCTTTTCGAAAGGAATACGAATAAACCAATTGTCTGGTCTTTATAAAATTCTGAGTATCTCTTAACTGTAAAATGGATGTCACAATATAGTTATATGTAAGTTAATATTAGACATTTATTATGTAAATATGTTTTCAAAGAATAATTGCATTAATAAATCGGCATTACAGCTAAAAGTTCTTTTTTTTTTTTTCTTTTTTTTAATTACTTCGGTAATGAGATTTATATTTTAATAACAAAAGTTCTAAAAAATTTATAGTAAACTTGAGATATAAATTTATCAAAAATTAAAATTCGCGCATAGAGTGTTTTACTGTATAGAATACTTTAAAGAATAATTTAATATTTCAAGAAATTAAAAATTTATTTTTGTTCTAATAAATTTACATAATATAAAATTTTGTAAAAATAAAAAAAAAAAATAAAATAAAAAAAAAGTGCGTAAATTTTTTACTATTTCAATTTTTTTTAGAAAAATTAAAAAAATATATTTATTTCTTTTTCTGAATAAGTGTATTTTAAAATTGCAATAATGATGTTTTCCTCATATTAGAATAGTTAAAAAAAAAAAAAAAAAATAGGAATAAAATACACCAATATCAATAAAAAAAAAAAATTATAATTTAATTTTAGAATTTGAACGTTTCAATATTTAATAAAAGAAGTGCATGGTTTTAATTATCGTAGATTTAAAAACGTTTATAAAAATTGTATCTATGGTAAAATTAAGAATTATCTTTTTTAGTTTTTTCTTTTATAATGAGTATTTTTCTTTGAAAACTTGTTAAATTATAATATCCCAAAAAAAAAAAAAAAACATTTAGAACATTCAGAAAATACAGTTATATAAAATGGACATAATACCTGGAATTTTCTCTATTATATATATATAATATAATATATTTTACATATGTTATTTTTCTTTTTATAGTATAATAAAATTATAGTTCTATGTTAAACAATATAGCATAGAAATTGTTAAACTACTCGTCGATGTGCTGCACTAAATGAAAAGGCACCAAAAATTGGGTCGTGTTCTCATGCATCATTTGGTACATTTAAATATATCATTCATATAATAGGATACCATATATATATGTATTTTTTTTTGGATGATTATATAAAAATTTATTTTTAAAAAAAAATACATGATAAAATATTTTCCTGCTGTTTATTTATCTATAGAAGAAATTTATAATTTACTTTCTATTTTTATTTATTTAAAAGATAGCTTTTTCTCCACTAATAAGTATTATTTTATATGTTTTTTTTTTTTTTTTTAGTTTCGTTTTTTTTGTTAATTTTAATTTATCATTTTTATCTTTTTTCTCAGTGGTAATATTTTAACCTTTCTGTTAGGCATTTTTTCCGTGTTTTTTTTTTTTTTATTACCAAGGTATATTTTTTTGGCCGTATTTTTATTGACATACATGCAGTAGTAAATTATATACTTTTGTTAATGCAATTCATTAAAAAATGTGTCCGTATCAAAAAAAAACATGTAGTACGAAAAAAAATAAATATTTAAAAAATAATGACCCATCGTCATTAAAGTTTTTTAATTGTATTATATATGTGAAGAAAATAGTTATATTTGCTATTGCAAATTTATGCACCTGAAGTATATGAATCATGTTTTACATAAGAAAAAATAAGTAAATAAAATAAAAGCCCAGAGTGTCGAATTTTTAAGAAACAAAAGTATATATATTAACTACATTGATTTTTATTCTGCTATAGTAATATTTTTCACTCATGAGTGGCATTGCAATGTGAAAGCTGTTAAATAATTAGAATAAGAAAAATAAAAAATTGTTATTTGTCTAATTGATATAGCATTCTAAAGAAATGTATTTTTGCAATTATACAAGAGTATAATACATACATAATAATTGGATATTACATGTAGCATCAAACTTTATGATTGCATTCTATTCCTTCCATATGATTATATATAACTTTATGTAATAGTACATTTAAAAAAGGTTCTTTTCGTTTATTCAAATTTAAGTAGTAGCAACTTTGATACCAAAGAATTAAACATTTTGTTAAAAGATTTTTATCCCTTTTTATATAAATATAAATTTATATTATGCATTGAAAAATAATATATTTCTTGAATCATTAAAACCTGATATATTGTATAATAAAATAATGCATTATAAAAAGGACCAAATATAAAATATATTATGTGATGATTTATATTTTGTTAACGATTTTAATTTAAAAATTGCACGTAAGGTAAATTGCAATAAGAAGGAAAAATCCTATAGTTCAATTTACCCCATTTTTTCAGACACCATTGAAACATTGCTTTATTGAGAAGTGCTTACATTTCATATATACGTGGTATGTATATTATTTATGAATATCCATAGGATTCATCATGAAAATAGAGAAACATTAAAATACAGGAAGAAGGTTTATGCTTTGCTTAATTTCATTTCACCTGCATAATAAACTGTGATATTCATGTGTCTTCTTTCATAAATTGCACATATTACAAGTGGAAATTTAGAAGAAAGATGTAAAAATGGAACCGTGGCAAGGTCGGTGGAAAAAAAAAAATATACCTATACATTATGTATTGTCTTCTTTTTTGCTTAATTTCAAGAACTATCTATCGAAATTTTTGTGTACAGGTATTTACTTATCAAATGTTTTTACTATTATTGAGCGGATATTTCATCTTTTTCGTAATAAATTCGTTTTAGCAATTTGAATTTTTTATTTTTTTAAGTTGATATTTTTATAATGAAAATGAAAATGCCATAAAAGATGTGATGCACACTGCATATACCTTTAATTAAACATTTTTATAGTTCTGTGAATGTTAAAAAAAATTATTAATAAAAAAGAAGGGGGCGTACACTTATCTTTGTCCATTTTTTGGCTTCTGTTTGCAAAATATTTTCTTTAGAATTTTTTCTTACTCACCTTTTTAATAATTCACAAATTATTTTAAAGGAAAAAAAGAAAACTACGAAAAAAGCTTAAACGAGGAATAATGAAAAACAAAAAAAAAAGTTGTGTAATAATTAATGTCTTAAAATAACGAGAAACAACCTTTTGTTAAGTTCTTTAGGAGGTTCATAAATTATAAGAAGAATCAAAACTATATCATGATTGTTTATATAATTAAGCATTTTAATTTACTTGTATTCGTTAATATAACATTGTGCAAGCTTTTTCCCTTTCATATTTTAAAAGGGACTATGTAAATTTTTATACCACGTTAAAGTAACAATTTTTTATATGCGAAAATAAATAAATATATAAAAAAAATAAAATAAAATAAATATAATAATAAAATATATATATATATGTATTAAAAGCTGTATGACACAACCCATGAATTATTTTTAATAAATCCGTATCTGAAGCACGGTGTGCATTTTGCTATACTTTATGCTATGGCATTTACAAAGGAAAACAGGTTTCAGAATTCAGCTCTTTCCAAATAATTTTTCATAATTGAGCAAATATAAAATAATAATTTCAAAATGTCTTAGCGGAACATGTTTCATTAAGAAAATAAAATTAACAAATAAAATTAAAATGTATAATCAAACAAAACTAACACGTAATACCCACTGGTGAAATATTTTTGTGAATAATAAAAGGACATCATAGTTATCACGTACAAAGTATTTTTAATTTATCTCACATAAATTTATAAAATTAAATGCATTCATTTAAAAAAAATTCTCACAGAATTGGGGGTTCTTGATGTGCTTTTTATTTTGTATTAAAAAAAAAAAAAAGGAAACAAAACAAAAGCATACATATAAAATGAAACATGGAAACGTGTGTACACATGCTTACATACATGTATTGCTTATACATAAATTAATTGTAGCACATAACAAAAAAACAAACTTTATATAAAGGATGGGAGTCTAATATAATTGTACCTTTCACACATTCATATAAACATAACATACAACTAGTGAATTAGACGTATACATATGAATACAAACCTGGGGCCTTAAAAAATGGGTTTGACCTTGTAAATTTCTTAAAGCGTTCGTTTCATTCCGACCTTTGGGTATAATGTGTCTTTGTATTGACCCCTCTTGCTATATTAATGTTGCCGATTTTGTTTCCGAGTTGAGTTGGAACTAAAAAACTTTTGCATTTATCTTCAGTGTTTTCTAAGAATATCATTGATTTTTTTAAACTATCCTTAAAGAAATTTTTAAAATCATCCATTTTTGTATTTTTATTTTCAACCAGGGCTTTAAAATCATTATTAAAATAAGTTTCTTCAGATTTTGTAATATGCATAAACATCTTATAACATTTTTTCCATCGTCTTTTAAATAAAATTTCATATAAATTATGCTCATCTTTTAATTCTTCATATATATTCCATAGTTCATCTAAAATGTTAACATATTTATTTCTCTGAGACCAACGATATAGCTTCCATACATAAAATACATCTTTCTTATCCGAAAACTCATCTAATGAATCAACCATTTTAATCAATTTTCTATCATTCAAATTCATAGGAATAACAAAATTTTTGGAATAAAAAGGGTATTTATGTACATTCGTTTCTAAGTTTTTTAATATAAACTCTGAATGCAAGGAACGATTACGTAAAGTATCACAATCAATTTTATCTTCAGCTTCTGTATCATTTACGTCAGTATCAACATAATGAACTAGTGGTTTTCTTAAAAAGGGCTCTCTTCGAAAGTTACATACAAATTCGGGTTCAAGGTCTTCTTTCAATAGATCAATAGTTGGTTCTACTGAGGATCCTTTTTCCATATTATTCTGCCCATTTGTTTTCTTCGTTTCCCCCTTTGAATTGTCTAATATTTGACCTTTCATTTTTTCGCTCTTTTTATTCACGCTGCGCTCACCTGTTTTGACGTTCCCTTTTTCATCAATTGCACCACCTTCATTATTTTCGATCGGTTCACTTGAAATTCGTTTATTCGTTTTCTCATACCCTTTTAAATTCATTTCTCTTTCTCTTTTGTCAGAAATTTTTTCTTCCATTTCACTATCTCCTTCTCTGTAATAAAATTCATCATCACGATTTACATTCAGTTTACTTCCTAACTTTTTAACCATATCTTCGTCCATTTTATCAATTCCTTTTTTTTTTCCTTTTCCACCATCCACATCTTCAGGATAAGAGTCAACTACTTTTGTTTCTCCCTGCATGTTATCCATTGTTTCTTCTGTTTCACCATGTTTATATTTGCTTCCCCACGTACTACGCTTCTTTTCTTTTTTTTTACCATCTTTTTTCTCGCTTCCCCACGTACCATGCTTCTTTCCTCCTCCTCCTCCTTCTTCTTCTTCTTCTTCTTCTTCTTCTTCTTCTTCTTCTTCTTCCTCTTCTTCTCCTTCTTCCTCTTCTTCTCCTTCTTCTGATTCGCCATGTTTTTTTTCTTCCGTTTCATCTTTCACTTTTCTGCTTTTTCTTAATCTTCTTTTGTCATATGTTTCTGCTTCAATTTCATCATCTCCCTTTCTACTTCCCTCTCGATTATCAATATTTTCTTCTAATTCATCACCCCCTTTTTTTTTTTCAATTGAGTGATCAAAATCTTCTTCCACTTCTTCATGCATTTTTCTGCGTCTCTCTGTATCATCCATTTGCTCACCCTCATTTATGTCAATTTTTCTACTTTTTTTATTACTAGTAGGTTCTTTTATCTCATCATCTCCGTTTATACTGCCCCTTCTGCTATCTGTCACATTCTTCATTTCACCCGCCCCCTTTTCCTCTTTTTTATCATGTACATCTTCATGAACTTCACCCTCACTTTTTTTTCTTCGGGTTCTGTCACCTCCCTCTACATCAATTTCAAAATTTTCATTTTTACTACGCTTTCGTTCATCTATATCTTCTTCTATTTCAACATCGCATTCCTTATTTCCCCTTATCTCAGACATATGTTTTTCTACATGAACATTTCTTCTTCTTCCTCTTCCATCTCCTCCATCTCCATCTCCTCCTCTTCTTCTTCTATTTCGATCACCCTTCTTTCCTTCACATTGTTCATCCATTTCTTTTCCCATTCTTTTGCCAATTTCTTCGCCAATTTTTTCGCCAATTTCTTCAAATTTTTCGCCAAACTTTTCGCCATTTGCTTCGCCACTTTCTTCAATTTCTTGACCAATTTCCTCGCCATTTTCTTTGCCAATTTCCTCAATTTCTTCGGCAATTTCTCCAATTTCTTCGGCAATTTCTTCAATTTCTTGACCAATTTCTTCGCTAATTTCTTCGGCCATTTCTTCAATTTCTTGATCAACTTCTTTGACAATTTCTTTACCAAATTCTTCTTGTGTTTCCCTATGCACTTTTTTTCGTTTATTTCTCTCATCTTTCCCTTCTTCAGTTTGTCCAAGTCCTCGATTACTCCCACTTGTTTCATCTGTCTTTTTTCCCATTTCAACATGTCCTCTATTACTCCCTTTCCTGCCATGCATATCTTCAATTTGTCCAGGTCTTCTATTACTCCCTTTCCTGCCATGCATATCTTCAATTTGTCCATGTCTTCTATTACTCCCCCCGGTCCCACTAGTGTCATCTTCCATCTCATCATTTCCTTTATTTTGTTCCGTCTCATAATCCACAAGATCACCTTTTTCACCAACTACTTTTATTCGTCCCCGCATCGTACCTAATATTTGATCTACGTCACTATGTTTTAATCCGCCTCCCCACACGTTAGATATTATTTCATCTATTTCTTTACTTACTTTTTTTCTACTCACACTACCATGCTTCTTTTCTTTCGCCTCATTATTTTTTTTCCTGCTTCCCCATATACCATGCTTCTTTCCTTTTTCTTCACGATGCATCTTTTCTATTTCTTTAAGACGCTTCTTTTCTAGTTCTTTAAGATGCTTCTTTTCTTTTTCTTCACGATGCATCTTTTCTTTTTCTTCACGATGCAGCTTTTCCATTTCTTGACGATGCATTTTTTCTATTTCTTTAAGATGCTTCTTTTCTATTTCTTCACGATGCTTCTTTTCTTTTTCTTCAATATGCATCTTTTCTTTTTCTTCACGATGCATCTTTTCCATTTCTTCGCGTTGCATCTTTTCTATTTCTTTAAGATGCTTCTTTTCTAGTTCTTTAAGATGCTTTTTTTCTTTTTCTTCACGATGCATCTTTTCTTTTTCATCACGATGCATCTTTTCCATTTCTTCGCGATGCATTTTTTCTATTTCTTTAAGATGCTTCTTTTCTATTTCTTCACGATGCTTCTTTTCTTTTTCTTTAATATGCATCTTTTCTTTTTCTTCACGATGCATCTTTTCCATTTCTTCGCGTTGCAACTTTTCTATTTCTTTACGATGCTTCTTCTCTAGTTCTTTAAGATGCTTCTTTTCTTTATCTTCACGATGATTCTTTTCTTTTTCTTCACGATGATTCTTTTCTTTTTCTTCACGCTGCTTCTTTTCTATTTCTTTACGATGCTTCTTTTCTTCTACTTTACTAAGCTTTTTTATGTTATCCACTCTCTCATCCATTTCTTCTTCTTCTTCTTCTTCTTCTTCTTCTTCCATTTCGTCACGTCCTTTTATCCTTCTCATTCTATTATCCATTTCTTCTTCCATTTCGTCACGACCTTTTCTCCTTCTCATTCTATCATCCATTTCTTCTTCCATTTCATCACGTCCTTTTCTTCTCCCCCTTCTATTATCCATTTCTTCTTCTTCCATTTCATCACGACCTTTTCTCCTTTTCATTCTATTATCCATTTCTTCTTCCATTTCGTCACGACCTTTTCTCCTTTTCATTCTATTATCCATTTCTTCTTCCATTTCGTCACGACCTTTTCTCCTTCTCATTCTATTATCCATTTCTTCTTCCATTTCGTCACGACCTTTTCTCCTTTTCATTCTATTATCCATTTCTTCTTCCATTTCGTCACGACCTTTTCTCCTTCTCATTCTATTATCCATTTCTTCTTCCATTTCGTCACGTCCTTTTCTTCTCCCCCTTCTATTATCCATTTCTTCTTCCATTTCGTCACGTCCTTTTCTTCTTCTTATTCTGTCATCAATATATTCTTCCATATCGTCATCTAAGTCATCATCTATTTCTTCTTCCCAAACACGATTTTCCTTTTGGTGCACCGTAGTTTGGTGCTCACGTAAGATACGAGCAAATCCATTTCTTATTTGTGACTTGGGTACTATATCGTTGTGTTTATAAGTATGTCTATCCTACAGAAAAATTTAATAAAATTGCAAAAATATTATGGAGGGGTAAAAATAAATTATACAAATGTTTTAAAAAAATAGGAATTATGCATGAGTGAAAACCATGCACACTCATTTGCACATGCATATTTTGAGAATTATAATTTTAAGCCTTACTAGTAATATCAAACACAACACAAGAAATAATAAAGTGTAACATTTAAAATAAATGAACTTCATAAACTTCCCGCCTTGCCATTTTCCCTTCGTTCCATAACATGAACAATGTATTGTGAAATTTTCACGATTCAAATTTTTATTACATTCAAACATTCGCTCTACAATATAAATATTTTTTATAACACAAAAACTTCAAATATATTTTTATATACATATGAAGGGAAAAATAATAAAAATTAATTAAACTAATAAAACGTTTAGTAAGTTTTGATAATAAAAGATAACATTTTTTTTCTTTTAGTTTTTCATCAAGAAGTTAAACAAAGCTAAGTATTTTTACCCATTATTATTAATAGTAATATTTATTATTAATTTTGGGGAAAAAACGGGAGAATAAAAAGTACATTTCTTTATGTAATTTAATTAAATCGCAAAATTTAGAAAATGTAGAACAAAATATATATAATGAAAACAACAGTTTTATATCTTGGATTTATTATTTCATAATTTAATAGAAATAATTAAACACGTGTTTTTTTTGTATACTTATTTATATGTTCCAAGTATTTTATGAACTCCATATTTATATATGAATTTATAAATACATACATATTATAGCAAACTTCCTAATAAGTAACGAAAATTAAAAAATAAACTAGTGCGCTCATTAGGAAAAATATCCAATGTGAAATTATATTTTTGAAATAATTCTTTACAGCCCATGATAAAAACCTTGAAAATGAACAATTTATTTATTTTATTTATTTTTTGGCGCTAGAAAAAGAATAATTGTATAAGGTCGAACTATTTTTGGCTTATGTGAACTATGAACCATAAAGATTTTATTATTCTTTTTTTTTTTTTTTTCTACACTAAATATTTTAAAATGTGTTTTTAAAAATGTAATATATATATATATTATTTACAAATGTAACAGCATGCATGTAGAGCGCAATTGCTAAATACGTAAAAAATGTAAATTGCATAAATATGTAATTTTTACAATCATAATTAATTTTTTAAGAAAGTGTAATATAAAAAAATTATTTCCTAAAGTTTTCACAAATTATTAGAATAAAAAAAATCAATTATGTAAAGTAGGATGCAAGGTTATGTACTACTTTTCGACTTGCAAACGATACGTTTAACATATGCACATGGTGTAATATATTTAGAGAATTTATTCTTAAAGCAAGAAAAAGGGAAGTTAAAACTACACATGTATGATGAAATTTGTTGATGAATAATTTTTTTTACTTTTTATGTAAAAAATGAATTCTTTACATCTTTGAAACTCTTTTTCCGTATTAAACATTTTTTTCTGCATTATAATATGAATTTAACACAATTATGGGAAACATATTATAGTTCTAATTATGCATATGATCTTTATTCATTACGCAATATATGGGGAGTAGTAAAATGTGTTCAGTTAATTGTATGACTTTTTTGCATGAACAGAGCAAATAATTTTCTTCTTTTCGTATTTTCTTCTTTTTAATTAAACAAAACAAAGGGGGTGGAAAGAATAAATAATTAAACATGTATTCATAATAAAATATGGAACATTATTTATACAATAGAAATGAAAACATTTAAATAATCTATTATTATTATTATCACTTAGATGATATCTCTGGGTTGAGTGTTTACAATGAATGAATGAAAAAAATATGCAATTTGCGTGTTCCCTCAATGCTGTTACAATGAAAAATTAATAGTGTCCAATAAAGAGTTTAAATAAAAGGAAAAGAAAAATACTCATTTTATTTATTATTACACTCTTTACAGCTGCATCAAAAAGTTTATACACAACCTTAAGGGTTTTTTTATTATTTTATTCTGTTTTCTAAAAAATATATTTTCTTCTGTTAATAGTATTATTCTTTATGAGTAATATAATTGACACGGTCTCAAAAGACTTTTGCAATGTGTCACACTAATTAAACATTTTACAAAATAGTGTATGCTTTATTTAGAAATTACAGCTTTAACGAATTTTTGAATTTTTTTAGAAAATGTGCGGCATAAAATTTTTCTAATTCTGTTTTAATAAAAAAGTTTCCTAGTCTTGCATTTATCTGAAAGAATAATTATTCCATTTTAGGATATCTAAGCCTAGTACGTCAATGGATTGTCATTATAATACTTAATTATGTTCATGTTGTTGGGGACATTTTTTTTTTGAACACTATCAAAAGTATATATTATTTTTTATACATTAATATGTTACTATATCAAATTAACATTAATCCCATTAGTAATACACTAAAACTTTTTTAAATATGTTTTTGATAAAAAAGTTTCTATACCAAAAAGGTATATAAGAACTTGAATTATTGAGAAAAATTAATTATAAAGAAACAATGCCTATTTGTGATTTTTTCGAAACGGAATATAACTATCTTCCTCGTTTAAGTATAGAAATCTATTAGTATAAGTTTTAGGGTGTCACAATGGGGACAATTGAAGGTGTAATTTACTACGATGTGTGTATTGACATTACAATTTTTATGAGATTGTATATATATATGTGTAAATATTTGAATAGGTGGTTAGAAAAAGGCTAGTAAGGAATCCTATTAGCACAAATAACATATTTAGAATTGTACATAAACGCTTCATATCATATTTCATGCAATAATATTGTCATTGAAAAGGGGAATAATAAGCTTACATTGACTGATTCTTTAAATATGTTTGAAATCTGTAAGGCAAATAAAGGATACTTACACTGTGGAAATATTAGGTTTAACAAGTAAATTCAATGTAAAACGGGAGAATACGTCTTAAAAGAAAAGATAGAAAACTTATATATATAATGTACTTATTATATATATATATATAACATATTCAAAAAATGATGAGAAACTGTTGAGAGCAAAAAAAAAAAAAAAAAAGGATACTTAACTTTTAAGGAGAAGGGTTTAAAAAAGGGATACAATATATAATAAATCTATATGTTAACATTAATAAAAAGAAACAACAAGAATTATTCAGGAAATTTTCTTTTTCATCAATAGTGCGGTATATAGGTTTGCCTAAAACAAAAAATAGATAATTTAATAGATTGGTGATCTTTCCATATTTATTCACACCTTTTTAATGATTAAGTTACTTAGAATTATTTAATATATTTCTGTCCAAGGTCACAAATACATATTAGTGGGAAATATTATTTTAGATATTTTAAGACAAGGATTGGGATAAAGATAATAAAAACAATTTTAAGAAACTTTTAATAATCATACACCCTAAGAATATAAAGCAAGTATAATTAGTACAATAAAATGCAAACCGTTTTTCTAAGTTTATGCTCTCTTTATAATGTACAACTTTTCTAGTTTCACACTATATTAAAATTGCGTCTTTCTTTATAAATGAGATTGTACAACTTGCCATCATGAGCGCGTAAAACTTTTTATAGACAAGTGCAAAAATTGGAAATTTCTTCAGTTACGAAAATTCAAAAAAGAGTTAAAAAATGGAAAAATTGTCTAAAGGAGTAGACATAAACAAACTTTATTTTATACATTTCATGGGCAATTATAATGAAAATATAATCTATTAGTACTGTTACATTTCCCATTCTTATTTTCTTGATCTATGCTTATAAAGTTTAATGAAATGCGTTTTTTTTTTTTTTTTTTTTTTTTTATGACAATACTTAATTTTTATTTTATGCCTAAATATGATGAGAAATAAATATACAGATTAAAGGTTATGGTATTTTTTATGACAACTCGTTGAATTTATTATTTAAGCATAAAAATTTCTAATGGATTCTATGAGAACACTCAAGAAAACAAACAATAGTGTAAAAAAGTAATTGTAGGAAATATGAGTATTTTATTAAATTGCTTAAACTAAATATAAAAAATTGTGTATAAATACGTACATCAATATGATGAGTGAAAAGACAGATAGTGTATGAAAGTTCTTACAAGTCATGATAAAACGGAAACATTTTGAAAAAGAAACAGCACGCATTACTTTTTTCTCCAATAAATTAATGTTCCACTATGTTTTCAATTTTATGTGATGAAATATCAAACACAACGAGTTGCCTTACTATGGATATTGCTTATATTTTCTTTGGGAATTTAATCTTTTGCATCAAATGGATATGCAAACAATCTTAGTGCTTTTTATGGGAATTTATGATAAACAAAAATGTGGAAGTGCAGAAAGGGAAAACATATTAAAAAAAAGAAACAAAAAACAAAAGTAATATATTAATTGAAAATAAGATTTTTTTTTTTTTTTTTTTTTTTTTTTCATTATTACAACATGTAGAAAAAAAACGCGTTATGAGCTTTACCAAATTCAAAATAATTTGAAGCATTATAATAATTGTTTTTAATTTTTAGATGTAACTCTATTTTTACACACGTAGGGTTTTAGAAATGTTTCCACTACTTTTTTTAGTAAAAATAAACAGTTCTGTATTTTGTGTGAATGTGTGTCTATTTAACAACATAAAAAATAAACAGTGATATGTTCCACAATCAACAATGTAGTGGAGAAAAGAAAATCAACAATTTTTAGTAAGTTTTAAAATTATGAAAATTTTAATATACACACAATTTTTCAAGCAACTTAATTACAATTAAAAAAATATATATTTTTTTTTCTTGATACAATTATCATTTGTAATTAAATTGGTTTTATTTCTATGCGTAATATTTGTTCATTAATTATATTTATCCTTCATTTTTTTAAAATTTTCATTCGCGTTTTTATGTGTTCAGTCGAAAAAGGTAACGCGAAAAAAATGTTATAAAAGCAGTATCCAATGGTTGAAATAGAACAGTTTTTGTGTGAAGAAATTGATAAATCATTCTAGAAAAAAAATTTCGGCATATGTATAGACTTCAGTAATTGCCTGTAAAAAAAATTTTTTTTAAAAGAGTCTAAATAGTGCATAAGTAGTGCAACACATATTTTATACTTAATTTTTATAAACGTTAACACATTAAATGTTCAAAGAATCAATATAATCAATGAAAATATATGAATTCTGCATATGCGAAAATTTTCTAAAAAAATATAATTTTATAGAGTACAACATGTCTTACAAGAGATACACTACATATTTTACGTTGTTTATTTTTTTACGTAATATAAAACACTTATTAAGTGAGATTTAGTAGTAGTATTTACAAGTTAATTGTATAAGATTTCTTGAAGGACAGTTCTGAGTCAAAAGTATTGGTGTAAAATTTTAAATTAAAAAATATACGCGTAAAGAGCGTATTCAATTATTACGTGGTTTTCGATCATATGCAAGCATACTTATATTGAGAAATACGAACAACTTGTTTTAATAGTTTAACTTGCTTAATAAATAAATTTCAATAAAATGGATAACCATAGTCACATGTCTTTAGTAGAAAAGGTTCATTTTCATTTAGATAATTCCTGCGCATAATCTTGTTTCATTATTATGATGTTCTCAAAATGCAAAGAAAAAAAGTTTTTCTTCATAATATGCATTATACCATTTGTATTTTTTATTTTTAGTACCCCTTTTTGAAAGAATTTCCTTTATACAAATTCTATGGACAATTAGATAATGTCAGTGACGAAGGTCCAGAGTATGAAGAATGTTCTGATCTTTTGAGGAATAATTACAATGAGAAATCTAGTCTTTCTAAGTTTTGTACAAAAGTTTACAACATATCAAATATATTTTATAACATAGGAGAAATAATTGGTTCAACACCTTCTAACTCTTGTGACTATTTGAACTTTTGGTTAAATGAAAATTTAGGAAAAAATATTCCCATGTCTATGGAAAAGGATTTGGTTAACAAGGCCTTAGATAAAATATTTAGAAAAATTGATGGTCCTGTATGTGGGTATAATAATTTGTTATGGTATAATAGGGAAAATTTTCTAAAATTAAAACAGTTGCACGATTATGCTGAAAGTTTTAATAATATTTTAAATGAAGTTAATAAGGGTAATCTGGTTAATAAAGACTCTTATTGCAGTTACATTATAGAAAGTGTGAATTTATATGAAAACATTAAGAAAGAACTTTTGCATAAGCTTTCAAATGGATATACTGATGAACTAAAGCTTTTTAAACATAAATATGATCAAATTAAATCATCTGCATTATCATGTAAAAAGGAGTTACCAAACTTAAGAACCTTAATGGAACTAAGTGTAGCAGCAACAAAAGTTTCACAAAGGGCGCCAGAAGGAGAAGGGCACTATAAAGATGAAATGCATGGCCCGTCAGAGGAGATGCCAGAGAAGGAAGTATTCTCAGGGAGGGTATTGTCAGAAGAAGTATCATTTAACGAAATGATGCATTATGGAAAGTCATCGGCATCTACAATTAGTGGTTATCAAGATTTTGGATATACAATAAGCCTTCCTAATTTTGTAGTAGATTTTCGGACAATTTTAGGAGTATCTCTCCTGTTATTCATTTTATATAAGGTTAATAAAAATTTCATCTAAAAAGATTAACACTCTTGTACCATTCTGGTAAATATATATATTAAGAAACGTTTTACACTAGTGTGGTGCATTTATGTCTTTTTTTTAATTCTTTTTTTGATATATTAGTTTATGCCATTTGGATCACGGATAAAGAATAGAAGAAGAAGCAAGCAAGGAATTTTCAATGAGATAGCAGAAGTTGAAAAAGAAGATAAAATGAGCAGGCATATAACGTTACAGGATACTGAGAATGATGATATAAATTGGGGCGCAAGGAGAAATTACATAGGATATTATTACTTACAAAATCCAGAATTAGGAAATACTGAGAAATAAAAAATTCTTTTACATAGATATACATTTCTGTTGTTAAAAAAAAAATAGGTTCATGATTATATATAATATAGGGGTATAATTAGAATGAAATGATATAAATTATTTGTAAATAATTACATATAATGTGCAGCATAATTCCATATACCAATTTGATGAGATAAAATGCTGGTAAATTGTAATAATAAAGCGAATAAAAAGGTATATAAAATGTTGAAGCACCAAAATTTGCTTCTGTTTTTATTATCATTATATATATTTTTTTTTCATTATAAGTGAAAATAATAAAAAAGTAATATACATATGTCACCTATTTTTTGTGTACTTTTTGAAATTATATTTTGACTATCAAATTTTACTAGCTTAGACGGTAGAATTATTAATATTTAGGACACACATTAGAGTTTAATAAATGTACATTTCGCAAAGGAATTATCTTAATGCGAAATTTAAATGATAATAATTTTAATGCATTTTTTAAAGATTTTAAATGATTGCAATGAAGCTGTTACATTTTCTGTTTGACGAAGTAAGGATTTTGTTTTGTAAGAAAAGGGGTGTCATGAAATGAAAAAACACAAAATTGAGTTGGAGGAAAAACGTGAAAAATAGAAAATGAGTATATAAATTTGCCTATTTTATGCACGGCTGTAATCTCATAGAATGACATATGAGTAGCAAAATGATAAAAATAGAATTGTTCACATTTGATCTGTAATTTTTATTTAACAATAACAAAAAAAAAAAATATATTTTATTTTCATTTTTTTCAATTTTAAGAATATATATATTGCACATGTGTATATTTTGCATTTTTAATATTTAACGATTGTAATATAAGGTTTATCAAAAAAACAGTTAATAGGTCATTTCTTACTACTCATGATGCTACGGGAAAAGAAGTTTTTGGTGTAACACTTCAAATTGGTAAACATAAACTAAAACATGTGAACAGTATATTATATTCTACTATGCTGCAATAAAAAATGAATGGAACTGTTAATGATCAATTTTTTTTATCCCTTTGAAATGTAATATTAAAATGTAAGTTAAATATTACTACAAAGAAGAGAAATAAATTAAATATTAAAGAAAAATACAAAACTCCAAAATATAGAAATATTAATTTTTATAGATGTATTATTTTCGGTAAAGAATGTGTGTTACAAATATATTGGGCATTATATTAATGTTTTGTGCATGACATGAATTATTCCTATTCCAAAATTGTAACACTGTTTTTGTTGTATCATTTCTTTATAGATGTTTGAACAAAAGAATATATTACGATTCAAGTGAAATACGTTTGAATTCATTTAAAAAAAAATTTTAATTTATAAAATTCATATTTTTTCATTTTTGTGGATTTAAGGACTTTGAAAAATAAGAATAAGCATTTCTTATGTTACATTTCCTCTGATATATCACTAAAAATACTTTCGTGAGTTAATGTTGTTACAGAAAGAAAGGAATATTTTTAAATATTTTTGGACACCAATAAAATAAAGTATTTTTCTCTGGAAAAAATATAAGTTATTGATAGGCACTTATTTCATGTTTATCGATACATATATCTTTTTAGCAATTTATATAATTTTTTTTTTTCCCATGCAAATTTACTTAGTAATCGTAAAGAAATAAATTAATTATTTGAATCCTCAGTAGCAGTAAAAGCTTCCCCTTGAACAGCTTGAGTTTTCGTGCATTATAAAAATAATTGTAAATTAGTAATAGTCTTTATTACATTTACAATGGGTTATGATTAGACATTGGAATTTTTGTGAAATGAAAGAATACATATGTAACAAGTTATTTAAAGAAAAAATACTTCTTATTACAACACTGGTTCTAATAGGCAGCCTTATACACAACGTATTAGAGCCAGACATTCCTGAATGAAAATAAACTAAAAGCTATTTTTCAATGCAGTGTTCCATGTAACACAGGACATAAGGATATCTTTGCATTTAATTTTTTCCCTTAATTATGAATGCTCATTTTATGTAATATTAACAAAATAATTATAATTTAGTCTAATACAAATAATTTATAACAAATTCTAGAAACAAGTGTTTGTTTATTGAATTAATAAAGTTCATTGAGTAATTCATTAATATTTGTTGGAATATTATTGTTTTACACACAAATACAATACAAGAAAAGATGTTATCAGATTTTTCAGGTGATATTAACACAGCAAATTTTAGAAATAATTTTTTGGGAATGAAAGAGATGGTAATTGGGCATCTTTAACAAATGAAACACGTATAACACTCAATTTGAATGCATAGCTATTATTTACATATAATAAACAATTATTCTGAGTAATCCAATAAAATATTTAAATATATACATTTTGTATTTCCATGTTTAGTATGATTTTTTGGAGAATTTATATAAATTTCATGAGAAATTCGATGAAGAATCCGTTACACAGGATGATGTAAATTTTTGTAAACATTCTATCTATAGTGGCACTAGTTCTGCCTCCAAAGACACAGTCATACTGTGTGCACAACTTCGAAAATTTTTTTAAAATCTAACATTGAAACCACATTATGTATTAATAAAGGGTGTAAATATTTGAAAATCTGGATTAACGATTAAATAATAAGTAATAGATATTTAAATTCTTCTATTCACTCTATTTTAAATAATTGGGAAATAATTAAACAAACGCATCACAAATATAGTGATTGTCAAAATAATGACATTCTGAACAACCAGGATGATGATCATTTTAAAATTTTCGAAAAAAATCATTTTATTTTATGGAAATAATATAAGAATACCTTAATGCTGCAATTCACACTAGTGATGAACATGTACAAGTAATAAATGATGTTCATAATGAAATCGAATATTAGTTTATTACTGAAAATTTTAACTTATATAAAGAAGTAAAAGAATATTTTTCTGTAGGAGAGGGGAAAAGTCTATTATGGACGGCATACAATAAATGCAAAAATTAGCATCAAGATGCTTTTCCAAAATTAGAGAGTACAATAAGTAACTTTATTGAAGTAGAAGAATTGGAATCCATGGTTATTTATCTAAGAATGGATGAAGCGATTATGAGTTATCAAGAAACAGCTGAGCATTCTTCTTCAAGTTATACTAATGCAATATCTTTTGTTTGTTTAGTAGTAGGATTATTATTTTTTTTATCTATTCTACATAAGTTAAGCGTGTGTTCTATTTATGAATATTATTGAAGGGTGCTCATAATAAAATTATGAACAAATTTAATATCATAAAAGTATAATAATTTTAATTATGTACATCTATTATTACCTAATAATAGTTCACACCATTTGGAATTTTATTGCGTTAGGAAATAAGAAGGAAAATGAAAACTTGGAATAATTTGTATGATGTTGACGAATTACAAGAGAATAGTAGGGGTATGGATATAAATATAGTGAGACGTCAATATAAGGTGTAGCACTATTAGATGTAAGAGGACAAAATAACGAATAATAATGGAAAATAATTTGTATAATTGTGTAGTATATTACTATATACAACTAACCTATGTAATAATACTACGAACAAATATATAAATAAGAATTAAACAAAAATAGAGTTAAAATGCAATTTAAGACCAGAAAAACATATTACGATCTATGTAGAATGTATATTATATAAATGAAAAATTAAAAAAGTGTCTGATAGTAAATATATTACATTATAACATAAATATCATGAAAAAAATATAAATTTCAAGCACATAATTCATATTAAATTATACCTTATCATATGTATATTGTGTAAATATCAAAACATAAAAAATTAATGTTCAAGTTAGGGGCATGCTTTTGCTTTTAATTCAGCATTGATCATATAGTAAAAATGTATTAGAATATGTGTTCAAATGTAATGTACGTAAAAAGTAACATAAAATAAAAAAAAATGCACTATGCATATAGAATGATTATTAACAGAGCATAGAAAGGAAATTTAAATTATTGATAATAACAACATCGCTTTATTAAAAGGTAATTTATTATAGAATAAGATATAGTGATATTAAAATAAATTAATTTAGTGAAAAATGTGTATGATATTGATTTAGAAATTTTAATGATTAAAAAATAATGAATATAAATTTTCTTATAGAACAACAAATAATCAAAAAATATAAGCTGAATACGTACATACGATTTTATTATCTGAATTTAGACTCCTAATTTTATGCAATATTTCACATGGGAGCAGTATTGTAATAATTACAATAAGATTGAAATCCAAAAAAGTTACAGTGCAAGAGTTAGAAATATTATATTTTGCTTTTTTACAATCTATAAAGGGAAAAGATTATGCATAACAATATTAGGAATATATATATATAATAGATTTTCTTTTTTTTTTTGGTATATTATAATAATTGAGTTTCAAATATATGCTATTGGTTAATGATGCATATGTCCTAATTATGTTCAAATATATTTTACCAAAGCGCTAGTCATAGAATTGTGTAATTAATTTACAAATTAAATTGCATGTTTTAGAAATTATCATAATATAATTTATTATAATTTTTATTAACATAAACACTGCGTCCACGAAAATGTAGAAAAACAAACTTTTAAATTATTTCAAGCTTATGAAGGTTTTGCATAAAAATAAGTTGTTATTTAAGTATGTGCAATAATTTAGAAAAAATCCCCACGTTTTACGTTTAAAATGTATATTTTTTCTGTGTTCATATATATTTTTAATTCTGTTGATAAATTTTGTTATTTATATTTAACTCTTTTAATTTATAATTTTTGTCAATGAAATTTTATATTAGCAATAAACTCTTTTAAATAAATTTGTTTGAATATATTATCATTTCATAAAAATACATAATAATCATGATCTATAATAATTTACAATAAATATACAAAAATTATCACTTTATGCATTTCTATCATGAACCAATATTTTTTGTCATAACATTTTCCATCATTTTATGTGTTTTTTAAGGCATGATATTATCACATGTATAGTAATGCATA